CATCACCATACGATCATATGTAAAACCATCATAATCTACTAGGTGGAATATAGAGAAGGGGTAGCATTAATGCAGCTAGATCAATTGTCGTCCAAAAAAATAAATATATCCAAGCAACAACAAATAATTTTTGTGAACGCAACAATAATTTTTGCGAACGCAACAATAATTTCGTTATGGAAAGACAATATGTTAAGCCAATAAGCAGATGCCATTACTGTTATGAAACAGATTCCAATGCAGCAGATAAGTCAAATAGACGAAATCTATATGCTCATCATCGATCTGTACATAGTAAGTGAAAAAATATTAACAATTCAAGAAATGTCTTATTAAAGTGCTTTTTTTTTCTGTTTTTTGGTAGACCTTTCTTTACCAGAACAAGCAGCACGAAAAAAACAACCACGAAATAGCCAGTTAAGCAGCACACCTAACTCTTATGATTTCACTGATCTCTTTTTCCTCTGACATCTTATTCTTCTTTAATTATAGAATCAAAATCGTAACTCAAAATTTGTTGGAAAAACAGGTATGGATTTATTCTCATACCTGAAAACCCTTGTTATTTATTCTCTCCAAAAATTTTTTTTTTTCCCGCTAACTAATTCGCACTTTTTTGCTTAGCCTGGTATTGAGTATTCTCTTGTTTATGAATGTTCTGTATGCGACTACTTTGGTGATACTGTTGATGATCTTAGCGAACATTTCAATATCCATTTAACACCAACCCCTCAGAAACGACCTTCGGATACTGACATTGACACCAATAAAAATGTATGATCTTGTGCAATCTGACAATAACACGCCTGTATGCTTATTTGTCCTTTTTTTATTTTATTAATTTTTGTTTATAGATCAAGATATTCAGAGGAAAACGAGCTCACACATTTGATCAAGCTTTGGCAGATAAAATCGGTTCCCAAGATACACCAAAAATTACGAAAAGTGATACTGAAAAAATATCAAAAATGTATACTTTGCAGCTTCAAAGCTTAATTGGAACTTTGGACACAACAAGCAAGGAGATCCTTAATGGACATCACGAAGACCAGCGGAAATTGAAATCACTCACCAAGTATCACGAATGTCTGAAGGTTATTCGTTCAGCTTTATCATGCCGCAATCATCACGACTTTGAATCCTTTAACTTTCCTACTTTAGACACAAACATTATTAGTAACAAAGAAAACAGCTTTTATCGATTTGTCAAGCATGTTCTTTGGGATTACTCATCCAAGTGCTTCCACAGTACCTTATCTTTTACCAACCATGAACGAACTTTTTTTTCCGATTATATCATTCCTATCTTTAGCCACTTTGAAAATCAATACCAAGACATTCATTTTGAATGGTAAGTTATCTAATTAGATAAATGAGAACCATAAATCACGGATTAACACTCCCTTCTTTTTTTGTGACCAATATTTAGTTTAGGTGTGAAGTTTCGATGAAAAGTCGCCAAGCCATGCAGTCAACAACATCATCAAGTAATGCAGATGGCATTGGTTATTCTACAAATATTGGTATTATGGATGATGAACGAGTAATTTTCGAAGCATCATCGGGACCAAGACGGGAAGATGTACAACATACATATGGCGATACTCTCAAGAATATGGAAGCATTAACCTCGATCATCTTGCTCAAGGCTTACAAGTTATCAAATGCACGCTTCTCAACTCTTACCCGTTACAAATCGATATGTATTCATTCAATCAAACGAACTCTGACCTTGTCTATAATGAGCATCACCAACGATAAAAAATTTGTTTTTGAAGAACAACGACGCGCTACTGTCCCTGTTGGATATCAAGAACGATATTATTGGTATGAGATCCTGGAACTTATCACACGTTTACAGGTTGGTATTGGATTATAAATAAGTATGATCGGTATAGCAAAGGGCTAATGATGGATCGTCTTATAGGAATTGCTTGAAGGGCAAGAAGAAGTAGATGGTGATTTATGCTCTGAACATTCGGACCCCATGATTGAAGAAGAGGAGACAATCAAGCATACATTTGAAACTGAAAATATACCAATCGACCTCTGTGTATCTCAAAACGACGTTAGATACTTCTGATAACCGATCCGACGATGCCGACGATGCCGACGATTCTGCCTGATTTCCCACTTTATATCAACTCTTGTTCAAATCTTCCATTGAAGTTCCTTTTAGTGTATTTTGGACATGTCCCCACTATTATTTCTATATTTTTTACACAACATTAAAAGAGAAAAAAAAGTCTACTTTGTATATATAACCATCAGAACACACTTACTTCCACTGTCTTTTTCTCATTTCCATTACTATAATAATTAGAAGCATATTTTATTATAAAATATGGATAGAGAGTATATATTGAATTTAACAAAGGAAAAAAGAATAAGGATAAATTCAAGTTATTTTAATATGTATGATTCCTATGTATCAATCCATTCCAATAGTAAAAAGTGCCACGTTGTAGAAAGTACTTAGGGCTACTAAATATAGATAATAGTTTATGCATGTACCAATCAAAAAGCGTATATGTGGATGGCCGATATAAGGGGTCATTTGGACTATTGTAATGATAAAAACAATACGTAATATTTTTTTTACTTGCAGGCAATGCATATTGGCCATTCAAAACTCAATCCCTGTCTCTTCATTTTTTTGAAGTGCATAATATAGGCTAATTTGCAAAAGATCTCTTTTTGTAGGTATAATAACAACTTAACGGTTTGAGTATAATATGAATATGGGACATATTTCTTTTCTGGTAACACATCATTGCTATGGAGACAACAGTGATATATATGGGTTTTAAAATATTGTTTCTTCTCAGGGAAACGTGTTGTGCTTTTTTCCCCCATAGTAACAATGTCTGAAAAAGACATTAGTGTGCGTCGACGAGCATCTTATTTTCACTACTAATGACTTTCTTTTCTTGCTTTATCGGCTTTTATGTAGATGGTATGGAAGCGGATTAAAGAAATTAATGAGATGAATGGATAAACACATATACGGAAAGGAAGGAGGAAATTAGAAGAAGTGTGTTTCTGTGATGCGTATGTCGGCATATTTTGAGTGGAATTAAATTGGTCCTCATTAGGTAGGTCCCCGCAAAATGTTAAATACGGCTATAGATATGGATATGGTACCGGATATGAATAATGCGAATATTTATCACGATAACTTAGTTAAAAAAGCTGCTGTTAAACGTGGTTTCCAAGTGTTGTATTTCTTTCTCTTATTCACCATTTCTCAAATCTATATAGCATTATCCATAACGAGAAACCTCCCATGCATATCGTTCTTTCCAAACTTCATGATAATAGCATCTTCACATCATACTGAAAAAGCTAACCGCCATTTTATAATTCATCAAGCGCCATGTTAATAATATACCAATGCCAAATCAAAAATTTTCCAGCGCCAAATTGAAAAAAACGTCGCGCCAAATAAAAAACGCACCTGCCACCATCATGATAAAGTGGGCGTCAGCTGAAGGGGCCAATTTAAGACCCGATTTCCAGCCTTCATAGAGTTATCTCTGCATGCTTAATTGCCACAAAAGATAGCAGAATCGATAGCTTTAGAGGAGAGGAACACAACGTACTAAATGTTTTTTCAATGCGCTCACTTGTTGCTGAGCTATGACGTTTCGAAGTTTACTATTTTTAGTACTTTTAGCTAGGAAACGAACAATTTTTGTACACCATTTCCCCATCATCTATTTTGAATCGCAAATCTTTTTCACGTCATCTTTCACCAACTTCATAGTTAAATACGCATTTAAATGGCAGGAACCAAAAGAAGAGCTAAAGTTGGTAAAGCCAACTACGAACAAGGAAAAAGATTGAGACTTGAACGCGAAAAAGCAGAATGCGAAAGAGCAGAACGCGAACAACAAGAGATCGAAGTTCAAGACATTCAACAAGAGGAAGAATCCCCTCTTATTGATCACCTGACGCGGGGGTTAAAGTCGATTTGATTTTTGCAAAAAATGGCCCCTTTAGCTGACGCCCACTTTATTCCCACCAACGACATGCTAAAAAAAAAACTCAGCGCCATATGAAAAAAATCATCCGCCATCTTTAAAGGAAAAACCTGTAGCTAGTACATAGTTGCTTAACTTCAGTGGCAACTCCAATATGTACAACGTTAGACAGGGGAGAAGAAATGGGTAGGTCATCTATAGGTCTTCTCAGAATGTATGATGTACTATCACTAATGAATGATAATAAGCTCCCTCCAAAAAGAACAAAAGAAAGTAACTTTTCTTTGAGCTGGTGTCTGAAGATTAGATTTATTACTGATGGTACATTAGCAGCGAGAAGCTTAGAATATTCCAACCGCCAAGTTAATGAAAGTGTTGCACCCACATTATGGTTTGTTTGCTTATTAAAGTTTTGGAAAAGAGCTCCGCTTTGATGAATTCTCGTGTAAGCCGCTTTTTTATGAGCTTTACCCATTTCGGGGCAATTTTGCCTGTTTACATTTTCCGCAAGCGCGACACAAGACGCTAATCTTTGCTCCATTTGGAAAGGACAGCAAGCTTCGTTCTTTCGCTCTCTCTTTTTCTGCTACTTCTTCCTTTCTTTCTCCACCCTCGTGTCTTTCACAATATATCGTTTCCGCACAAATAAATTGTAGGTCTATGGGGTTTATATCGTCAATACGGGTTTGGGTGTTCAAGAGTAAGCAAGACTACCCCGTAAGTATACAGTACTAACGTAGCATATATTGATGCACTAATATAAGCAATGTATTTGATATTAATTGTATCCTATGTATATATGAATTTTCAATCGTCCGACCGACAAAATATTAAATCTCGAATGAAGAAGTCTAAAAAGAGCAATAGCTCCATCAGAAAAGCAAAGGGCAACAAAGCGGATCAGACTAGCAACAGTACCATGAGCGCTGACATACAGAAAAGCCCTTCATCCTCATCCATGAGCCAAACAGCATCGGCCTCTTCCGGTACTGGCAAACCAGGCCATAAATTTGAAGCCGGTCGACGATTTCATGACATCGAAAACGTCTCGTATTTCTTCCCTAACGACAATGATGGTGCGTATCGTAACGGGATACATATCGTATCACTATCATTATCATTATCGTCACGTAGCATGCGCTTTTGTTTTCGCGGAAGGAAACTATTTACATTATTATCACTGAACGTGCTATTTCATTATAGAGGTTGACCGGCTTCATCAGCAACATTGGATTGTCCGTCATATTATGAAAGGGTAAGCTATATAAAAGTCGTGACTATAATCTATAGAATCACTATAAAGAAAGCATGAAGCATTTTAACTTGTTTTTTTTGTGATGTCCTGTTTTGTATTGCGACTATCGCATGTTTTAGAAACTTCCAGTCGCCAATGGAAGAGAAACTGAAAGAGGGAATTATGGTCTTGGACTCGGGATGCGGTAACGATCCAATTCTTTTCAAACAAATATTACGGTGATGACAATCATTTATGCTAACGCGTAAAAACTATATTTAATCTATTTATCATTTCAGGTCCTGCTACATGGTCCTTGGATATGGCCGAAATGTATCCCCAATCAACGTTTTACGGTGTCGACGTGTATCCAGTCTTTCCTAATGAAGTGAAACCGCAAAACTGCCACTTCCAGGCATGTAACGTCGCCGAAAAACTACCATTCCCTGATAACCATTTTGATTTCATTCACCAACGATTGCTTATTTTTGGCCTTACCCGAGCAGACTGGAGAAATGTAAAGCTCATGTTCTTAATAACAACAACGTCATCCTTTGGCTTTTGAGGATACATCAATGCAGCTCATGCGACCTACTCACTCAAATTATGCTGCCACAATCAAATTTGTATATGTGTATAGGCGATTAAGGAACTTGTTCGCGTTTTAAAACCAGGCGGATATCTGGAAATTCTCGAGGTAAATATAAAGACGCGAAAATGACCGTTATGTAAAGTGTGAGAGTAACTGTTACTAATAAGGTCGTCTCACCATTATATTTTTGTTATTGTACCACATATTATTGCGATTAGTGTGATATTGAATTTGAGAATGAAGGACCAATGCAACATCGAGTAATGAGTGCCAGTAAGTTTCAATATGTACAGATACATTTGTTTTTACACGAATAATACTAGTCCGAGTGGTTAACTGGTGATAGTTTTCCAAGCATTTGTGAAAAAGGATATGAGTCCTTCAGTCTCACGAGAGCTTGGTCCAGAATATCTGGAACCGATTGAACAATTACAAGATATCAAGGACAAGGTCGTTTCTTTTCCTATGAATCATGGAGGAAAGCTTGGATCATTATTCTGGTAAATTGAGACATACGCAGCAGAATCTTCGAGTGTAGACTGAATATCTGAATGAGACTCTGTTATCTTTAAAGGGACGATTTTCGACACGCATGTGAAGCTCTACATGCCTGGGTTATGAAAGAAGATGTTGAATTTGAGGACCTTGAAGTATACAAACAATTTTTGGGCGAATGTGCGCAAGAGTGTAGCGAGTACAAAACCAACATGCCCTGGCATTGTTACTCTTGCCAAAAGAAACCTGAATCTGCGTAGACAGACGAGAAGGGAAAAATTACCCATCAATCGGTTCCATTACTTACCAACAGCGATGTGGCAAAGAATATGATGTAAACTATATCCACCTCCGTATTACTTTTATTTTTCTCTTCCTCCCCCACAAAATAGGTGGCAATCCTTTACACGTAACATTTTTTTATAGCTAATAGCTTTTTTTACATACAAACTGCACTGCTAATATACACACATTGAACAAAACCACTATGTAATCCTTTCTTCCTCCCCCAAACTTTTCCAAGCAATGTGTAAATTTGCTTGATGTATTTTAATAAAAACACATACCGCTTTCTTTATATCTTTTTTAATGTATAGAGCTTGAAGCTATATATCATTTCTCAGAAATGGCTGGCCATGTTTATCGCAGTCTTGTACGGGAACCTTTCTTAGACGGCAGGTCACTGCCTCTATATCCGATGCATTTTAATTTTTACAGCTAAATACCATACAGTTCTAAAAGCTAACGATAAAAGACTCGCGATGGTTTACACTGAAATCAAGAGCAGCAATAATAACGGTCTACCAGCAGGTGGAAGAGTCATCATCATTACCGCCGCCGACGAACTCACCTTTTAAATACGATAATAATGCATATTAGTACATCATCCATACAAATGAATGACGTGCTTCTTGGATTTGACATATTGTATCTGGAGCATTCTTGAAGCTTCAGATATTGTCATTCGAATCAAATGCCTCATCAGAAATTCAGTATCTACTATATCTTATGCCAGGCGTCTCGAGTTTCTTTGAAGATGCGGAGATGGTGGAGCAGTCCCTCAGCGCACTGGGCAACATGCTTGGAGAACCATTGACCCGTATTCAGTCGCTTGAATTACTACAACTGCTGCCGCTGCTGCTGTGTTGTCTACGCATCTTGTTGGTCTTCTAATTCATCACAAGTTCATTTTCGAGATTGGTGCTACTGTTGCCGGTCTTTGACGTCAAAATGCTTTTGGCTTCGCAACATCCAGTGTTCTTCGTTTCTCGTTGGTAGCCTTTGACATTTTGGTTGCCTTGGGTCTCGCCTTCTTTCTGTGTCTTCCGCACTGCTCTCGTGTAGCTCTTTATCTCTTTTTTTGATGCTATTTTCTCTCTCCATTTTTTGCAGGGATTATTATTACTTGGACAATAACTTGCTAATCATTGTGAGATATACCGTTGAATGTGGAATGTAAAAAGTAATATACAGCTTTCTGTCGCATCGGTAGCCTTCACTTTTAATAATGCAAGCAAAACCATGTGAGTTCGATTCGGATAAATTACAAATCTTGGTTGCATTTTTAACATCCATGTTGACTGTGATGGTCGTGTCCTCAGCATGTCTCCACGCTGTCTGTTGGCATCCCTTGATATGTGCATTGTATGAGCCTCTTCCACCGAAAATAGTCCAGTCAAGTATACAGGAAGTCTTGACAGCGCAAGAACAAAAGAACAAGGAAGAGCACTATCGATAGCTTTGACATACACTCTTTTATTAACACCACCATCATGTCTCAACATCAACCACAGATGATTTCCACTATTACTCCTTACACAGACAGAGCAGTATGGAGTGCAAGCATAGATAAAGGTTATAAAGCATAGCTGAGACCTGGAAAAGTATATACTGTACGTATATATGCGCATCCATTGGTAAAATCAATGATGGGAGCATACTACACTATTGCTGTGCCTTCTAATTCTGAAGGCTCCAATAATACCGACTTGCTGCTGCTATTTACAGTCAATAAGTTGTATCAAGCAACGCATTGATGCATTATCACTTTAGCCAGCGTGGCGCATACCATACACACATAGGTTTTAACTCAATACTGGCACTTTATATTTCAAATACTGTATCTCAGGTACAACCAAAAGTAAAAATGTAAGTGAAATAAGAGAAAACAGAATTTTTGTTATGCAATGCTTTATTATTAAAAATGAAATGTAATGCATCGCGGAGCAGGCGGACATGACCAAAGGTATTCATGTTGTAGTATTTATGACTATGAACGTTTGCAGAAAAAAAAAGATGGTATGTTAGTCGCTTCCATCCAACAGTTTGCAGCAGACTCTGTATTCGCAATCCATACGTACCTTTTGTATATGCTGCATCTTACTATGCGGTGTTTGGGAGGGTAATATCATGGATTGGAAAATCACACTGTAAATCTGTCGGTGATTCCATCCTATTGGATCGTAAAGCCGCACTGTATATGTGTCGGCAGCTCCATCCTTTTCTGTTTTTTGTTTGTTTGTTGTTTTCCCCTACAAGATCGATACAAACATAGCGTTAGATGATCAGTCAATCGAAACTTAAAGTGGCGTTTGAACAATGCAGAAAGTAACTTACCGGTGATATTGTTTGTAGAATGTATGTGATAATGTGATGCATAGTATGAATGATGTTTAAGAGATTTCCTTGGTTCATGTCCGCTGCTCATTCAAGTATCGCAATTGTATGGTATGGTATTTCTTTTGCTAAATGCTCGACCTCAATCAGCGACGCGATCCTTGGTTGTGTTCTCAGAGAGTGGCACCATGAGACCACCGACCCGAAGAATATAAACTCGCTGCCTTCACCAGAATAGCACACGCGTGCTACACTGGGCTTGTGGGCCACCATACACCCACCCATGGCCTGCAAGGCCATCATAGGCGCCCCAGCAGATGACCTCTAAGGCACATGGCAAGTGTTGCGGTGGTGAGCATTGGCATTGACGTTTGTGCTGTATGCATCTCAGCGTGTCTTTGAACTGTGCGGTAAGTGCATGGCAGTGGAGATATTGACGGTGTCATTTGGGAACTGTGTCGTGCAGGGAGAGTTGAGGGGTGTGAGAACAATGCGGCTTGGATCTGAGGGGGTTGGGGCAGTGGAAGGCAATGTGATCTGGTGTGGTTATCTGGGCTTTGGGATGCAACATCATCTGTTTTTGTAGGTAGTCCAAGACCGGGAATCGGGAAAAATCTACACATGGCTAGAATGGCTTGAACATCCTAGCCAGAACACTCATCCCTTATAACGACTTTTTTTTCCCGAGCTTCAGCTGCGAAGAAAGAAGAGCCGCTATAAGGGATGCTTCCAGAACATCTATCGTTAGTGATTTCTGAATGTAATACCGATAATAGTACAGATCCACACGTTTTTCTATAGTTACCAACCAAACAAATAAGTCTGTACATACCATCATTGTCGCCAAAGGACTGCCTTGTATATCTCTGCTGTTCTTCTTATCTTGGACTACCTACAAAAACAGATGATGTTGCATCCCAAAGCGCAGATAACCACACCAGATCACATTCCCTTCCACTGCCCCAACCCCCTCAGATCCAAGTCGCATTGTTCTCACACCCCTCAACTCTCTCTGCAGGACACAGTTCCCAAATGACACCGTCAATATCTCCACTGCCATGCACTTACCGCACAGACACGCTGAGATGCATACAGCACAAACGCCAATGCCAATGCTCACCACCGAAACACTTGCCATGTGTCTTAGAGAATCAACTACTGAGACGCCCGTACTGCGCCGCACACTGGTCGGCCACCGCTGCTCCTATATAGAGTACAAAGAGTGAAGGGTGAGGAAACTATTATGAAGCGATGTTCTGGTATATTGAAATTTGAAAAATATATACCTCACACCATCAAAACTTCAAAACTTGTCTTTGCCACTTGAAGACGCTTCTCGTCTAATGAAAAAATGATATGGCAAACATTAGCTATTCATCTCTTGTAATCATACCAGGTAACAACGGAGTGTATCGGATGTACGTACCTTATTCTGGGCATGGAGTCCAGCTAAAGCGCACGAAGGCGCTTTGTCAAATAAATAGGGCGGAAACGGAGGAAGTTTTGATCATGGCGGAGGCAGAGTGGCGGTAAAAAGGACAAAAGGGGAATGACCTGTCAAAGTCAACGAAACGCAGTCAGTAACCATGATACACGCTATACGCGCCACAGCCAATAAATTAAGTGTGAGAGATAAGCTTACCAGTATTTTTTATGTTTTAAAATGTTTTTGTGTTTTTGCTTTTGTGGTTTTTTTTAGAGGTTTTTTGTGATGCTTTTTTGCTTTTTTTTTCAGAGGTTTTTGTAATGCTTTTCTGCTTTTTTTTCGGGTTTTCTGGTGTTTTCTCGTCGTACGGCACTGCAATAAAAAAAGAAAAGAAGAAAAGAGCCTAAAAGAGTCAACAATTAGTTTATAACAGGTACTCGTCAATCTAACCAAGACTGATAAAACAAGGTCAAGTACTTACTTTTTTTTACCACGAATAAACCGGCCAGTAGATTACCTTGAGGGGCGGGGTGGGTTCCCACTCCATCTCATCTCCTTCACCGGTCTTCCACTCCGTATCCACCGACTGCTCCTCAACGTCTTCCATTTCAACATCTTCGTTGAAATCAAGCAAGGTGGGAACATATTGTTCCTCCTTCTGCTGTTGCTGCGGTGGTATTGTTGGCAGAACATCCTCCATTTCAACATCTTCGTCGAAATAAGGCTGTTGCTGCGGTGGTGGTGTTGGTGTGGGAGGGGAAGGGGAGAGTGGCGGTGGCGAGACATGCAACCATTGTTGCTGCACCTGCTGTATTTTCTCAATCCGCAACTGCTTGCGCTCACTTTCCTGTTCATTTCTCTTTGCCATCAACTTTCCAAGCACGGTATTGATTGGCGTTGGGGCAGCCGAGGGCTCCTCACGCTTTGCGGGAGCTGCAGGTGCTGATGGAACTGCAGGTGGTGGGGTAATTGCGGGTGCGAGTGATGTAGGAGGTGGCTGCAATGATGCCGTTAATGCTCCATGTCGAGCTCGATTGAAGCGTCTGACAGGCTTTTTAAAGACTCTGTCAGTCATGCTTTGCGGTTGGGGTTGCTGCTGTTGCGGTTCCTTGTGAATGAGTTGTAGCTTTGTGGGCGGGAACATTATGGTAGCGAGCTAAAGAGGAAGAAAAAAAGAGGCACGCGTCAATCTCGAAATTTATTGCCCCGCTGTTTGGGCAGACGGAGCTTCAACCCTTTTTTTCTTGCGCATTACCATTACCTCACGCTCCCTAATGTGTTCTCTGTAAGAGCTATTTTGCGACACTGAGCTCCCTTGTCTATGCTGTATACGTAAAGTAAGCTAGTCACTGGTACATAATTAGCAGCTCATTGAGTTCTCCACATCACAAGGCGAAATGGTGCCTTTTTTTCTTTTTGCGCGGCGATGATATCTTTTGTCCAATGAAAGTTCCGTTCATGCAAACGGAGGTTGGACCTGCAGTAACATAATGATAAGATACTCTCGACATATAGACTAGCCAAGAATACAAGGCCGTGTCTTTAAAAATATGACTCATGATTTATGCTTGTTTTAATAGTAAAGGCTTAAGAATAAGATCGACGACTGTTTAAACTTCTAATATCTTCTAGACAAGTTTTTATGAGTGAGCTTTTTATGTTTTAAAGAACAGGCGTTGCATGTAGTTCACTTGCTTCTTGTCCAGAGTGTGGGTAGACTTCCAACTACATGTGTACTGTATACAATGTGATCCTGCTGCTACCCATAAACAAGAAGCGGCATGCTTACGCGTCTCTGATAGTTGGCGCCAAAAGAGCACCGGACAGCAATATGCTTACATGGAAGACTTTCACGGTCAACGACAACAGCAGTTGACTTGCCATTGCAACCCGTCATATCGCCTATCAGACCGAGCAATTGACTAGCATCGATTTCCGAAAACTCTCAAGCTTTTGCTTTCTATTTACAATGATCAACGACTGGAAACTCTAGAAACCTTCGTCATCTTAATATTGATTATAGAATCGCTACACTAGTCTTATCTTGCTTCTCTGTGTGAGATACTATGAATCAGGCCATCAATATACGTCATCATAGAGCTAACGCAACTTAAGCTGCGCGAGATAATGCACCCTTGTTTCATAAGCATTCCATGGAGCAGAACATGCACTGACATTCCGCGAACTAGACATGGGCTACAATCAAAACGCAGTAACAGTAGCAGTTAAAATTTTAAGCATGCAATTTGACACATCTGACGAATTGTGACAGACGTTCAAGCTGATGGGTGACTTCGCAAATCTGGATAACCATCATCCGCTTATCAATTATGGTTTTATAGGCACAGCGTGTGAATGGCGCCTATAATAAAAACTTGCTGTAACGATACCAATAAAGTGACGACTTTTTTTTATCGGTATTCAATTATAAATGATGCAGCAAATCTTGCAATCACGCAAGACAGCCTGATAATCACATGAGGTCGTCAGCAACAGCTACTAGCAACCAGGTCAGCGAGTGCTGCAAATGGACAATCCGTGCGTAAGTATGAGAGCATCAGCTACAAATATCATGCCATTCCTATACAAGATGCGCGTCACTTTGATGAACCTTATCCTAAGCGTGGCGTCAGTATGCGGACAAGAGCCTTTCAGGTATCCATTTGCAGCGTAAACCCTCCCCGCCCCACCGACTTTGTATTTCGATAGTTGACGACGGTCACAACGTGGTTGCATCGTACATGCACAAGGTTTTATACTCTAAAGGTTAGGTCATGCACCGAAGTAAAGACGTATTGCTTGCAATACAAGAGTGGATGACATAATAAAAGACTGACACACAAATTGACAGCATTCGTCCGCTTGTTCGGTTCCTTTGTTGCATGTCGATTCAGAAGGAAGCCTAATCCAACCTTCCTGATTCATTCCAGCTACCGTATCCGTACTCAATACATATAATGCGTGGACGTTTTGTGTGGGAGTATAGCAGTACAGAAGTAGCTTTAGGATATACCGGTCAAGAAACTTGCTGCTCTTCATCACCTCGTTGTTGTACAAATAAATTTTATATAGTCAAACTAAGCATGGGCTGTCACATGTTCAAGCTCACGTACCAAACATTTACGCGTTTTCAACTGGAAAGAGCTACACTGTATGCCTAATTACTCGAGAGCTGCAAGAGATTATATACATATAGTAACTAATTGTAAGTAAATACACTGTAGTGGTGCGGGCGACTATTGTTTCAAAACTCGACATGATGGTGCGCACTACGACTACAGTACTGATAAGCAGAGCATGAACGGTATGTTATGAGTCCATATCTTTATATGCTCGTTCTAAAAATTGAGTAACTATGTGCTTTGCTTTGTACGTTCTGGTGTTGTGAGGCTTAGTCCATCTTCATCATATTATGGTACAGTACAGCGTGTCATTAGATGAGGAATGCCGTTTATTAGCATGAGGTCCATTTTTGTACTTGAATACCTATCCTACCGGTAACTGTTAAAGTACCCCAGGATATAGATTGTGAAAGCTAACCAATCTCCTGTTTTTCTAGTTTTTCTTTTTTCCTTTACGCCCAATCAGGCAAATATTGTACAACATAGCTTTCTTGATTCTCTTGTTCAATGCCTCATTAATTAACCTTTTTGGAAGGACTTCGTCACATTCACACAGAGTACCACAGATCAACTCTTTAGATCGTAGATCCATTCGCATATATTTACCACCTAAAAGCCTGCTTGTTTTCTTTATGTATTAAATATATATATATCTATATATATCTGACTATAGCAGCAGCTACTGCTACTTCCTCTCTTCAATCATCTCTCTTTTAACCACATTAACGTGATCATCAAGATCGAGCCCCGTGAACTTGGAAGAAACCCAAGTGCCTTTATTCATCCTACCGGTTTAGGCTGCATGGGTTTGTAGTAGAATTCATTGCTGTTTTATTACTGTATCTGACTGGCATGCATGGCATTGATCCATGGTTTGCACAAACAATAATGTGCAGATGAGTGAATTTTACGGAGAAAAGAGCGACGAAGAAAGCATTGCTGTTTTGAAACGTGCATTAGAAATTGGGTAAGAATAATGGGTCTAGACACATCATGCAATGTTTCATACGAGAAATGAAGCGAGATAGCTTTCCACTAGGTACATTCTTTTATGAAACAAGATAGATGTACAATCTGAGACACAGCTGATGTGTATGATGTGGGTCACAATGAACGTCTTTCGAGCAATGTAAAGATAACCGGGATCAGATTCTCCTTTGCATGAACTTTGGTGGGGTCCGCGATGGAAAGACGGGAGAACTTCTGAGCGTTTGCGGAGAACCTGAATATGTGCGTGAGACTTGTGAGAAGAGCTTGAAGCGATTGGGTGTAGAAACCATCGATTTGTATTACCAGCATCGAGTGGATAAGGACACGTAAGTGCTTTAAGAATAATATGATGGGTGCAGATGTACGGTAATGTTATATTTTTAAAACAATGTTTTGACACTTTCTTGTTTGATGTATTGTCACATTTTACATGTAATTAGATCGATTGAAGAAACTGTCAAAGCCATGGCTGAGCTTGTTAAAGAAGGAAAAGTGCGTTACCTCGGTCTTTCTGGATGCAGTGCTAAAACGCTTCGTCGAGCTCACAAAATACATCCGATCTCGCCTGTACAAGTGAACAAAAAGCAGCAACATATATTAAATACCTAGTCCTCATTGTCTTACTACCGTAACGCCATTAGATGGATTATTCTCCATAGAGTCGCGGTGTCGCAACCAATGGTGTGTTGCAGACTGCCCGAGAACTTGGCATCTCTATCGTGGGCTGGTAAGTTGTTGGATTCGAGGAGTAGATAGTGGTGACAATAGTAGCAGAAAGCAATACGTCGTTTCATCCTTTGTATTGCAGGGGATGGTTATACACAATCTTAAGGCGAATTGAAACGAGCAATGCGCTGCATCGTACACCTATAATCATCATCTTGCTTTTTCCTATAATATCCGTATTGATACTGTACATAGCTCCCCATTGGGTCGTGCAATGTTCACCGATGCAACAAAACCAGCCAATCAATTCGGTGAAAACGTTGATAGACGCTACTTGCCACGATTTGCTGCAGAACATTTTGACAAAAACAAGGAGTTGGCTGACAAAATGAAGGTCTTGGCGACGAAAAAGGGTCTATCTTTAAGTGAATGTGTGTTGGCATGGATACTTGCTCAAAATCCTGAATTCATCGTCTTTCCAGGAACCAAACGAATCACCTACTTGGAATCAAGGCAGCGATGATTCAAGTGATGCCGGAAGAAGTTGCTGAAATGACCTCCCTTTAGCATTACTGTCAGCGGTGATAGTAATGATGAGGCACAGGCTGCTCTTGAGGATATCGATAGTGACAATGAGAAAGATGGTGGTAATTTTACAACAGTACGAGGGTAATAATATTGTATAAATGTAGTTATCACAGCAAACATGTTATTATATCCATCATTGAATGATAGTGTCCTTTGATAAATTTATTTACAGCACGTTACATTTTTTGAGCTGTAGCGTCGTTTATAATGATTGTATGTTAGTTGCGTTTTATTGTTGATGTATAGCGAGAATAACAGTTTCATATTCTTTGAAAATTTGCATCACACTGACCTTTTTCCTTCCTCCTGTCTTTCTCGTCCTCCACATGCTCTCAACCATTTGTAAATTCGTCATTGCTTGCATATATGTTAGAAAAGAACAAGACCGCTCGTACATTACGTGGCATAGAGCTGCTAATGTGACTCATGCTTTAGCTTGACGTCGTGGATATCATGTAAATCTATTTACTCTTATAATTACTGTAGTAGATTACGCTGAGAGAATCACTGTTGCGGGAAAAACAACTCGGTAATCATTTCCTCCCAACCACTACCACACAATAACAAGAAATCACATCGCGTCAACTGAAAAAAGTGGCGCCTTGCCACGAGTTTCTTTCGGCAGCGCAGGTCAACAAGTACATAACTTTTGAGCATCACGCCGGGCTCCGTTTACTGATATGAGCAAAAGCGTCACGAGTCCCATACCTATTGGGTGCTTCTGCATCAACACAAAGTAAATAACATGCATCTTTGCAAATATATTTTGAGACTTCCTGCGTGTATGCACATTTTTATGTATTTTCCAAGCATTACCCCGATGTCCCCTGGCTCGTTATGCATAGTATATTCTGTCAGGCTCTTTATATTATGTGTTCTAGCAACGAAGTGCTGCATGACCAGAACGAAGAGTGTCTATAGGTCTCGAATCCTCGAAAATAAATATTGAAGCAACATACTTACGATATGCCAAAAATACGAATTCAAGGTAAACACTAACGTAGTAAGCGATGAGTTTAAACCCCGTTTTTGTGTATTGCATACATATGAAGGAATGTAGATCATACCAACTATATAGCAAGCCCCAAATGACTTTGTATTCGATGAGAAAAAAAATTAGGCTCGGCGCACCATATACAACACTAGTAATGCACTTCATTACTTTTCCTCTCTCATTCTTTCCCGCGAAACATAATGGCAGAATATAGGTTATGCTTATTAGTACATGTCTCAGTAAGAAAAGCCGGTTTTTTGACGAAAAACGGGTGGAGGCAGACGCAGACTGTTACATAAACTCGAATTCATAAGTACAACTGCGACAGCAGTCACCTTCAGTAAGCACAGCGCCGATCCCACTCTCTAGCACTGATAGTACTCTCGGAACAGAGAGTAAATAAAGAAGTTACGATGCGTCGCTTTTTCTATTTGAATAAGAATAACAAGCATAACGATTACGTAAAACTGCATACTATATACTGTAGAGGAAACCATAGAGTCAAAAAAAGCAAAAATAAGGTTGATTTAGTCTGCTTCTGCTGCTTCTAACAAACAGCAATGATTATTCGGTTTGTTTAATGTTTATCGCTCATCATGTCATTGCGTCGTCCTTGCCTGTTGCCTTATATAAAGGGCTCAGCAAAATCGTAAGAGCAGAATCATCACAACAATAATCCATCATCACCTTTCTCTTTTGATAGCACATTTAAAACACGCACAATGAAGTTCGCTAGCGCTATTACTGCTTTCTTTACCTTGTTTGCTGCTTCTGCTCTCGCCCTCCCTCATGGTGGCGATCAAAGTAATACCGTTGGAGGTTGCAACAATGATGGTGGCCACGGTGGTATCGTACGTATTATACCGGCTCTTTATTATTGCTCCTTTTACTGCTGCCATGAAAGACTAATACATGTTGCTAACGATACAAGCCTCTTTAACAATATATAGCTCACCGGAATCCTCGAAAAGGGTATCCTTAACGACAACACCAAGAATTGCTACCAGCAAGTTACTAATGTCGATGATTAAATTTGATGGGATTTGGCCTTGTTGGGATAATACATGTATATACATCTCACATTTTATAACGTTGCATATCATCGCTGCTTCTTTTTTTCCCACAACATAACATTTGCGGTATTACCACAAGAGTTTTTCATACTTTTCCTTTTTAAACATATTCTAGTATTAGTGTATTTTGCTTGAGTCTCGACAATTTTGACATATTTATCAACGTCCATATTATCAAATAAACATATTTCTTTTTCATCTTTATATTTTTTACAGCTATGTACAGAAGACTTTGAAGTGAATCTATTTGAATGAATGCATGAAACATGGAGTGTCAAGTTATTATGATATGCATTACTGGTATGCTAGTATGCATCATAACAGAGCACAGAACGCAGCAGCTGATAGTGAAGGAGGTAGTTTTTACTATACATTGCATTATATTAACAGAGACAGCAATGTTCCTTCCACTTGATCCGATATGATATCACCTCTTTTAAGTGGTTAAAAATAATGAGTGCAAACTTTTTAGAGTACGTGCGTCTGCCAAATAGAGACCACGGGATAATAGATACTATTATAATTAGGATAATGCAAATCGCAGGCTTATGATGATACAAGCAACGACAGGTATGTAGTAGACCTAAATTGTTTCATGAGGAAGCATAGGGATCCTGCCTTCCAACAAAGTAATAAAGCACACATCTCAAGTTTTTTTAAGGCCGTATAATAAATTTATTTGATATGGATATGCACTTCAAATGTATGCTAAAGGGTTAGATAAGAAAAAAGAAGAGGGAGCTGTAAAATTCGTGCTGTTGTGGTCTACTACTAATAAGATGCGTGAAATAGTAGCAGTAACAAAAAACGTTAAAGACAACGACGGTAGCTGACCAGCAACATCTTGATCTAGTGGTCGGTGTCGTCGACTGTCTGGATACAGTACTTCTTGTTGTTCGAAAGGATACCTGCCTGGAGGACGGCGGGGAGCTATTTTCATTACCAATGTTTTAAAATATGACAAGTACGTAGTCAATTAGTATATGATTCATATCAATAGTAACTACCATTAGCTGTATGCAGCTTTTGATCTATGAAAGGAAAATTTGCTTGTTATACGTACAACGCCAGTGATATCGCCTTGACCTTTGCAGCCATGGATGGTAATGTCGTCGTCACCACCACCACGGCGACCATCGCTGTGGTGGTCAGAGTAATGATCGTAGTTGGGACGAGCAACGGCGGAAACGGCGAAGACGGTGAAAAGGGCAGCAGCGGCGGTGAAGAACTTCATTTTTGGTTTTGGATGGGAAGAGGTAATAAAGTATTACTTGAGATGAAGTGTGATATGATAATGTTTCAAAAAAAGTTGTTGGGCAGACCCTTTATATATCTTTTGGCCGGATCCAATATCCTCCGCTTGTCTTCCTGCGACTTGCCGTTTTTTCTGTAAAGTTATTCAAGCATAAGAAGACATCGATATTAGCATTGTTTACCTACTACCTCCGATACTATAAAGATTGTCCGTCTGAAATGATTAACGGTTTATCAAAAAATGAGATTTTAATTAAACGTGATGCGTTTTGCAGGGAGCGGTGGTTAAAAGTACCCATTAGCAGCAAAGGGAAACAAAGATATACTTTGCATTGTCTGTTATATTTCGTTTTTCTTCGCCCTCTTCTTTGATAATGCGCCGCTCTGTTTGCATATTACTTTTTTCAAACACAATATAGTACCATAAGGATAAGAAGAGCTTGTCACTTGTATTTTTCGGAGTGCTGATAGTACGCTATAGACTTGATATTAATTCAACGTCGTCCCCCTTTCTTATTTAATAACGGAAAAAGGACGGCTAGCATAACTACATATTGTATCCAGCTATCTGCTAATTTTACAAAAAATCAATGAGAAAATGATACCGATAGTATAGATACCTTTTGTCTATTAACTTTACTCACTTTGGGGCGTATCTAATGGTTCCTGTTGGAGCTTGCGTCAATACTCTCGGGTGTATAACGTGATATGGAAAACATGCATGGCAAGCGGCCGATGCTTATCAAATAATATGTATACACCAAAAATGTCTTTATTACTATCATTGATACTATCATAAAGTATAACTCACTGTTTTGTGTCTCCTGTGCGACTGTACCCATATATTAATTAAATGTATAATACTTAGAAGACCATAGATCAACTGCTGATTGCCGAATATCATTTATTGCCATGCTAAGAGGATAACGACAGTACACAAAGTAAGTACTGTTACTAGGGACGGATTTACTTCAGCGACCACAGTGTATATTATTCCTGTTGGCTTTAGGATAATGGCTATTTGCTATGCTTTTATTAAACATGTCCCGAATGGATCAAAACTGCGGGTACAATATTCTGCATATGCTAAAATTTGACATTCTTTAAGGGGCTAAAAGGGCAGAGGAAGCGGCAAAATAGTTCAATATGTATAATTTTATTTTTATGGGAGACTTAGTGACTTTGCGTAATTGCTCGCTTCCTTGCGACACAATTAAGGGAGGACACCCGCGGGCAGAGTCGGCCGGGCACTCTTCCGTCTGCCGCACAAGAATTTTGGCTTTAAGACGGGGTAGATGGTACAGAATGTAGTCCAGTGGTTGCACATCGTCGGGTAGTAACCCTGGGAATGGTCCGAGCGCATCAAGGAGCGCTTGAAGAAGGGAGCCAGAAATGCTCGCACTCAGAATAGTGCAGTGGTATGCCGCAACGACAGCTTTGGAGCGGGTATGCTGAGTGATAAAATTAGGGAGGAAAAGATCATCAACACTTGCATACTGCAGATCATATGATGAATAGAAAATACGTAAGACGTCAGACATATATCATGCACTCTGTAGCATTGATAAACGCGCATTTTAATTTGTTTCATTTGTTGTTCGCATATTTGCTGAATCGATCGCTCGTGCATACATTATATTGTTCACTCTTCCTTTTTCTTTTGCCTGATGCTGATGCTGCTGCTGCTACCCGCCCACCTCATTAGTTGTAATGTTATCGTCGATGGTGTTCCTCGTTCATAGGTCGTCTATTTAATAGAAGTTAACCTTGAACATCAAAAGTTTTGATAACGTCAAACGCTATTTTTACAAGTTATATATTACGCCATGAATTTTTGGCAGAAAAGTAATAAACATGAGAATAATAATAATAAAAGATTTGATCTGTACATACGACAAGTATGTATCATGTGCATGAAGATCATTGTTCCACGTTACAATATCAACCCCAGCCTCCACCCCTTTTTTATCTTCTTTGGATTGGCAAGTACGCTTGAATTGTAAGAGCGGATATTCAAAGCGGTGCATAAAGCCTTCCACAAAGACTATCCAGCTTCATTCAGGGAAGACGTAGAAACAGTAGTGGAAGCTATCAGATATACACCGATAGGGAACTTCCTCAAAGCAACCAAAACACTCATTCTATATGGTGGTAGGTATATTAAGCATTCTGCTAAGGCATCATGCAAATTGGGAAGAAAACTGTAGTCCAACGTGCAAACAGGCGATCGACAAGCTAGGCATGTATCATCAACTCTGACTCCCTCGCTACTGCGTAAATTGAACTTTCAACACGCTACATAATGTCTTACCAAGTCCATTTTTTCTGGCAAAAATATGCCATGGAGAAAAGAAATTTTTATATTAAAGCACAACATTCGAAAAGTGATGCATCGCTTATCAATTTCTCCTTTCTGAATTTGCAACTCTTCAGACACATCGTTTCTAATGAAAATCGAATCGGTTATATTACCACTTGTATACCTAGGACTTCAAAGGAGTTGTTTGTACTGGCAGTAGTTGCGGCAATTAGGTCAATTTTGTTTATATGTACTATGTCTCAATCATAGTAGTTCTCGCACTATTTACACCATTATTAGTAGCAGAGGACCAAGACGATCCTTCTATTTTGTATAAATAGGGTTGTGTTTGGATTCAACATGGGATAATCTACCATCACTTTACTATCACCTAAACCAAAAATGAAGTTCTCTACCGCTGCTACTATCCTTTTCGCCATGTTTGTCGCTTCCGCTGTTGCTCTTCCCCGCGGAAACTACCACAATGACTATCACAACGACGGTGGCGATGACACTGTTGACCTTAAGGGCTGCACTGAACAAGGAGATTTGACTGGCCTGGTATGTATCATCGCTTTACGAAGGATGGCATTATTGTATACATGATGATCCACATGATCACTTTTTCCACTAATTAACTAACTTCTGATTTACACTTAAACTAGCTCCCCGCCGTCCTCCAAGCAGGTGTCCTTTCAAACAACCATAAGAAATGTGTGCAAGCCGTCAAGGACGTCGACCATTAAAACGAAGAAGCTATACACGAAGGATTTTTGTCGTCCTCGGTTGAATGTCGATTTACATAGACTATGTAGTACTGTGGTAGAAACACACATTCATTCACAAATCCTCCATACTCCCATCCTTCTCTTCTATAACGATTATTGTTGTTGAATTCTTGCATATTTTTCATTGCATACTTTTTCAAAATACGTAATAAAAATTTTGAAATTGCCTTTTAATTAATACGGGTATCTTGCTTTATCGTGATTGTAAAACAAATAAAGAATGATGTCTCACAAATTAGCTGCTTGGAGCCTCTCTTGATATATATCATGATACAACATACGTGGTGGTTGAAAAGAGAAACAACACCTCAATCCCTGGTCTATGGGTCATTGTCGATCATCCCTCTCTCTATTTGTCGCTATAATATGTAAGGTGGGCGTCAGCTAAAGGGGCCAATTTAAGACCCGATTTCCAGCCTTCATAGAGTTATCTCTGCATGCTTAATTGCCACAAAAGATAGCAGAATCGATAGCTTTAGAGGAGAGGAACACAACGTACTAAATTTTTTTTCAATGCACTCACTTGTTGCTGAGCTATGACGTTTCGAAGTCTACTATTTTTAGTACTTTTAGCTAGGAAACGAACAATTTTTGTACACCATTTCCCCATCATCTATTTTGAATCGCAAATCTTTTTCACGTCATCTTTCACCAACTTCATAATTAAGTACGCATTTAAATGGCAGGAACCAAAAGAAGAGCTAAAGTTGGTAAAGCCAACTACGAACAAGGAAAAAGATTGAGACTTGAACGCGAAAAAGCAGAATGCGAAAGAGCAGAACGCGAACAACAAGAGATCGAAGTTCAAGACATTCAACAAGAGGAAGAATCCCCTCTTATTTATCACCTGACGCGGGGTTTAAAGTCGATTTGATTTTTGCAAAAAATGGCCCCTTTAGCTGACGCCCACCTTACTCATTTTATTATTTTAAGTATAAAATCTTGAGGTCCACCAAAGTCCACCTGGGTCCACCATTTTTTGAAATCCCGATAGCAGGACCACAGTGATATCCAGCGATATCATTGGTTATACCGAATGATATCTGCGAATATCAATTGTTGGGGACCGTTTTTATAAGTAGAGCCGTGGACCTGCTTGTTATTAATAAAAGAAGAGCTTGGTATCTTTAGAATTATTACAGAAAACCTTCAAAATGCTTTAAATGAACCGGGCATTGATTCCATGTATTTAAGGAAAGGTTAATGTCATCCGAGATTGCAGAATAAGTTTTTTAAATCGTGCTGTTCTTAATGAATGAGCTGCTCTAGGTCGTGTAATTTGTATCATGCTAGCTACATACAGCAACTGTACCACTCAAAGAGCCTACATTTTAGTGATCTCTCCAATACTTTCAATGTTAGATGACAGTGATATGGATGCCATGGTGTTAGCAAAACTATTACACTCTAACATACACGTAGATCCAACATCAGTGTCTACACTTCAGACTAACCCTATCTTTCTTCTGTCTCGTCAGGTACCTTGTTGATAGCTTTCAAAAAGCATTGGTATAGATGGCACATTGATTCAGTGGATTGAACGGTATACGCTATTCTATCTATGCTTGAGATATTAACAATGTTTTCTCTCCTTTCCTGTACTTTGAACATGTAACAGACACTAGGTAGAAATAGTTAGTGTTGTGTAGGAACATGTCATATCTTGTTCCTTTCTTTGCCTGACTGATGAATAACAGCAACTTATTGCTGCCATTGCAACGATTATAAAACCACTTTGTAATCGCTATCGACCGATGAACTAACTATAAGCAGTTCTAATGACTATCCTTCCTTGATAACTGCTCAAGATTTATGTATTCACAATGCATTTTGACAGCGGAAGGTGCGAAAAACCAGCGCAACATCTGCAGCAGTACGAACATTTTTGGAGAGAAAAACTAATCTACATCGCCTTCATTTAAACAACATATTTCTGTTCCCAGTAATACATTATCGCCATGCTGCTAACCATGTATCGTTCGTAATATACACAGTCGTCTCGAGTGTCCATTATTAAATTACTAATATTAGAGCCATATCCAGTACTGCGTGTATATATATAATCTAATTCCTACATCTTAAGCTCTGCATCAAGTGCAACTAATTTATCAAATGCATTTCATCATGCTTCAGAAAACGTACTATTATAAGCATTCCCTATTCGAAACCATTGACAATCATTTTTAGGACAGGCCTCGTGAGCCCACAAAACAAAAGTTATATATTCTTTGAAAAAAAAGGGCCAAACAAGGCCACGAAACAAGCAAAAGTTAAAAAGAAAAAAAAAGCGAGGCAAAAACCATCATGGCCAACAGACCACAACATGAAAGTAATACAATAAAAAAAATATGGCCAAGCAAGGCCAATGTTAGAAAGTTGAAATAAAAGCGTGTCAAAGGGAAAGCTAGCGAGTGAAAAAAAGAACAAGATGGTGAAATGAATATACAAAAAGTTTAAAGTGTATCAAAAAAACATAAGTCTTTCGATAGTGAATCTAATGAGGTAATGCCGACAGCGAGATAGTGTCTATGTATAGTGTCCAACGCTTCTGGTACTCTTTCTTGCATTCCTTTTCTTTCGATATAATCTTGAACTTTCCGAATAATCGCTCGTCTTCTACGAAACCATTTGCCGTCTGAATCACTTTTTCGCCATGCAGTTTTGTACACTTCTTCCATTCTAATCACAGACATGCCGCCATTCCAACCGTCAAACCATTCAGTCCATAATTGTGGGATTGTTTGGACGTTTGTGCGGTTCATGGATGGATATATGGGCTGTTGTTGTTGGGGGTGATGATGATGGTGATGAGTTGGTGCTGATGCTGCTGACGATGATGATGACGATGTTGGTGCTGGTGCTGCTGACGACGACGACGAAGATGATGATGGCGCTGGTGCTGCTGATGGCAGTACCACAGTTGCTGTCATGGTGGATGGGAGGGAGGAGGACGAGGACGGGAGCGAAACCGAGCCCCAACCTTCCTGCTGCTGTTGTTGTTGCTGATCTTGTTGTTGTTGCTGCTGCTGACCTGCCAAATTGAGCGTGACGCTCAAGGACGCTTGTCCGCTGGCGATGCGGTCCCAATGCTGTACAATATCTCCTATACGACTCATGTTTGGTGCAAGCTGCGCAAGTGCTTCCAGAGTGGGTATGGCGTTAGAGAAAGATTGTACAATGCGATTGGTGTCTTGTTGCTGAGCAGCGATTTGTTGTTGTATTTGTTGTTGCAAGATGGCAAGTCTATTTTCAATGATCGGCACGGCACGTTGAAGTAACAGATCAGTGGGCTCTTCGTTGTTTTCAAGTGCATGATTCAAGTTACTATTTTAAAAGGATAATTAGTATATAAACGAAAGACTGTAGTCCACCAGCACATACCGTTCAAATTCAAGATACAAAGGATCACGGAACAAAGGATCTTGCCACAAATGATGACCTGGACAGCGCTTTTTCATCAAAACCGAATCTTGCAAAAATACAACACGCAACTGCACAAGAAGACGCAAAAACGAATCAGCCGCGCACGAGTCCTCCACTTGTTTGGCTTCCAGCAGCGCCCGCCACCGATCGACTTCAGGAAAAACCTTCTTGCAAAGCTCAAGGGGTGGTGTAACAGCAGCACGAGGTAAGTAGAATTGGCCAGCCTCTCTAGTGAATCCTGCCATGGTCCGCAAGATATCACGAGGCAAATTGGTTAGATAACTGGTCGATAAAGCAGAATTATTCCAACGACCTAATCGCCGGATAGACTCTTCGCTCGTTCCAGATATCTCTGCCATGCGTGCTGACGAACCCCTCATAGCGTGAGTGACCGCTTTACTGTGAATGCCGACTGACTTGAATGCTTCTAAAATACACTCGCGATGACGATCATACGTAATGGACTGCGTGTTGCGATCTCTGCCTCTGATGAGCTTGATGTCGAACCAATCTCGATTGCTTTGGAAACAAGGGAATGCCTCACCAGCAACGTGCCACCGATGAAAGAGATAAAAGGAAAGCATCATCAAAGGACAGATAACAACATTGGCGTTACGCATCGCAGCAGCAAACTCCACACGGCCCTCTTGGTTTGTTTTTCCTTGCTTAAGCACCATCACCAACGCATGACATTCAGTGACACCCTCGCGCTCAAGAAGTAACGTTTGTAGATCGGCAAGTTCCATCATACGAACGCTTTCGCCCCGTAGAAGTCCATAGTGTTGCAGAAGAAAAGCAGTGCAGTTTCGCAGTCCTTGTTGCTTGTTGGTGGCCAGAAAATGATCTACAATACGCTCCATCTCAGCTGATGTCGAATATCCATCTGCTGTCGTACGCATGCCTCTGTCTTCGTAGTTTTGTCGACTAAGCTCGTTTTCCACACGTTTCAAATGATCAACCAGTGCATGAACAAGCGGGCCACGCGGATGCGGACGATTGAAGCAAGGGTCTGTTTCGGCTTGTTCAAAATGGAGATCGACAATGGAAGTAATGTATTGTTTAACGGTAGCAAGCTTGACTTTGGGGGCGGGGGCATCAGGCGCAACAGGTTGCTCAACGGTATAACCCGGAGCATCGCGTACAGGTAGAGCAGCAGATGATGACGACGACGATGATGGCAAGATGGTGGTGACGGGCGAGAGAACAGCAGCAGACGAGGATGATGGCATGACGGCGGTGGCGGGCGAGAGAACAGCAGCAGACGAGGATGATGGCATGACGGCGGTGGCGGGCGAGAGAACAGCAGCAGACGAGGATGATGGCATGATGGCGGTGGCGGGCGAGAGAACAACAGCAGCAGGCGAGGATGATGGCATGGTGGTGGTGATGGTACGCATGGCAGGAGCGGGTGACGAGGCGGGCGACAGCACAGAATTCTCTGGCTCTTTTCTCTTTCTCCCAGGTTTACGCTTCTCTCTGAAGACGACCTAAAAAGAACACAATTGTAAGACATGCGTACATATATAGATTGCGAACAGATATGTTGCTAACCTCTTCCACAAGAAAAAGATGAAGCTTTCTGTCGTCGATCAACTGGTTAGTGTGATCATTTGGACAGCGTCTTCGGCACCACTCGAGAAATTCTTCCTGCCTGGGAGAATACGATCTAACTGTATTCTGCGGACGGCTTCCTCGTGCTTGTTCGTATGTAGCTCGAGCAGCAGATTCAGCAGCAGCTTGATACTCTATTTGCGAGCTCATGAAAGAAGTATACTGTGGTAGAGGGGGAGGGACAGGGAGAGAAAGAGGACGTGGTGAGGCACCATTACTCGCCACCACACGGCCCGGGCGATTAGCCAAACGGGCGGTGCTTCTCCTAGCGGGAGTAACAGTGCTACCACGACCTCTGCTCATGTTGTTAAGATAGTGAACGATTTAATGAGGAATGGAAATGAGATGAAGGAAACGGAATCTGACAGATGTGCCTGACAAAAGAAAAGTGGCGAAGCTTCGAAAATTCTTTTTTTTTCCTGGATATCAAGATTGGGTCCCCGCTATGCTGTGGACCTGAGTCCGGACCCGCACTAAACACAAAATGATATTGCCAAAATATCATTTTTTGATAACCATTGAGATATATCCTCACCTTCTCATAAACTACACAAGTACATGTATTATAGATCGAAACCGGAAATCAACACTTGAGGTCAGTCATTTGTTGAACAGGGTATAAAATTACTACTAAAGGCCTTTGCCGCCCGCCCGTTTCGCTTCGCATTAAAACTTACAGTTGCTCAGTCTCGACAGCTCGAGCTTACAATCCACTGCGTGCCTTCAACATTCTCTTTTTTATTGACCAATCAAACTTCCTCCTCAGCAATCTAATCAAGATCACCACTATTCACATTATATCAGTCTTCAACCGTTAACTATATAAGTATGGGGATAAGCCATGTTTCTGAAGGTGCTCGGTGAGATCTGGTCTTCGATGTTGTTTTTATTTCGGATCTATATTTACCAACCACAGCTCCGAGTGTCGGTCGATCACAAGCAACGTATGATGAAGGTGGTCACATTTAGCTAGCCGGCGACGACGCGCCTTCCCTACTTTCTCCATGTTGCACTATCGTTGAACCTCTACGTCAGCGAAGCAAGCAGACACTTTAGTTGACGCGTTCTTGTATTATCTGGCTGCATGTGCTCTTTGTGAAATGTCTTGCGGCAATCTAAGCACAGATGCACAGATATTCATGACGGGGTGAAAGACAGATAGCGACAAATGGTAGCCTTTTACCACAAGGCTTAAGCATAATTCACATAGTTTGTTGAGTACAGTACAAAACTCGATAATGATATGCTGCTGGGCACGAGCTTTTAACGGTTTTTCTTTTCAAGAAGACGTTCAAAAAATGCGCTTCCTCACGGATATGCTGGTGACTGTTGCTGTCATTGACAACAAAACGCGGGGGACCTGTACGGGCTGAGACGGTGGTAGATTGCCAAGTATCGCATGCTTGTTGAAAGTAGCTCAAGGCTACTTTGGGTAACTTTTTGCTATTGCTGTTGCTCGTCTACTTCTGATTTCTTGTGCGTACGTGCTTTGCTAACATCTCGCACGGATGCAGACGTTGAAGGAGATTTGGCGAATGAGCAGTATGGATTATAAAGCACGTTTTTAAGAGCAGCAATAGTTGCCATAGTTACAGCAGTTGCTGTGGCAACTTGGGCATCGAACTCGTTCGTCGTGTTTTGGCGTTTTCGAAATAGTAATGATTAGGAAAGAGAGCGTAGCATGTTTGACACAGTATGTTGTCGGACGCCGTACGCGCCGGGCAATTCTCCTTTATTTATTTATTTTAAATGCTTTACGCTAGAGAACATCCCTTTTAGTGGCGTTATATCAGCCGGATTCAGGCACCAATCCGAATCCTGAGTTGTCTTTTACAGTGGTCTAAAGAGGTCGTATAATTTTAAAAAGTGATCAACGATATCTTAGTTTTGGATGTGATTTGCCATAAATGATCGACTTGAGCAATTTGGTTAAGGTCGTTTTTTGAGGAAATTATTGTTTTCCTTGAAAGCTATTTCGGCAATGCGCGTACGTATAATGTTCCAATAGAGGCATGCTGGAGATTGGGGTGCTCTGTCGACGAAGCACTGGGAAGCGAATAGAGAAATTTTACCGGCCCTTGATCGCATTCATTTGCTGTTGATATTGATAGTAGCAAGAAGGTCGAACAACTGCTTAAGCTTCATTTTGAAAAAAAAACTATGACACGCCTTCGATTATTGATCTGCTGATACTCTTTCTAGCTGGTTTTTATTTCACCTTTTATTCGCTTTTCTATTTTCTTCAAGCTCAATATAGCTCAATATAGCTCAATATAGCTCAATATAAAGGAAAGCTATATACAGAGAATTGAATTCTGTCCGTCTAAAGATGCGAAAGAGCTGCCAGCTGATAAGCACCTTCGTTCTGGTATGATTCTCTTATAGAACCTGTCGTCAAAGGCAGACCACTCACTCAAGACATAACACCCAAGCAATAATAATCACAAACCTTCTTCAGCTTTCATAACGTAATCGGCCGATATCACCGCCTGGAATGGAAAGGTGTCCGACTTGGTCTACTAACGCAAGTAAATTCTCCTTGTAGTGCTGAAGCTCTATTGGCTATTCGTGTTAAACTCGAAAGATACCTTGATTTGATTAAGTTCTTTGTTATCCATGCAGATCCTATTAAAGGCGCGCTGTGGGGACCGCGAAAAGAAAGCCTGCATACATATCGAAAGGTAACCTTTTATTCAAATGCGTGAGAGAGGCAAAACATGTGATGTGTTTGCAAGCATCGACGAGTGGAGTGATATATTTAGCGTCTCGAATTACAAAGAGGATGGGCTGAATTTACATAGCCGATTTTGTCGTAGAAAAGCACTGATTCTATGTTCCATAAAATCCTACAAGTTCGGTCACTTGGTTGTAACTCAAAAAGTCACTATCAGTGGTTATGATACATATCATAGGCGATCTTTTTTCAGCTAGAAAACAGTCTACAGCGAGCAGCAAATCAGTCACTTTGAGCTTGCAACATTCCAGGTGAACTACAGAATGCTGCGTTCAATGACAGTATTTACTTTTTGCAAGCACTTTGCACTTACGATCAACATGTTTACTAAAATGCAGTATACAATTTTACGCGGGAAAATGTGTCCACGTGGTTGCTCTATTTGTGTGTTGTACGTGAGGGTACGGCGGAGAGAGAACGACAAATCATGCTGCCATAATTTTTACAAAAACAGCTGTTGTCCATTTTAACTTTCCTAAACAGCCCAGCATTTGGGGAGAGAGGAGAACTACGAGAAAATAAAGTTTTTTTTTGTTTGTTTGTTGTTTGCTACAACACTCATACTACGAAGTGACAGAATAATAAGAATAAAAAATATTACATACAGAGTTAATTGTTTGGTTGCTCGTTTGTGAAAAAAAAAGCACCTGGATGGAAAGGAACATATATAATATAAAGAATCTAGCATTTTAGAAACAGGAGGAGATGATTTGTGGTGAGTAGAAAATGAGTACAATAGAGGAAAAGGGGGAGAGTGTGTAGTGGTGGCGTGAGAGAAGGAGTTGATACGTAAAGAAGAGGAAGGAAGAATGGTAAGGGTATGATCATTAGGCGCCTAGCCATCTCTTGCCGAAATCCAAGACGCCGCGCAAGTTGAGACCTGGGGTATTATCATCGCTCGAGTTGTTATTAGGTGGAGAAAATGATGATGCTGATGTAGTAGAAGCATTACGACGGTGATTGTTATTGTCGGTAAAGTAGGAAAACGGATGATGGTCGGAGCCGAATGGAGGAGAGTCGCCACCGCCAAAGGGAAACCTGTATTGCGAAGCACCTGAGCGTCGTCGTCGTCGGTCGTCATCGTCATCGTCATCGTCGTCGTCAACCTCTGGTCGTTCGTATTCGTTCAACGCTTCCGATGCAATCGAGTCCATGTCAGATGCTGTTCTATACCACCCCCGCGCACCATATCAATCAGTCATCATTGATTTGTCTCTTCTCTGTACCCTTACGCTTGGTCGAAACTCGTGCTTTCTTTCTCGCCCTTTGTTCTTACTTGTCTGAGCCAGGTCCCTTGTGGTTGTCGTTGCTATATTTTAATGTGTGAAGTGTCGTATTATCAGGTTCCTGTTCTTGTTTCTTGTTTATGTCCATCATGTTTTGTCGGATGTACAAGAGTTTATCTGTCAGGTCATCCAATCGTTCGCTTAGCAAGTCCTGAGCTTGTTCCGCTACAGTCGCTATGTGTGTTGCTGATGAGGAGGAAGCTTCACATTGTCGTTGTTCTTCTGGTTGTTTCTGTTTTTGATGATACTCTTGTTGCTGTTGTACTACCCTTGGTTTGTCGTGATATTCATCGTGATATTCGTCGTTCTCGTCATTGACAAAGTAGTAGGGCATGGTTTTTGGAGCGTAGAACTCTTTATGCGCTGGTGGTGGTTGCATTTCTTGAGAAATGGGTCTGTCGTAAGTGGAGTCAATGTATCCTTCTTCGCCGTACGGGTCCATGTTCTGTGTATGTGTGCATAGGTTAATTTGCGAAATATATTTGTAGATTACGATATAGGCAAAATATACCTTGGATCGTTCATAGGCAAGGTGAGCTATCTGATCGTCGCCCAGAAACTCGGCATCTTGGATATCCTCGGAGAATATTTCTTCTTCGTCTCCATCCACCACTCCTTCACGAACGACTCGTGGATAGTTGTGGTGGTGATGCTGATGTTTTTTATGCTTCCTCTTTTTCTTGCTACTTTTTCGACCGAACGGATTTCGAGTGACAAATTCTGGGAATTGTTGCTGGTCGTTGTGAAGCACCGAGTCGAACTCCCAGTCTTGAGGATTGTCGAGATAGCCACGCACAGCGCGGCCCTGATAGTAATTTGGTGAAATAAACAACTCGTCGTGAGGGTCAACAATGTTTCCGTCATCGTCGTCACCGAGGCGTATCGGTTGTTGTCGTTTGAAAATGTTGGGAATGCATGAAGATGGTAAAAGGTAATTCCGCCAAGTCAAATCAAAGGCATTGGGTTCGTCTTCGGGAATAAGCAGATCTTGGTCCTGTTCCTGAAGTCGTCTGGACGACAGGCATAAACAATTACAGCAGCAAGAGGGTGACATTGACTAGTTCATAGTCTGGCTTTAAGCGTGTGTTGTTGTATAAGCAAGAGGTATCCGAGGAAAAATTACAAAGGGAAAAGAAAGAGGAGAGTTCCTTTTACCAAAAAAACAAAAATTCGAGGTCAGGTTGTTGTATTACGGTTAAATCTTCACATGGTGGCATCATCCACCCACAGCTCTTTTTTTTTTGCGCCAAGGGATATCTGTTTTCCATTCAGCTTGCAGCCGTGTCAACCGTACATGCATGCACGTCCATTGCGTCATAGCCTCTCGACTCCCGGGAATTTATCATTAGGCCTCTCTTGAATATGTCGTCTCTTGGTTTGTGTGTGTGTGTGTAAGGGGGGTGGAGGAAGAGTTCATCTCACCAGTAAACGCGTTTTGTAAGCCGTTTTGCCACATATGGAGGTCGACCTCGAGACCGACATATACACACACTTGGAACCTACTATAGGCCTTGATCTTCAGCCCACCTGCTGTCTTCCCCACACCTTTGTTTGCTGTGACTAAGGCAATGCTGCGGCATTACTACCATAAATCAACAGCGCAGAAATGTATGTGTGTATGTACCTGAGTTTACAGTCACTTCAGAATGTAAAGTCGCTGATTTGAGGTGCGTTCAACAATGATGTCGATTGATCAGGAATCCTGGGAGCCAAATCCGGCAAACAGTTTTTCCGATAAGAAAAACCCATATTTTTCGGGTACACAAAAAAACACAGCCTGCACAAACCAAATACAAGGTATCGCATGCTGCATGCTTCACTAATCCTTGTCATTAGCGATTCTTTTTCCAAAAATTTATTTCGCTTAAATTTACTTTTGACAACTGACCAGAACTGCTCAATTAGATTCAGTTCAGGAGAATATGAAGGTAGATATACGAATCTGTATCCTCATGAATTGATATACTTACCAATGTCTGCTGAGTTGTGAATAGGAGCATTATCTGTGACAAGGTAGTGTCCCTTCATTTCGGGATACTTGTCGCATTTCGTCGAGAGTAGCCTTTAAAGCTTAGATAATGGCCTGTCACTGTCCCTGTGCGATAACCATCAGTCGCACGTCCAAACTTTCTCTTTTTGATACGCTTTGGAACTCGCTAGCTGATATTATTAAGCCATTGGCGGATATTGCACCTACAATCGATGTTGCGTTTGCTTTCGTTGTAGTCACTGTAACTATCGCAGGAGTGCCTTTCTTTGACCAAGCCATACCCCGTTTCAAATTAATGTGAAAGGCTGATTCATCATCAAGAAAAACACAATTTGTTATGAGATCCAGGTCAGTTTGCTGCCACTTCTGGACCCAGTCGTATCTTTGCTGAATTTTTTCCTCACGACTGTTCCTTTCCACAGGATGAAACTGTGCTTGCTTAATTGACAGATTACACCGAGTTGTCATAAAGTTGTAAACAGTACTACGAGAAACGTTGAGACCTTCAAAGTTTTGTTTCAAACTTTCCACTACTTCATTGACAACGGCAGAAGGGTTCTCAATCAATATAATTTAAAAGAAACTGTTTATGCTCTTCCCCAAGAATACGACGCCGACCTGATTTATTTTTCTTCTCAAAGATGCTTTCAGGGTCCTCGTAATAACGTTTGATTCATCTCTGTGCTGCTTGGATATGAATACCTTATTGCCGTGCTGCAGCAGAAGCTTTCAAGCATTTGCTGAAAAATAAATGAAAAAATCTAGTCTTGTCTTCATCAGAGTAAACCGTATAGCGTCGCTTATTGCATTAGTTCCATATCAATATCTTCGCTACTCCTCTTATCCATAACTGGATGCATTACAGGGTTAGGTCTTTCCGAAGGTTTATTCATTAGGGACTGAGTACGAGAACTTATTCTTTCACTAGCGAATAGCTCCTCATCAACAACATCCATCGGCTCAACTCCAATCTCATCAACAACGTGCCCTTGTCCATCTTCATAACAAAAATTGCATACTCATCTTCAATATCTGTAAAATAAATTATAAGTAGGATAATTCATGACACGTGAGCACGACTTTATTTTTGGATCAATCGACATCATTGTTGAACGCACAATTTTTCAGCACGATATTAGACTCAAAATCAGCGACTTTACTTTCTGAAGTGACTGTATGTTACAGCACTTGCACCCCATTCAGTAGCGTGTGCGGGTGCACAAGCAGCGGCAACAGTCGGGCCCACTGGCTGTGACCCGCATTTTTTTTTGGCTCACTGGGTCACGTCGGGCTATGTTAGTCCTACACACTTGTTCGGCCACTTGTCATTTTCATATAAAAACATGCTACGATCGATCGCCGCTGCTGCCACCCGCCGACGCATGTTCTCTACCACGAGCGCAATGCGCATGTCGGAGGGCGAGAAACAAATCCATGACAAATTGACTGAAGCTCTGACACCACACAAGCTGCGAGTTGTCGACGTCTCCGGTATTAAACAACTCTTATTTTTTGCTTATTAAGACAACTTCCTGTGTATATACACTTTATGCCTGTCTGTCTATTGGTATGTTTTTAAGGTATAACTAAAAATATGAATAAATTATCATAAGGCGGCTGTGGATCGATGTATGCTATCGATATCGCAACCAAAGCCTTTGAAGGCTCTTCGATCGTCAAGCAGCACCGCATGGTGAACCAGATTCTCAAGGAAGAGATCAAAGATATGCATGGTCTCCAGGTACTTGACATATCCCTGTTGTGCACAGATACATTTAAGAATTCTTTCGCTCTAACACCTTGTATATATAGTTGAAAACATCTGCAAAATAGAATAATGCCATCCCTCCATCCACCCTCAAGCTCATGATCTTCTAATAGAGATTCAAAAATCCCATCAGAACGATATTGGTATTATTATTTGTTGTTTATTATTATGACGTGCGAGTGTGCGTGTGCGTGTGCGTGTTCGTGGAGTTGATTTTGCTTGTATAAATGATATGATCGTGATTATGGAGTTTCATCAATTATTTTGTTGTTGATGTTGGTGCTGACTTCTTGTTCGCTCCTTGTGCTTCATGCTTAATCGCTCAATATCCGCAACGACCTTTTCAATACTTTCTTCTGTAATCCGTTGTCGCATTTCTAGTGGTGTCTTCAGCAAGCTCGATGGATCATCCGGCCATTTAGACTGTTGCTGCTGCTGCTGCTGTTGTTGTTGTTGCTGTTGATGCTGTTGTTGATTGTGATGGTGTTGATAGTTATGATGGTGCTGGTGCTGGTGTTGATGCTGGTTATGGTGCTGTGAGGGCTTTTGGAACGCAGCATGGTTTTTGTGAACTGTAGGTGTAATTCATAGCAGTGTTCAAGATATATCCCTTTATCCTTTCTCTTAAAGGTCACCTATTCCGCTATATATGAAACTTACCTTTATAATAAAACGATTGGATTTCTGCAGGTCGTAGTAGCTCAGTCAATTTGGAACGCACTTTTCCATCGGCCACGTTTTCGCTATGGTGGGTATGGGCAGTCCACACTTGGTAATTATCAAATTGCTGTCGCGTCGATACTGAGACGCCACATACGGTATCACCAACCCATCCTTCTATTTTCTCTCCAATCAACAGTACGAGCAAGTCGCGCCAGGCTAGTGGGGAATGAGCTTTGGGTATCTTAAAATTATACGATCCTCCATGCTCGTTTTGAGGATCCTCCCTTCATGAAGCAAAAAAGAGTATTCTATATCAGATACATGCAAAGTTTGCCCTCCCCATTGTCCCTGAATGTTGTTTTGCTGTTGTTACCATATAGGTTTAATGCCCTTTCGCATAAAATGCAAATTGCTCCGAAAGCCGAGTTGATCTGGTCCGTCGATATTATTGTAGATCGACCAGAATTTCTGTAGAATCGTGACCTATTAGTATGTATGAGCTGGATACATGTGTCCCCGCTAATGCTTACCTGCACCGTGCCAACGGTAGAAATCACTTGCAAATTCGCCTCGTATTCAGTTGGAGGCAAATTCGGTACATATCTGGTATATATATACACAAAAGAAGGAGTGGCAAAAAAGGCGGGTTAATGAATGTAATAAAGGTAATCGTAAAGGGGCGAGAGAGGCAGAATAGGTCGCAAGGAGGTTCATAGCAGTAAAGAACAACTGTTCAATGGCTTACGGTATAAAATAGAGAAAAAACGATAGCCTTCTAGCTCAAAACTTTACCTGTCATACCAAAAAGTCCATTCACTTTGCAATCCAATCTCACCAACTTTAAGCAGTTCTTCCTTTTGCTCTTTATCAAGGATAACCACTTCATCTTTATAGACATATCCATCCTTAATCACAGTCTTCTGGGCTCGGGGCGACACGGGACTTGGAGAGCGCGTTATGTTTGTTGGTGTCGTCGTATGGTTCGAGTGCGAACGTTTCAAGTCCAGTGACGAGGAGGGTGAGGTCGAGAGTCGACTTTTGTTGTTATTGTTGTTGCTGGAATGATAGCTTCCACTAATGCCAATAGAGCCAGCTACACCTTCGGATGACAAGGACCTATCTAATGGTCGATGATGATGGGGTGACAGATGGTGGTTGCTGTTGTTGCTGTTATGAGGCCGGAACTGGAACGCAGACACTGCGGGCGACAGGTTGACGGTGGTGGGTGGAGCCGGCTGCTGTGTTGGTGTCGTAGTTGTTGTTGTTCCTGATCCTGCCATAGCTCCTGCTGCTGTGGTTGTGCTCGTCATTGACGCCCGAGTGTACTTTGAAGAATCCACTGCTGTGTTTAATTCTTCGGGTTTGGGAGCTGTCATTTAAATGGAAGAAGCAAAAGTGGCGAGATGAAAATAAAAAGGGGAACACGAGCCGCACGGTGTGGTATTTAATAAGCAAGTACGAACCCGGCGGGAGTTCGTGCGTGTGTGCGTGTGTGTCGGTTCCTGTGGAGGGTTATGGGTGGTGCGCAACGGCTTTCTCTCTGGCTGCATGGCGAAACAGCACCGCAAAACTCCGCCTTGCTATTTGTTTAAATTGTTGGCTATTATCGTCGTCGTTCGTCATATATACAGTTGGTAAAGGAGTACTACTGCTGGAATTTACAATTATGCATTGCTAAGAAGTGCTCTTTAAGTAACTATAATGATGCGTCCATCAATTCTACACACAGTGTGGCGGAAAAACCACTTATTGAGAACTGATAACCCCCCTTTGCGGAGATGGATGTATGGATGTGGTCCCACCAGGTTGACAGATAGCTTTAGGTAACCATGATACTCTCTCTATATTATTTGCGGTGTTCCCCGGTTTTCTGTATGAAAAACGATAAGTTGAGTTTCCTACCTGGTATACGTTTCAACATGGCATTTTCTCAAAAATTATAGCAGCCTACCTTCCTACACCAAAAAAAGCCTTAGATTATGTAAAATAAGTAGTTGTCAATTTAAACATAGACCACCCCTTATCATGTAGTATTGTTGTTTCCTTTATTCAGTTATTTGATTCTAGCACATACATACTACATTGCCGATCATTTTATTTTGCTTGTTACGTGCTGCCTTTTTTCCCTCCATTCAATAAAAATCTTCATCAGCATGCATTTTTATTCACACTTTATCATGGAGTGGTAGATGAGGAGCCAGTAAATTGATGTCTAAATTTGTTTTCTATTAGTCTTGATACGAGCGGTTTAAGGCAGCAGCAGGCTTAGTTATAGTACACAGCTTCGTATGCCATCATGTATGACATTGTACTCTATGGTGGCCACCCTTGACATTACGGTTAGTCCTGATGACAGTGGGGTCTATATCGCCGCGATGTCGACAGTGTGTACATATAATGATACCGTTCCTTCTCTTGTCATTTGATCCAGTAGTGGTTGATCTCACATATCGGAGTTTTTGCTGTTGTTTTAACTTGTTAAGTGATTTGCTGTTACTTCCTGACTCAGTAACTGTAATATGGCAGTTTTGCATTATCACTTTCTTTTTGCCTCTAAATGTGTCATGTACACATAATAATGGTTGTTTAAGAATAATCGTAACATACTCGTTTCTATCGAGCTCTGCTTAAAATTACTGCAGTGGTGTTGCTGACCGGTCGTATCAGCTACATACGCCTTGTAGGTCAAATTAGTGACCCGTTACAACTTAATCTCATTAGTTGAAGAAATTGATGGGATATAATGTAATATATGCGTATTTTTTTTATATCGAACGTCACCTATCATTTTTGGTCAATTGACCTCAATACAATAAAATCCCCTTCAAGTACGTGTGTTGCATTTTCAGAGATATTCGCAAAGACAAAATTGCCCTTTGGCCTGTAACCTTGAAGTAGACCCTTTTTTGAGGCTGCGGCACAACTGTTCGCATTTATTGTACGGCTATTGGCAAAATGTACATTATTGGGCCTAGTATCGATCGAACTTTTGCCTATTTGCTGGAATAAGGTCTATTCAACCTTGCTCTTTCGATTTTAATTTGAAGGATGACATGCTACCGGATATACATATGAATGATATGATAAACGCGACGTCTTCTTATTACAGTAGGGACATTCTTCATCACAACTGTACTTCCTTCGTTGTTTACGTAGATTTCCCCCAGAACTTGGCCTTCAACTTCCAATAAACATCGCTTTTTTACAAAGCAATAATTTTAGTGGGATACTTTTGGAACGACAAGATGTTGTATATACCAACGAGTCAAATAAGCTTGATATACTAAGAAATATCGTAATAAAAGCGAAACGAGAGACATGATTTTTCCGATAAGTAATCAGTGACACTTCTTACAAAGAAAGAAGCCTGAATATTATGGTGTATCCCTTAGATATTTCGTATCAAAAGATAAATCGCAACAGAATATAGCAGACAGTATTATGAGAACTTCTTTCTTGCTATCTGGCGGTTAAACTCATATATATAATCATATATATCATGACACCATGCGTTATGGAGACTTCACAGCTTATAGCATATATAGATTTTATCTCGGGCTTTTTTTACTATTCATATGACCTTGCATCATGTTATGATGTTTATTATATGACGACTGAGGTGACATGGGAGAGGCGTGACATATGTTGAGCAGCGCTGAATAGCATAGAAATACGTCGAAGCCTATTGTCGGTCTTGTCACAAACAGCCAAGGTAGGAAGGTAAAGATATACCCTGACGAAAGACATATGATTTGTTTGAATCTGATGTATTATTTCAGCTATTGATATGGCAAATTGTTCATCGTGTGCTATAGTAGGAATCGCTTTGTGTGTCTTTGTTGTTGCTTCTACCATACAGCAATAACAAACCACTTTTAGCATTCTCGTATTCATAATAGCGATAGTAATAGTAATAAAAAAGAATAGTTAGCAAAGCATATGGGAAACTTGCAAATATGAAACACTTTAGCAGAGCCATATTAGTTGTACATAACGTGCAGTGTTTCTATATTTAGAGGCTCAATTCGTGTATGCGTGAGTGTATGTATGCTGCAAGATGTTTTGTTTATATGATTAATATATGACGCCCATTCCCTTTCTACAGAGTGAATTACTTGCAGCAAACGGAAAAAACAAAACTACACATCATTGCTGGTTATGTCCTATACACTGAACGCACTCGCGGTCCACCTGCTGTTGTACATTTCATCTACTTTTGCCTGATACTGTATAGCAGGCTATTTGATGATCTTTGAAGTATTACAGAATATGCAAGGAGAGTGTTTTTGCTGCTGATAACATATCTGGCCCACATGAACGTCACTGTTCTGATACTGGTAACTGTCATTGCTCAAACGGGGCAATTGTTGTTGTTTTTGTTACTTCACGGTAATGGTTTACATATATGCGCGTTTTGGACGAGCACAAATCAGATAACATGACGACGATCAGAACTGAATATCGGTCCTTAATAGGTAGTGAGACCAAAAACAAAACGAAGGATCGAAAAATCATTGCTGATGTTGCTGCTGCTATTGCACCAGCTTTTTTTTTTGGAATTTAAGCTATGACAGGTTGTGGATATATGGTAAGATGTAAATCATAGAACGATAATAAAGAGAAACGATGAAATATTTACAACCAGTTCTTAGTAGATTGCTAAGCCCTGGAGGGTACGAGAGACTCAGGCAGTTCGGGTGCATCAAACCCTAAACGAAATACAAAGATGAAAGAGTGAAAAATATCAATATAACCGTCAATTGTCATGCATATCATCCTTGACAAACGTTGTCAGCACCATAATAAAACATAGATACATACATAATTCGTCTCCTTCAGAAAGTTGCAAGCTACTGCTGTACTGTAGGATGAACTTCCAATTAACAGCGCACGCATCCAACTGCTCACGATAACACAGACACCGGTTGGCGAGCGCATCTAAAAACAGGATATCCTTGATATAATGGCAGGCAACCTTGACAAGATTCGCTAATTCGTTGACAAGAACTTGCTCTTCATCAATACCGTATTGGGTAGCTGTATGATGATAATAAAGCAGACTGCTGCTGGTGTCAAGGCTAAGAAGCGTTCCAGGCCCCTTGTAAACACCATGCACATCCGTTGGATCGAATCCCACTGTCACATGAAAAAAGGCTGGTTTCAATTGAAGAAGCTGTCGAATCCGTTCACCAAATGGCCAATGCATCACACGATAGTATGCTTTGCTGCTGATGATACGCTTGGATACAGATGATGCACCTCCTCCTCTTCCTTCATGTTCTTGCACAACCTTTTCTTGTTTGTTCGAGAACGCCAAACCAAGATCCACAGGCCAATCGTTTGGATTCCAAGTAGCTGGATCCCCAACACGCTCAGTGATCCATTGGATTAAAGCTTTGATTGCTCGAGATTGGCGTTTCTTCGGCAGGGTAATTCCAGCGTTGGCTAAAGCAACTTTCAGTTCCTGGGGAGGGATAAGCGTCAAATGAGAATGGTCGCTGCCATCGCGTGTCCATCGATTTTGAACGTAATGGTGGGGAACGCCATAATTTCGACGACCGATTTCATTAATGTAGGCTCCTTTAACGGAAATGTATGCGTAGCCGTATGTCAATGTAATGGCTGGTATTTCATTATCGCTCTGGTAATGTTGGTGGTTTTGTGGTGGCTGTTGCGGCTGTTCTATATTCTGTACATTGTCTTCTTGCTTGTTCTTTTTGCGACCCATTTCGCCTAACAGCATTGCACAGAATATTTCGAAATCGAGGTGTGGAGGTGGTAGCTATTAGAATAGAATCAAAGTACAACAAAAAAGAACGTTATCGTATGAATTTCACTGACAGAAAATAAAACTGAAACTCAGAGGTCATGGTCTTGGACGACACATGATGCCAAACAACTTCTCGCAGTAGAAGCAGTAACAGTAGCAGAAGCAGTTAATATAGATATGTCGAGCAAGAAGCAAAGCATCAATGTGTCAGTAACAAAGACAGCAACTATGCACCATTCTACTCGAGTTCGCTGCAATCCGACAACCGATATTTTTGGTATGCGCTGAAGCATATCTGCAAAGAAATGTGGTGGTTCCGCTGCTATCTTCTTTCCAAGGTGTGTAATACGACACCAGGTACAACGCTACACAGCATTAGACTCTTTCATAGCATATTTAAGAAAGGTGTTGATATAATAGTATGGAGCGATTTTTTATTACAGTGCCGATTTTTTTGTGAAGTCAATAATAATGATGATGATGAAAATGACTTTTTATTGAATTGACGCTGGTGAGAAGAAAGAAGAAAGGGATTGTTGTTGTTATGTATCGTGTATGCATGTCATATGCACGTCGCATTTCACTGATAGACGATGGTGATAGCTCCGTCATTACAAAAACAAGATATGAGATACGACCTTATATTCTTTCAGTTCATGTACATTGTTGAACGTGTGTGATCAAGTTCAAATTCCTATACTTTATACAAAGCCATCTAAAATATAAACAAAAAAAAAACCAAACTGGCAAAGTGGCGGGACCGATATGAAGGCGTTTCACGTATATATGCGTGAAGTATTTTTTTGTTTCGAACAAAAAAAGGAGAGGAGACAGTGGAGGAGGAGGAGGGTGGTGTGTTAGAAGGGATTCTGAGGGGGAGGAGGCAAATGTGATGATAAAGAAAGAGTATAATATATATGATATATATGCGTCATTTAAGCACTGTGGTAACGCTTCATGGCTCTTGTGTTTCTCGTGGATCTTGGAAGTGCAGTAATGTAGTCGTCGTCTTCGTCAGCTGTTCCGTAGACGTCCACTGTACTTGTCAGAGCAGCCTGGCCTTCCTGGATTAAATTCTGCAACTGTGTTTGCATTCGGGCTAGCATCTCATCTTGTTCTTCGCGTGCTAAAATGAAAGAAAATATAAGATAATTTAATGGTAAGAGAAAGTGACTATACCCCAGCATGACAGGTGGATATATTACGTACGTTGATCAAATGACTTTGACCGGTGTTTCGTGCGCTGCTGATTTGCTTGAGACTATACGAATAAACGGTAGAAAAAGCAGCGGGTAAGTTTTTTTTTGTTGTTATGTTGTTTTGTTTATTCCATGTATATATTTTAAGGGGAGAGACTTTGTTTTGCCGAAGAGATCGTTTGGTACATACTTTGTTGATGCTGGCCAGTGTTGGCTGTGCATATGTGCTATGTCGGTGGTGCCTTTGCTGTTGCTGTTGCTGACTAGGACGGTGTTGGCTGTGCTGCTGCTGTTGTTGTTGCTGGCGATGTTGTTGTTGAGGTTTACCTAAGCACTCCGCCCATTCTTCGGTCCGCTGTCTTCGAGTATCTACGAGCTTATTGTCCGAAGTTTGTTGTTCAGCCGACCGTCGTCGTCGATCCACTAATAGTGCGCTAGCAGTATCGGTCATGTGTTGTTGCTGGTATTGCTGATGTTGCTGGCGATGATGGTGATGGGAAGAAGATGATATTAAAGACGACACTGATTGTGATGCTGAGGATGACGACGGCGCAGATGCTAGCAAGCCGGCTTGTTTTTGCATAGGATTCAGCAACTCACCAGCCCAATAATTATAAGCGGTGATGGCGATGGCGGATGTAAAAATAACTGCATCCAAAAGCCGCGATAACAAGAGCGCAAGCAATGTAGGCTGCGGAAAGCTATATGATACGCTTGGTATGCCATCAGCGTTCGTTTCCGGATACAGTCGAGCACGGTAATATAGTGAAGATAGTCGGTCTGGAACCAAACGACACTGATCTAGTCGTGATGTCGTTTCATCGCTTAGCATATATGCTGGGTGTTCAAGTGCTGTTGCCATATCACTGAAGATGTGTTGTAAAGGAAACACAAAGGATGAAAAAAAAAATTAAAGGACGAAAGAAGAAAAAGAAAGAAGAGAAAGAAGTTACGTAAACAGTAAGAGAGTTTACAAGACACAAATATATATCCCATCCAGACAGCCCGGCAACGACAACAAGCAACAGTCAGCCATACACACAGGCTTACCGCATAACCCCCATCTCCGCCGGAACGCCATCGAGGGTTCCCAAGTTGGGCAATATTGTTGGTCCTGAGCAAAACATAACAGACCACGCTGGCCGCGCGCGAGGGAGAGAGAGGGAAAAAGGGGGGGAAGGGTAACAGTCAGAGAGTGTGAGAGGGGAGAGAGAAGGGGGGGAGAGGGGATAACCTTTCGTTGCTGTCTATACTTGCTTATGCTGATGGGCTGTGGCGGTTTTTTTTGGGGGGGAAGGCATGTAGGCGAGATGATGAATAAGCTTCAGAGGTCACCCTCCCTCCTGCTGGATGCAGCTGGTTTTCCATATGACTGTTCATCAACAACAACCATCTCCCGCGCTCTCTCTTTTCCTTGGACCTTTGTTTAGTTGGCCATGTTACGTGCAGGCTGCGATGGCTTGATTACCATGGCAACTTATCACCATGCCAACGTTTGAATAAATTCCTTTTGTTTATTTTTCTTAGTGTTGCTATCGAGACACCACTGTATCAATCACAGCCCTTATGCTGGCTGTTTACACTGTAAGAAGACAAGGTCCCTGCATCCCCTTTTCTTTGAAAAGTTTCATAGGCCTTCTTCTATTTCATGTGCTTTTTGGCATTAGTATGGATCAGTTTAAAGGAAGAAATAGGCAAAACCGGTGTGTAAGGACGAATTGGTGTTTCTTGTGCCGCACAAGATCAAGGCCAAAAGAGATCAGCAAAAGAATCCGAAACACTTTGCCGATTTTGTCGCTTTGCTTTTACTGTTTTATACCGCCAGGCTCATATGCTGTTCTCACACGTCACATCCACAATCGATGCGGTTCTTTCATTCGTGTAAGAAATCAAAATAACACACGCACACGCCACACCAATGCACATTTACAATTATCTCGTGTCTTTGTTTTCCGTTCTTTCTCTCTTAAAATTCTCTAACTCCTCTTCATTCGTTCTCCTTTGTTCGCCACCGTTTCCGGTCGCGGGGATGTTGCTGTTGCTTTTCATGCAGTAGCTTGTATCGATCAAAATGATTTTATGACCAAGCTGTACAACTCTAGGGAGAAGGTACATATGATTCCCGTCCCCTTTTCGTACTTTTGCGCCGCAAATATTTTTAATTTTTTGCTTATGCATATGGGCATGTCTTGCCACATAATCGACCTTAAGCAGTGATAATAATTGAGCTATGAGATAACAGCGAGGCCACATAATAACTTAAAGACACCCGGTACTACGCTTTATAAGATGTCAATATACATCGTGTCATTGCCGCCTACCTGATGATTCAAGTAAAACAATCCTGGGCAAAGTTAAAAACAAGACTGACAGTAATTTTAATTCGTTAAGCTTTTGATTATTTATCGACAACAAAATAAAGATCGAAGTCTAACACAACGATTTTGATAAAGTGTGTAATCAGATCAGATAATTCAATATGTTGAACAAAATCGTATACATAGTGCTTCTTCTGCTTAAATTCATGATCATTACAAAATAATGAAATGTCACTAATAGTATTGTTGACAACAATTTTAGGGGTGAAATGACTATATACACTGTTAGTTCTTCTGTCTTAAAGATTTATGACTGAGACCATCAGCTAGATTTAATAATTATTATATCCATCAAGCCGTGGCATCAATCTTTGATATTAAACTCTTCGAAACAGACGTGCCCACAAAGAAGTTAATCCTACGACACATGGGCTAACAGACCTGTACTTTGTAAATTTTATCAGCACGACTGTTTCAATTGGAGCATGAGCGCGCTATATAAGCGGTTTTCGAGCGTGAAATAGACAAGGAGACACACTTGTAGATATAGCTTATTCTGATAGCTAATTAGTAGTGCTGTATTCCAGTAACTAACAATTTTTCGTTATGACCCGGTTGAATTGTCGAAGAACAGAGTGCATAATAATGATCGATGATGGGAAGTACAGGCTGTGCTTCATGCTGTCGAAAGTACAGTAATTATCAAGAGATAGACAACATGTGGAGGCGGGATAAATGGTAGAATTTTATTACGTTTCAGTGATACTAATAGCAATGATCCGCGATCTGGACAACGAGAAGATTTTTAAGTGATAACCATTACAATAAATTGGATTCAACATTGTTTCTCACCACCACACACTTCATACGGGATATACAGCATACAGTATTCACAATACCCGCGGAAAGAAGCATTGTTAATCCAAAAAGGGGTCAAGATGTTTTAGTCTTGGCCGATAGCACTTTTGTCCTATAAAAGCAAAGCTCTAATCCAAGCTCTCTTGGCTTCGACAAGCTCAAGGAACATCCACACATACGGTACAATACAACACATTGCTAGGATTATACTTAGTCTACATTGCTTTGCAGTCAAAGATATTGATACATCGAATATGAAGATAAAGATGAATGCGCGTTCCATTTCAAGCTATTGGTGGGGAATAGACATATTTATCATATCATAAAACATGGCAATCTTCAAAACGGACGATGACTGATTCACTGCTTGATGAAATTCATCTTTAGACCACGAGGTTGTATTTTATTATTATCATAGCAAGCTGTTGGACGATCTCCTGTACCTATTTGGAAAAATCAACGCTTTTAAAGCACCATATTATGGCTGACCGATTTCGTCGGCTTCTTTTCTGAGCCCATAAATATAGGTGATATCATATCGGTCAAGGGGTCTTACATGTGCAGCAACGACTCTTCATGCCGTTTACAGAGCTTACATAGACAACCATACGTACTACCGTACGAATAAAAAAGTATCTGCATTAAGAACATAGATTTTCAATCATCGTTACTTTATCATTTACCGCCTCATGTAAGTAGAATATTACATATCTTCTATTAACAATGTTACGTCAAATGTTCGATAAATATATTATGTTTTAAATGGAAAAACGTTGAACATGTATAAATGCCTATCTTGTGCCATATGAATGATTGTCCTCATTATCAGCGTAAAGTTTATTAAAATGTGAACCTCGGCACGGGAATCTTTTATGATTGCGACTTAATGCTGCCAACCATATTCTTAGCCGAGGTCTCACTTATACTGACAGTAATTATGATCCATAATCCCGGCAGCAAAAGCCGCAATCGGAATCAAGTCATGGATGTGGTTCTACAAAAAAAACAAGAGCTTCAGGATGATGCCCAGATAGCAAACGAAATTGAAGATACTAAAACCCCCTCAGAAAGAGAAGATGATGAAAGCAGGGGAGGCATAGAAGTGAATTACAGTGAATATGTAATGACAAGGGCAACAGTAGATATACTGGCGACGTTACATAAGATATGTGACTAAGCACTGTCTTTGTATGATATTGTAAATGATTATTTCTAAATTCTTCATTCTATCAAGAGATTATTCCCTTGCTATCAATCTTCGCACTATACGTATGACGCTTATTTTTTCGTTGAATAAGAGCTCCATATATTGACCTGTTCGTTAGCATTATCCAAGATTTAACGTATGATCCATATATACGCTGATGATTCGAAAGAGAAAGAAACCTGTGCAGTATGTGCTTATTCAGATATATATTTTACGGCGAAAAACCGAGAGAATAAAGACATTATAAGTGATGAGTTGGAAAGGGATATGGAGTAAAAGTATCGCTTTATGTGTTATGTCAAGAGTGGATGGGTGTATTGCTGTTGTTGTTGTTTGTTGGAAAGAGAGAGAAAAAAAAAGCAAGTAATGAGGTATATCAAGGAGATGGGACAAGCGAAATAAAAAAAAGAATACGAGAGCAAGATGAAGAAAAAAAAAGCTATGCAACTGGTCCACCTTCAATGGCCTTATTCTCTATAGCACCGCCTCCTTCGCTTTCCGGAGGAGCAGCTGGTCCTACCAAATGCTTGCCAATGAACTTGTTCATGGTGAATCCACTCATATACGATTCATTGTTGAATATCGCTTTCAGCTTGTCGTCACAGAAAATATGAGTCTTCTTCTCTGGATCCTGTAGGTTGTTAGTTTTGATGTAGTTCCAGAGATGCTTGACTACGCTAGGACGTGAGAGCTAATAGAAAGCATAATATTTGATATATGTAAGTATATAGAAGGACTACTACATGGAGGTTGATAGATCCAATTGATCGACTGATAGACAGAGAGTAGTCGTATTTGTGCAAGTAATATCAAATAATGCTGATTCACTCCTTAAGTCACAGTGATCAATCTTCCAAGAAAGTAATTCGTGCAGATAGGGAAGTAGTAGTAGTAGTAGCAGTACGCATACCACCTTCAAAAGGAACTTACAGCTTGTTCACCAGTGACGGCTGCTAACTCAGGACTTAAAATCCAAGTGCGTGTAAACGGATTCTTTTCTTTGGATGCTGGATCTTGTGGTTTCCGTTGTCGTTTAGGTGCCTTTTCCTTCTTTGTCGCCTTTGCTTTGGTAGCCGTTTTCGCCGTAGCAGCAGGCTTTTTCTTGGTATTGCTCTTGCCAACTACGAGTGAAGACTTGGCTTTCTTCGCCACAATAGGCGCTTCCTCCTCTGAATCCGATTCTTCCTCTTCCTCTGATTCGTCGTTTTCTCGTTCACTGAGCACCGTTTCATAACACTGTTCAATCAGAGCTTTGAGAGGCTTCTTGTACTCGCCAAGCGGCACGCTTGATTCCAATTGCAACTGTTCTCGAACAGATTTGGTGGAAATCTTGGCGAGATTGGATTGACGAAGGATCTCTATAACCAATTCGCAGAAACAAAGAATTACACAGGAATATTAAAAAAAACGTGAGTATGTGTGCTCTGCATTGGTTGATAGCGTATTAAAAAAGGAGACGTTTGAAAAACCCAAAGCACCAACATCGGATAACAATTAATGGTCAAATTCGAGAGAAAAAGAAAAGAAAATGTTTACCAAGGATCCGGGGTTTAAGCGTGTTGATATCCATGATCGTGTTGTGGTGTGAAGAGCGAGAGTGTGTGAGTGAGGGGTAGGAAAGGAGGTATCACAAAGAAAAAGTAATTGTGGGGGAAGATTTGGTTCCAAACGCGTTATGTGTATGTTCAAGTCAGCGGAGATACGGGAGGAAATAAGGGGGGCAAGTCCTTTGTGTGTGGACTCTTTGTTGTCAGTAAATTACTCTCAAGATGAGATTAAAAAGCGAAAAGTATATCAGGTTCTCATAGAGCAGAAGCAATCTTTTGATGTCAAGCAAATATATTATCCGTAAAAAACCGTTCCTTTACTCCAGTAATTCAGGCGTGCCAAGAGAGGAGGAGCCTAGCTTTATTATTGAAGTTTATGCAGCAGGTCAGCCTTCCAGCATTCGGTCGTGGCTCTACCGCCACAAACAATTGTGACAAAAAGAAGCAGCAGAGTGTAGGAGCCAATTGACTACGACAGCATGCGTGTGTGCCAATTGATATTTTTCTTGCTACCATACGTTCAGCGTAATGTATAGCACCGACAACAGTAGCAGCAGCAACGACAATCGATCATGTTATAAGTAAGCTTAGACTGCAACAGCAAAGGGAGGATTGTTGATAAGTACATTTCATGTTTCATCTATAGGCTAACATTTACATTAAAGTGATTTTTATGCTAGTTATAATAGCAATATGGATCTTCATCTCCTCTCATACTCAGTAGAAAGGTTCGGTTTATATCAAGTGTTTTAATGCACTTCTGACAATGGTATATACATCGTACACTAAAGATATGCTCTGTATAGACCATCATACGAGTCCACAGTATGTGTCGTGGTGAATAACCCCGTACAATATATCAATTGATTCGTACATGGTCACAGCAATGAGAGAACACGCACGCTATGTACAGTACATGATAAACTGATGGCATGATTTCGGTGTAAACAAGGCGTTATCATAGTATGGCAAATATATCGACAACAGTGAATATGCACTTTATAGTACATGTATATCTTATATTATTCAAAGCGGTTTATAAGAAAGAAACTGTACAACAAGTCTGTATATTAGATGTGTGTTTGTGTATGTGTAAATTAATACATAAGTCGAAAGCAGGTGATTTTCCATCATATCCCATTACTTGTTGCATTCTCATACGCCTTTTTAAAACCAGATGCTTCAAGGGTACCAAACTCGGCCTTGACATCCTTGACATCTTGTACATCCTTTTTGAGAGTTTCCTGCAGCACATCCCACGCTCCACGGGTCAGGTATTTTGACTTTTCATAAACCATTTTTGTCAATTCGTCGTCGTCATCCTCTTCCTCATCGTCCATGCCGCCCGCGAATTCCCACAAACTCCGCATGTATGCTTCTCCTCGGTCGTCACCGTATAGTGGGTAAATGTAACATGCATCCTGTGCTGTGTAAAACGCACCGGGTGGTTCGTTACCCAGGGCCGTATATGCACCATAGTCTGCAAAGTGTGCAGGGTGAATAGGGTGCCTATTGCTTGCCCATTCGTCATAGGACGCACGTGATGTGTAGAACGCAGAGGGCAGCGCGTGTGTGTTGACCATCGTAATACCGGGTACTTCAGAAAATCTCTTTTCCGGTGGGATCAGACTTTGTAAATCATTTACTATAAAAAATACGTGTTTGTTGTTTAGCGCGCACGCAAAAAACCACATACATACAACCTTCACGGTAGATACAGGATACTTACCACCACCAACGCCAGCCAAAGATCCATCTGAAGCATAAGCGATGCCTGCTTCTGTCGCTTTCTTCTTTTTCTTCTTTGTGCTACCGCCACCACTAGCAAAACCAATTGTCCGCACCGGTGTGCCTGCCCTGGAGCTACCAGCATCATCACGCATTGCAGTATCCACACTCTGTTGCCGACTGGGTTTCCGTCCTGGGTAGATAGAGCTTCCGTTATCGAGACCGAGGATATCCACCTCTTCCTCCATTTTGACATTCGATTCCCGTTTCACACCAGCTGCGGTTGAGATACTGGATGTTCTGCGTGAGGCCATGCTGCCCCACTGTCGAACACTGCCAAACATCGAATGTTGATCAGTATCGCTGTGAGGAGTCATACCTCGCATTTCCTCTGTGGGCTGTGAAGAATCATAGACGACTGATTTAGCAGCACGGTCAATAGCTTTCAATCCCATATGTTCCAATCGGTCTGCGTTGCGATAATAGATCGTATCAGGTGCGTTGTATGTCTTAGCGTTCGTGACAATGAGTAAAAAGTCTTGTCGGAAATCTTCAATGTCTGAATATTCGTCCGCTTTAAGTTTTTTCCGCATGGTAGAGAAATCCATAGGGTGTTTGATTACAGTCAAATAATCCGTAACGATGGAAGTATCCACGGGTTTTAAGAAGAAGCCATAAGAATCGCGTCTAAGTATTAGAATGTAAATGTGTTATTGCAAGCTTGCGTAAAATGTTCAATGCTAGATGATTACCACCAGCATCACTACGCTCGACTGTGCATATGATTGACAGCAATAACATACTTTTCCAAGGTATCCAGCAGTTTTGCACCAATTGTTTTGAGATCCCTCTTGGGTTGTTCTGGTGCTGGGCGAGGCTCTGGTTTGGGGGGGACCTTTACTTTGGCTGGTCGTCCACGTTTCTTTGGTTTGTGTTCCAAATTAGTAGCCGTCGTACTGACAGATGCTGTACGCTGACGAGCTTTGGTAGTAGTCGTAGATGCTGTTGTTGCTGCTGTGCTTGCAAAAGCAGTTTGAGTAGGAGGATGAGGACGATGGGCATGTGCAGCAGTTTCAGTTGGATGTACAGTACGGTCGTGGATGGTATTCTTGCTATTGTTGCTAATATTGTCGTTGCTGTACGTGTAATCATCAAACGACGATGATGACTCTTCTTGTCTGCTAGACTTTGAATGCTTTTGCTTCTTTTCTTTAACTTGCGGATAATTGTGCTGGTCGTCGTTTAGACCCTCTGCGCCATTACCAGCATTGTTATCCATATTCTCGTTCGTGTTGCTATTGTCCTCTTCTTCTTCGTCGTCTTCAGTATGAATCAAGGCAAACGGCCGTTTGCCTCCCACATGTACGTGCGAGGACGATGACCCTTGTTCGTTATCGTCGTCGTGTTGTTGAAAGTGGTTATACTCGTCGTTCAAGCGGTTATCGTAATCTTCCTCACCATCAATATCAACCTGTTCACTTTCACGCCGATGGCGATGCGTGTGATGCTTCTGTTTCTTTTGTTGGTGCTGTGGCGGTGCTGTATAATGATGTTCTGATACTTCGTCGTCGACATCTGAATCTTGGTTTCTTTGTCTTTTTCGTTTCTTATGTGATTTCTTCTTTTTGTGCTTTTTCCGTTTACGGTCGTCTATTGATTCTGGATTTGCAGGAGCGGTACCGGTGCTACCACTGGCAGTCGCTACACCCGCATCGCCGTTGCCAGAAGGATTTATACGAAGTTTTAACTTGATTCGTGGAGCGCTAGTTTGGTTTCGTCCAGTTGGCTCTTCATCTGAGGAAGAGTTCGCCATTATGGCTTGTGTGTGTATACAAGTATTTTTCGGTTATGTGTGTCTCTGCGCAAAACGGAGCTGCAAGTGAAATTCGGCTTGTGATCCTTTTCTCTTCAGTCTTTCTCGCTTTGTCCGCAATACAGCAGTTCCACCAACCCACACACAATGTTTCCTGCCAATTCACCACCCTATAATGCCACTAGCCCACCTGCGTCTAATCGTAACTTAACAAGCGCAGCGGCTGCAGCAGCAGCATTAAAACGATCATCGCAGGTCAATCAGCGACGACAAAGCGGATCTATGGGCGTTGCGACACCTTCAGGACTAGGAGGCCAATCACGACAGGGATCCGTTGAAACAGAACGCGAAAGTAGTACACCACAAGCGACGGGTGCAGCAGACGAAGCAGGAGAAGACCAAGACAATGAAGCGAATAAAGGCAATGGTGATGCTGGTGGTGCAGGTGCAACCGGCGGTCAACCCCAAGACGCTGAAGCCGAGGACGAAGACGAGAATAAGGACGAGTTGTTGGCTGCTGATATGGATGCGTTTATGCAAGCACAAATGGAAAAGCAAAAAGAAGATATGAAGTGAGTTTGCTACTAAAGGTTCTTTTTTGTATCAAGATGGATATATGTTCTGTTGCTAAACTGGATATAACAAGGTTACTACTAGAAAACTTCTCCAGCGATCAGTTACAGCGATATGAAGGGTACAGACGATCCGCACTGAATCGGACAAACGTCCGCAGGGTAAGCCGAAGTGTTTGGTATGACTGGTATCTCGTTTCTTCTTCGCATCTGACTGTTATTTGTATAGCTGGTAAGCCAGGTGCTGAATCAGCAGTGCTCGCAGACGATGGCGATTGTCGTTGCCGGTTTTTCAAAAGTATACGTTGGAGAAATAGTAGAAAAAGGTAAGAGACATAGCGGGCAGGTCATATCACCTTGGCAACACGAGGAACGATTACGTGGAGATATTCATTGGCTACGCTTGCTAAAAGGTCGTTCCATAAACTACAGCACGGGAGGTGATGGAAGAATGGGGCCACACTGGTGCAATCCGACCCGAGCACTTACGCGAAGCACATCGACGGTACAAGCACGAACAGAGTGCAGCATCCAAGATAGGCAGAAAGCTTACAATTATGCGGTAAACAAGAGAGTTGATCGGATCGGGACGACCGGGTTGCCGAAGGAGGGGGGAAGACGAAATTCACTGTCCAGAGATCACCACCACCACCACACTGGGGATGATGCAGCGCCAAAATTAGCTTTGCACCACCACAAACACACTTCCTTATTCGTTCGTTTTCCTGCTGTTTAATGGTTGTGGTGGCAAGCCCAGCTCTATCGTTTCCCTTTTCTCTTTCTCTCCTCCACCTCTCTTGAAACAGTATATATCCACCGTCTTTCTACCTCTCTCTCTCTCTCTCTCTCTCTCTCTCTCTCTCTCTCTCTTTATCAACTTATCCTAACCCGTATTCGCCCACAGTACATATCAAACAATGGATCCTATGAACTGGAGAGCACCGCACATAAAAAACCGCTTTGTACATACAAAACATCAAGCACTGCGAAAATGTTGTGGCTGCATTCATTTACGCGTCGGCGCAACACTCTCTTGTCTCGTTTGGGTCGTATGTTTTCTTTTGTTCTTTGAATCACTACACCTCTTTTACCTATTTGCACAATGAAATATGAAAAGTGCATTAAAAGAAAAGAACAAAGTCTAAAAAGCATCCGCTGCTGTAGGGTCTATCACTGTATTTCGCTATATTGTCATTTCAAGAATCGAGCCGTACGTATCGTCCTGATACTCAAATGAAACCGTGCGTCATCATCATTGCTAATACGCATTTATTTATGTACGATTTATTAACAACAACAACAGCATTCTTTTCACATATGGATGCAGCACCACTGTATGTATTTGCTGTTGCCAGTCTTCTTTTGACGATTGTCGGTTTCGTTGGACTCTTTGTCCTTTTTAGGGTAATGCATATGGAAAACCTTTCTTTGTCCTTATTACTCTACCTATCATCATCAGCATCAGCAGTATCTCATATCCATCTAATATACAGAGACCCTTAAACGCGCATGCTAACTAATAATAAAAACGATGCTTTCTATTCTTAGAACCGATGGGAGTATCTTCGCCTTTTCTCTCGACTTGTGTGGACAGCACTCTTTATTTTTCTCGTCGATGGACTCGCCAATGCTTGTTACTTTACCGTTCAACGAGGAGATTTTATGACTTGGTGTATCGGATCGTCGGCACGACATATCAGCTCCGCGGCTAGTTCTGCCAATGCAACGAGCTCTTTTGTATTCGATGACGACGACTATTATAACTGTCAACGACTCTATGAAGACGAAGTCAAGTTTGGCTTAATTTCTATCTTTTTAATGATTGTACTCTACGTGAGTTCTTGTTTCTGTTTTGTTATTGTATGAAGCATGGGAAAACGACAACAACGAGAGGGATACCCACTAGTGAAGATACTTTCCATTAATGATTGCTTATCAATACATACATACTATTGGCCGTATGGGTGTGTGTAGGTCTATTGGGGACTCTGCATTTACTCATTTAGTCATAAGCAAGGTATCTCTAACATGGAGCTCGCTCGAATGGAGATGGGCATGCATCCAAGAACGGTCATGGCTGCAGGTCCGGGTATGGCTGCACCGCCACCGCCACCTCCTGTGGGTCGCGCTGCTGGTCCGGGCCGGTCAAACATCATTGTCCTCAACAACGAACCGCCATCATCCAACGTCAACAAAAACAACAACAACGATAATAAAAATAGCAGCACCGGTGAGAATGATAGTAACAGCAACAACAAGAAAAAAACAAGTTATTTCTCGTTTCGTTCTTTGCGACCACATCGAAACTCTATTCGTGATCACGAAGCTGTAAGAACTGGACGGCTGGATGATTATCAGCGAAGAACGAAACGCAAGTCAGTACCGAACCTTTTCAATAGAGAGGTTGACCCGCACGATGCTCACAAGAATCGACGCCGTCGATCATCATCCGAATAGTGTCTTTACCATATGTGATTACTTATAATAGATATCTGCTGCTACTATCACTAATGCTGCTGTTAATAATACCCCATCATCCTCTACCTCTCAATCCAAACCAATACGTCAATTCTCTTGTTCTCTTTCTCGACGATTCCCGCTTCTCTCCTCTTTCATATACTGAAATTCGTGCATGTGATCCTTCTTTTTTCTCTGGCATAATGGTCAGTCAATTGCAACTGATTCGGCTCTTCGCTTTTACCTAACCATGTATGAATATTGTGCTGATTGTGTCACAGTGGTGGTAGTTAAAGGAGAAGAATCAACGTGAAATCCGCTCCTTTTAATCCGTACACTGAAGACAACAATTGGTGTTGCTGTGTACATGGTCATTTATTTATGATGATTCTTGAAAGTTCCATCTGTTCCAGAAAGATAATGTGTCTTTCGATCTTTTTCTTACCGGGCCAGGTTTTTCGATTTTTCTGTGCTGCTCCTCTTTTCACTAATCATCAAAACGCACGCGACATTATCGAAACATCGACGGCCATCTCAAGCAAAATGATAGCAGAAGCAACAACAGAACAGAAAGTGACAGCCGCAAACGTCGACGAATATCTACATAACCACCATCAGCACGACGATTTCTCTCAGCAACAGCAGCACCCACAACAACCAGAGAGTTCCTCATCTTCTTCGTTTCGTGCCAAATCGGAGAGAAGCGATGACTTGGCGCCTATATTACCACAGCAACAAAATACTGCAATTACAACAGAAGGAAGAGACCACCGAGCGTCGCCATACCATGACGCCCACCATCAACAGACTGCAATGAATAAAGAATCCTCATCTCCAGATTCTTCAAGGTGTGGCATTTATCTGCAAAGTCTTCAAAGCGGCAATAACTGCCATCAGCGTCAAGCAACAGCAGCAGTAAATAATCCTACTATTGCCAATACTACAGCACCATCAACAGCGAGCCAATACTCACTGGGGAGCATGTTCACTATCCTATTCGTTCAAGCAGTTACCGTTTCCATACTTGAAGGGTTTCGTGTACATCAAACAGTTTCCCAATCATCCAAGTGCATTTTATCTCCAGCTGGAGTTGGTGCGTCGTATACCAACTTGATTTACCGTGGCCTTGTCATTGCTATGGCGGTTTACCAGCTACTTTTATGCGTTGACACACTTAGGCAGCGATTGGCCGCTCAGTTATATGTTCTCATTTTGTTCGGTGGGTACACGTTCAGCATATAGCAACTTGATTGGGGAGTATAAACTAAACACAATCCGCCCATTCTGCTACATACTACTTGAATGATTTAAACAGGGCTACTATTTGTAATTTTTGTGGGTATTCAAGCCCTAATCCAGAACGAATCGTTGGAGGAATGGATGATTGAGCTTGGTTGTGACGACGAACTGGCTCACAGCGTTGCACCGCCATATGAATATGCTATACTGGCGATTGTCGCAGCTTGCAATCTCGTTTTTCTTGCGTGCTCTATCTGGCTTCATGGACACTTTACGTGGCACTACCACGGTGGGCTCTCCCCTCGTCATCAATTATCGCCATCATCATCATCCGAGTGTATTTCTAACAAGCGACTCAAGAAAGCAGCTGTCTCTTTATCGACGCTGTTGGCGCTAATCAAGCTCGACCTCTTTTTTTGCTTCTCCTTTGCCGCTCAGCTGTCACCTTCGGCACTACTAAATTACTACACTACTACTATGGAAGCTTTATTGGTAGGAGCACTCGGATTTGTTCTTTTCACGATTGCTTGCTATGCCATTCAACAAGAACGACCTTGGGTATTGGGTATAATGACCGTATTGGCTGCGTTGTCTATCGTATACTTTGTGTTTCGACTTATTACCATCGCCCAACCACGTTTGACTGGTCAAAATCCCTATCGCGTAAGTTATTATTTCTTACTGTACACACAATGTACCTTGAAACACTAACACATGACAATTGGGCGTTTTCTTTTTCTACTGTAAAGTTGACAAAGTATAGCTTGGTGTACACGCTCCTCGTTTTGATCATCCTGATAACATTGACCGTGGGTGTGGCAATAATAAGCACACGCATCATGGTGCAGGGAGTTAAAATATTTTATCGAGGTCCCACGAGTCATGACGATCATCATGATGCTCGTAGCGGTAGTCATAACGGAAATTCGAGTACTTTGGCGGCTCCAGTACAGGTGACAGCCCAGCAACAACATCTGCAACACTGGAGGGAAAACCAGCAACAGCAACAGCAGACTGCTGGCGATAGCACGATCCAACAATAATAAAAGCACTCACATAGGAATGGATTAAACTTTTGCTAGAGAATCGCCTACCACTACAGTATAAATAATAAATTGTATTAATACTATAGCTGCTTTTTGTTGTACTTTTTCAAATGACTGTATACAGTAGCAGGATGTTTGCTAAACCATTTTCTAGAGTGTTCAAAAAGAGCTAGATATGATATGGTATATTAGCCGGCCAAAAAGGAAACGGGTCTGTTACATAATGCATATCAGCCAGCTGGAGTACAAATATTTCCATGACTCACATAACCTCACCCTCAACACAAACATATTCGATCATCACCATTAGTCAGAGATCATATATGCTCGATGCAGTAAAATTATGAGCGTAACAGAGTACTTGTTTGAAATATATGTTGTCAGTTACAGCAATGATAATGTCCAAGTACGTACACGATAGCTATATCTTTCAGAGCGGCTACTCATAAGTCACCAGTGAAGGCTTCCAAAAAACAGTTCCAGTAAAGCCATATACAGTTAATTTTGTCGATAACAAAGATCGTGGGAGGAAAGGATACGAAGCTCTCAAGACTGCTTCATAAACAAACCAGTAGTCATTTCATTATCACAATCTTTGTCGTGATGCTTATAGTAACATTATCTGTCAACATCCCCACCTACTCTGCTTTTCAAACTACTATCATACATACATATACTAGACATGTTGTTAACTTTTTAAATTATGAGGCTATAATACTCCTCGGTATGATATGCCATTATATCAGATCTCTGATAGGGTTCTCTACATCTTTTTTTTATGTGGCGTAAGTGTAAGGTAAACATTAGCTGCTTTGATAGTCGCCTTTCGCTATTGATTGTGGGAATATTTAATAACTCAGCCAACACCTTATTTTTTCACTCCATCGTCCCGCCTATCCTGGTTTTTCTTTTCTTTTTACTTTTTTTATTGAATCACCAGCATGCCATTCCTCCGTGCACAATTCCTCGGACAACGATTTGCTCAACCCGCTAAGCGATGGAACAGCACTGCTGCCGCTGGCTTGCAGGTACAGACAACAGACAACAACAACAACAAAAAGAGACACGACACCATTCACCCTGTTCCCCCCTTTCCCAACACCTTTAAACTTATTACGCGAATGAGTCATACCTTCTATCACCAACCAACTCGCATATTTCCTCAAAAAAGAAAAAAAAATGACTAAACGTGAAAATTGTTAGGCAAGCCTTTTGCGCGTCACCAAGAATGAAAGTCCCAAGGCATTGGTTGCCAACAAAGACTTGGTCTTTGGTAGAACCTTCTCGGACCACATGTAAATATATACTTATGTGTGCTCGATTATCCGTAGATGTTACTCATCATTATGATTTATTCATCGTTTAAAGGATTACTGCCGAGTGGACCGAGGGTAAGGGATGGGATGCCCCCGCAATTCGTCCTTATGACAAGATTTCCCTCGATCCCAGTGCTGTTGTCTTCCACTATGCCTCTGAGGCAAGTACCACGAAAGAAGTATACATTGGAGAAGCTAGGAAGGCATGACAAAGATGATTAACCTTAACGATGGGTATATAGTGCTTCGAAGGTATGAAGGCCTACAAGGATAAGCAGGGCAAGATCCGCTTGTTCCGCCCCGAAATGAACATGGCTAGAATGAACCGTTCTACTGCTCGTATTGCTCTTCCGGTAATTACATATATGAAGAGACAGAGCTAGCTGTTCGATTGGGGGATTGGTTATGGTTATACTGATTATTTGCTCATGTAGCAATTCGAAGGCGAGGAGTTGCTTAAAGTGATCGGTGAATACCTCAAGGTCGACGATCGTTGGATCCCCGAGGGCCGGGGTTATTCGCTCTACTTGCGTCCTACCATGATTGGTACTCAAGAATCGCTTGGTGTCGCTGCTTCGAACCGTGCATTGTTGTTCGTTATCGGTAGCCCTGTGGGTCCTTATTATCCCACTGGTTTCTCGGCTGTGAAACTCAAGGCCACTACTGAATACGTCCGTGCATGGCCTCGCGGTACCGGTGATTCCAAGATTGGTGGCAACTATGCTCCTGGTAAAATATTCTTCCGGAGGGCTATCTCCCTAAAGTATATGATTCGTGTATGGCCTGACGCTAAATGACTCATTAATTATTATCATTAGGTTTGTTGCCTCAATTGCTTGCTGCAAAGAAGGGTTACCAGCAAAACTTGTGGTTGTTTGGTGGTAAGATAATATAGATGGAAAATAATGGCAAAATCCCATAGATTCGCATTCTAATCTTTTTTTTTAATTATCGATGTTTAGACGACCATCAGCTTACTGAAGTTGGTGCCATGAACTTGTTCGTGTTGTGGAAGAACGAACAGAACGAATTGGAATTGGCCACTCCACCGTTGGATGGCTCGATTCTTCCCGGTGTTACCCGTGACTCTATTTTGTCGCTTGCCCGTGAGTGGAACGAATTCAAAGTCACTGAGCGCAAGATGACCATGCCTGAACTCCGTGATGCTGTCAAGGATGGTCGTGTGGTCGAAATGTTTGGTGCTGGTACCGCATGCATTGTCACTCCCGTCAAGGCCGTTGAATACATGGGCGAGGTAAACAAAAAGATAATATACTCTATTATGATCATTACTATGATTTCTCTTACTTGTATATGTAACTAAAACCTTAAAAACTTTTTTCTAGGATCTGAACATTCCTCTTGATCCCAACGACTCTACCTCGCAGGCTGGACCTATCACTAAGCGTATTAACGAAGCCATCATGGATATTCAATACGGTGAAGTCGAACATCCCTGGTCGGTTGTTGTCAACTAGATTTCTTGCTCATAACATCTTTTTTAAAGTATCATAATCATTATCATCTTTTTTCATGGTCCTGTATCGTTTCTTCTACACATCTCTCTTTAGAGTGTATCTATCAGTCACTACTTTGTCTTATTTATATCACGGAATGATAGAATTCAATACAACTAACTTGAAATTTATTGCATGAGGTTGTCAGATACATGATGATAGTGTATCTGTGTAAACATCAGTTTTCATTGATTATTCGCTTTCTTTATTCGATATACTGTGTTGTTTTTTTCCACTGATTACTTTAGTTATACATATGATATTGCTAGGTACAAACAAGCCTACATAGCAGTACTACATACGAATTCAAATGAAAAAGCAATGGTGCTTTTAGAATGGGGATGGTAATAAAGGTAGTAGTATTGATACTTTTATATTAGACGAGTAATCTGTTTGTACTAGAAGTGCTTGATGGTTTTGACATTTATAAAGCTTAGTACGATGGAAGATGCGGGGGTTAGTGCGAAAAGAAAGTCAAACAGCGAATGAAACGTGTGTAAACAAAGGAAAGAGGGGGAAGGTTGATTTTTTTGACGAATAAGTTGCGTGATTAAATGTCGTGACTGTAATTACATCGATCGCCAAAAAGACAGCCTTTTTTAGTGTTCAGGTATCTACAACGCGCTCTTCCGCGTGGAGGCCGGGATGGTCGATTATTGCCGTTGTGTTGGTCACTCCTACCGGCGCCGGCACCGCCACGCGAAGACCGATGCGGATGATGGTGGTTTCTATAATTTTGTAATGATTGATACGTCTGGTTAATAACCTAACGATGACCGAAAACTCTTCCATTTTTTGCCCGTTGTTTTGATTATTTTGTTATTCATCTATACCACACTCATTCAACCCTCCACATCACTTTACTCTTCCTCGTCTCTTCCCATGCACACACTCCTCCAAAATGAGGTTCTGTTGTGGTCTTACTACTTACCCACGAGAAGGATTCGTTGAATGATTAATATTATTATTGTTATTATGGTGTTTACTTGGTTGTGTCGGTGGTTGGTTTTTGAGATCATGTTGATAGTACTGATGTTGTCGCTGCGAAGGTACTTGGTGTTGAGGTACAGCTAGTTGTTCTTGTTGTTGTTGTGTTGGTGTCATAGAAGAAGTAGATGCAGAGGCTCCGGTTTGAGAGGCAACTGCATTCAAAATACCTTGCAAATCCAAGTAGTCAAGATTTGGGTATTCTTTTGACGACGATGACGACATAGGAGCGATGGGAACAGATGCACTATCATCCACTGTTGTTGCACTGTAACCCTTGTTGTTCTCCGGTATAGAATCATCCATTTCATCATTGTAACATTCTTCGGATGTTGCGTCTCCGTAATTAGCCAAGTCTTCCAATGGAATTATTTTAACACCAATATCATTCTCACAACCAGGACTGTCAGGTTCTTCAGGTGTAGGTGGTATTTCATCTATGCTTCGATAGACAGTAGGTGGCGTAATTGCTTCAAGCTGTCGTTGATAATTAGATTCTTCTGTATAGATCATGCCTGCGCGTCTACAGTCTTGTGCCAGGAGTAAGCGCGGTGGGCATTGCCAGTTTTCTAGCGTAGGATGTGATTTTGTTGGAAGACCATTATGCTGATTTGAAATTTCGGGGCCTTGTTCATTTTCTCGATCATCGACAATTAATCCGTCTGGATGATCGGAGGTCTACTCGATAAAACCCATGTTAATAAAAAAGTGATTTCTTTTATGATTTGTCGTTTGATATAATCATAGTGTTTACCTCCCAAGTATTCTTTGCATAATAACGGACTTGAACCAAAACATGGTCGCTCTTAAAATTAACCGATTTTTTCTTTTTGGGGCTACTTGGAGTCTTCAAAGGCAGACCATTGGGACTTGAATCACTCAAACTTGGCACCATAGGAGCAGTGTGAAAAGTAGAAGATGTACTATTTTGTTGGCCAATTTCAATTAACGGAGATCGAGTGTGCGCAGTAACAGGAACATCTCTACTAATTCGCCTACTGCCATACCTCGTCGTTGTTGCTGTTGATGACGACGTTGATGATGATGATAGTGGTGAGGATTCCACAAGGAACGACTCCTCGCGACGCAGATTGGATAGCTTTGAAGAGCCACTGTTTGTATGACTACCGTTGTTTAACATATTGAATAAGCCGTAATTAACTTGAGCTTGTGGTTTAGACAATGATGGTTTGGCTGGTGGTTCAGCAGAGATAGCTAACCGTACTGCTTTCTTCGCTGGGCTGTTAATCTAATAGAGTTGGTACGGCAGATTCATCAATATAAACATTTCTTTTCCTTTTGGTCGCGAATAGTTCAGACTTACTGTCGTTGCTAAGTAGGAACGAAAAAAAGAAGATAAGTTAGCTCATTATCAAGTCTAATTGAGATCAATCTACTTACTGTACTAGTGGATACTTACGAGGTGATTTGCGCTTCTCGGCAACGGAGGAACCCAAAGGAACTATAGACGGTGGAAATGACGGCGGTGATTCTGAATCACGAATGCTTTCTGTATTTGGGTCACTTCTAGCCGAGCGTTCTATGTATTTTGAAGAATCATGTTGATGACTTATTAGTAAAAGCAACGCATAACCCACTGGTGTAACTCAATCAATGTTCTTTCCACAATAATTGTTTCCTCTCTCTCATATAGATGAGTCTATTAAACATACGGTGGTTGTGTTGGTCGCTCCATTTGTTCATCAGTTGGATTGTTTGTGACAGCAACTCTTCTTTGTCTATACATTTATAGAATATGGATAGCAGTGAACAAAGAGTTAGTGAATATCTTTGAAATTGAAATGACAGTGACCGTACTACATACCGTTACTCTTGCATTTCTCTTTAAGGACCTTGATAGCTCTTCCGAGCTTGTAATCAATTAATGTTTGGGGGCTTAGAGGCAGGTGGTTTAAAATTTGGACCATTTTTCCAAGGATGACCCAATCCCGTTCTCTGAGGGCGCATTTGATCCATTCATGATAGTTGCGACAGGCTTTCGGGGATGCAGCAAGGCTACCAATACAGAAAAGCACAAAAGTCAGTGACCAGCGAGATAAGATATAGTGCACACACAGAGATGCATTGACAGTAATACATACGCTTTGAGAACGTCTTGGTTGTTGGTGTGTAAGATCACATCCAGTAGTCTGCTTCGCAGATGCGGCAGTTCCTCAGTAGCCATCACATCAATAAGTTCGTTTTTGCGAGATATAGTTTCGATTGCACCTTGATCGCCAACAGTATGTAGAAAGTTCAGAGTGCGTTCAACACCATTGTTGTCATTGATATCACTGCTTGTTGGCACGGTCTGTTGCTGTTGTGCTTGCACTTGGCCGGTATCTGCGAAACAACAAAAATATACATCCACATGTAAGTTTTTATTTTTCATCCTCTTTCTTTTTCATGCACACAATGCTTTCCAAAAAAAAATACACAAAAAGCAAGTCTCTCAAATAGGGTTCTCAACGTAATTTGCGGTTACGTTGTTGTGCAGGTCAATTTCTGTAATATGCGCGTTGTATACAATTTATACACATGCACACATCACACACGATCTCGTTGGCGCACACAAGGGGGGTTTCGTATTTACGCACACCACACATGTTTACACATTCTCCACCCAGGCTTCCCCATTTCACGCAAATGCGAGAAACATGGTAAAAAAACAAAAAAAAAAAAAGATCACAAAAAGATTTTTTGCCGCCATTTTCTTTTTTGCTTTATATCTTTTTTTTCTTTTCTTTTTCCAAACCAAGAAAAGAGAAAGAAAAGAGAAAGCGTGTTTTTGGGCAGAAGAAATTAGGCATTGGGCTCACTTTTGTGAGATTTGGCGTCTTTTTTTTTCTTTTTCTTTCTTTCTTTCTTTTTCTCTCTGTGCGTTTCCTCTCAAATGAAAGAGGGTTATTGTTAACTTGCTTTCTCTGGATTGTTTTTTTTTAGAAAGAGGCCAGAATCGCTGAAGTGTTAAAAAAAAGCCGGCAGTGCGAAAGAAAGAGAGAGAGAGAGAGAGCGAGAAAGAAGAGCTATAAAGAGGGACAATAAAGAAAGAGAAAACCAAGTTTGGCTTTGTAGCCTACCTGCTAGTGCAGTTGTTGGTGCTGTTCCCAAAGACAATGACATTTTGAGAATGAGAAGAAAAAAGATGTAGTAAAAGAAAATGGTTTTTTTTTTCTACCAGTGGGCTCTCAAAAAAGGTGTGATTTTATATTCAGTTGCCGCAGCAACTGTTTCTGATTGGTCAGCGAGAATGGGTCGCGTGGACCGATTGTGTAACGTGTTGCCCAATACAGTATGTAGCAGGTTGGTACCATATCCGATAACGAGTACTGTGTTTATTGTGATCGTACGGGAGAAAGAGTCACATACTTTTGCACTATCAAATGGGGCCCCCTTCTTACTCAATGCATGCGACGCGGATCGTTCTCATACTCGTCCAGCGCCTCCCCTTCTTCTGCACTTGACCGCTGGCCATCCGCAGGATTATCAAAGGTCTCATCATGATGCGAAGACACGTGTCTCTGTAACAAACAGCAGCAGGTAAGCATGTTTGTTTTGCTTCAAACGACAAGTGCAGAGCTTACCCTTTTCTTTCGTCTTCTTGATCGTTCTTCGTCACTGTAACCACCGTGGTCACTATCACGATCTGAACCCGCCCGCTGCCTCGAGTAGTGTTTACTGTTGCCGTTGTATCGTCGGGAACCATGATGTTTTGAGTAGCCACCACCAGTGTATTCTTCATCATCCTTGATCATGCCTTCTTCTTCTTCATCGTCTTGTTCTGCATGTTTTTCCTAGATGTATAGTGTATACCTTCTTCTAATCATCTGTTCTTCGACTCGCCGTTATCATCTCAACGAGATGGTCTTAGCAACATACCTTCAATCGCTTGATGAATTTCTCATATGCCTCTATGCAATGTTGCTCATTTTCAATAGCTTGATATTCGGGAAGATTTTCGATACGTGGACGCACTGTTTCCCATGAATCATCTACACCGATTGCTGGATCCAGATATTTCATGGCATGACGCAGGGCATCCATCTTCTTTTTCATCTTTTTCTCTTGTCGACGCTTCTCATCCTTAAGCCGCTGCGCTGCTTTGTTTTGTAACTAGTAGAAAGGTTCACGTTAGTCATGCATACGACTGCAACATAAACAGTGCCAACTTACGTGATCAAAGATGATCTTGATATTGGCTTCTTTTGTACGGTCCATAACATCATGACTGCGTTTAAGTACTTCCTGATAATCTTCAAACGATGTATCAAGCGTGACCTCAAAGTCAAGGTCCTAACAGAAAGGAGAGGTTGGTTTGATTGGTCAGCTTTTACAATGAACACTACACTATTCCTTTTTGTTTTTTACCTTGAGTCCATCATATATCAGCCGCTTGTCGTGATACAATTTTTCATCCAGATCATCAAGCATATCGCAAAAGAGGTCAAATGGAGTCGAGTCAGGGATACCCAGCAAGTGTGTGTATCTCGGATCCTCTTTGATTTGTGGATATATTTCTTTCCATAACGACCGTGCTGTAATCGCACCGTTTCGCTCGAGTTCCACCAGCAAATTCTAAAGGGAAAAAGATCGTAATGAGTATTTATATATACTAAACCCTACACTCTAACACCGATTGAATTAATCAAATATGTCCCCGCCCCACTTCTTTTTTAATTTTTTTACCTTGAACCCTTCTCGTGCACGACGTTCCGCTCGCCTTCGATCCCGCATATTACGGTTAAGTTCCTCCAAGGGCGCCTCCCACAACATCTTACTGTGTTCTTCAAAGACGGTCAAGAAATCCAACATATCCATGGCCTCAAACGCCTTTGGATCCTCCTCAAACGTGGGATGCTTTGTATACAATCCCTGTGCATCTTTCCATTGGGTCTCGTACGTGATTTCAGGGATCTGGCGCAGCAATTCGGCAAACTGTTCCATGTTGATCTTGCGAAGCTCGCGTAACCGTTCCTTTTCCCTCCGTTGAAGTCCATGCACAAACTCTTCAAAGTATAATTCCCGTTGGGTTTCGGATTTGATCTGCTGGTATGCTGGCTGGTTGTTGAAATATTTGACCACGGAATGATAGCGCGAGTACGGTTTAATTTCTTTGGTGTTTTCAAGCATGTGGAAATAGACAACGCGTTGTTTGGATTCTTTCTCTTCGCGAAGTTCCTAAAAGAACAAAATAACGTTGCATGAGCATACATACACAACATCCCGGGTTCAATTGCTTGCTCGTATCTCATCAACAGTTGTTTACCCTTTCACGCTTAGCCTCTCGATCAATATATGTATGAAACGCTGCCTTTCGCTCACCGGGAGTCTTTAATGCACGATACATGGGGTGTGTGATAATTTCAGGCATAGTCTGTTCCCACGTCCAATCTGTTCTGACACCCTAATTTTTTTTTGGGGTAGAACAGTAAGTTCAAATGTAGCCATGGTGATGAAAGCTATACCAACACCAACTTACTGTTTCCTTTAAAAGTTTGAAGAATGCTTTTTCTGCTTCTTCCTTTGTTGGGAATTCGGGAACAGGGACCTGTGAAAGTAATGCGGCACTTGGTGGTGGCTGTCGGTACTTGTGTTGTCTAGTTTCGTTCATATCCGGTCGTACATTATGCGAGACATTTGATGGCCCACCGGGTGCAGCCATGGCAGAAGGACCGCCAGCAGCGTTAGCAGCAGCAGCAGTAGCAATGCCAGCAGGAGGAAGAGGACGGCCCATATGCATATGAGGTGCTGACATATGGGGTGCTAGGATGTGTGGTGTCGGCACGTGTGGTGCAGGTTGTGGCTGTGGCTGCGGTCGTGGTTGAACTTGTGGCGGTGGAGGCGTAGGTCTTTGGCTATTATTATCATATAGAAAGAACAACATAATCCATATGCATGCAACAAGAATATAGAAAATCGCGGGTTTAACTCTATCTTTCAAATAACACACCCTCGTCCTTTCTCCTTGTCAAATGTATAAACTTACGCTTCCTTTACAGCTCGTTCTTTCGCCTCTTCTGCCTTTTCCTTGAGCTCTAATAAACATCAATACAATGGATTAGACACTGATCCATCATATGCACGCAGCCTTGCAGACATAGGATTAGTCAAAGGTGGCGTCACATACCTTTATATTCATCAGGGATAGTCCACTTTGATTCCTTTGTTTGCGAATGACTGTAATACGTCTTGCCCTCGGGCGTTTTGTATTCCTTCCAAGGACAATTCATCAATGCCTTCTCTTCTGGAGTCAATAGCTCCTCTGGTTTTTCCCACGTACTCTTTCGCGTTATTGTGTTAAACCAATACTTGCGTCCTTCAGCGTTTTGATGTTCCTTCCATAATTGCTATGTAAGAAAAAACCAATTGTGACATTTGAGTATACTTCTTTTTAAAGATTGTAATATGGAAAAGATTCTTCCAATCGAACTTGACGATACGTTACAGCAGGGGGAGGTGATGGTACCATGCCATCATTCACGACGCCGTGAGCAGGAGGCATAGGTCGTGGAGGTCTTTGCCAAGGTGACGATGTCGCAGACGATGGATGAATGCCCGGTGGTGGTGGACTGCCCTGAAATCCAGGTGCCTTTGTTTTTTTTGGAGGGGGGGAACAAACATGCAAGCATTGTATGATAAGTAAATCAAAACAAAAAGAGAGCCGTAGCATAAGCAGATCAATAAACTGGCAAGACTTACAGAAGTAGGAGGAGGCCGATACATTTGGGAAAAGTGTTAATGATTCGGAACGGATCGTTCAAACAGCTCAGTTTTTTTTATACAACAGCAAAAGGGCTCTGGCTGCAGACAACCACAGATTTTGGTGTGCCGCTCGGACTTTTGTTATATCGGGAAGCGATGAAGTTGACCACAAAACAATAAGGCAGTACATAAAGTTCGCTTTTAAAAGAGTGGTAAGAGATGCACATGCAGATTTTTAATTAAGAGAGAGAGAGAGAGAGAGAGGTGAGGATATATAAATACAGTAGAGATTATAGATGATGGTTAAATTAAAAGCTTCTATCTAGAGAGGTACTTTTCGAAGAGCATGGATCAACCAGAAATTAGATGTCAAAAGGGCCAGGGCACCGGCTTGATGGGCAGCTGCCAATTCTATAGGCACCATATAAATAAGAGTTGAGATACCCAATGTCACTTGGATAACCACTGCGCCCATCATGGTATTCATGGCCATACGGACGTTCTTCGGCAATGGTAAGCGTCTCGAGTATGCCCATAAAGCCGTAGTCAGCACGGCTGTCGATTCGGCCTATACACAGAAATATGCTCAGTTTCTCATTTCCTACTCGATAGAAATGAAATTGGTTTACTTACCATAGTGCGATGATCGAATTGAACAGTTGTAGGGTTTTCCAACAAGTTACGCCACTTGCCCTTATCGGTGCTCTTTACATAACTATCTGACCACAGTTCAGATTTCGGCGGGACGATGCCTTCACCCATGAACGGGAACTCATTATAGATCAAACCAGCGTCCAAACCAGCGACAAGGCCACCTGTCATGGCCGTCAAGAAGATGATGCTGCCCATAATGTGACCACAACGACGGAAGCGATGCAACACCGGGTTATTCAGCATGGCAGCTGTTTCCTTGGGATACGTTCCCGTAGCAATCTTGTGTTGTCTCAAAATATCGGCTGCAACGAAAATTGTAGCAGCGTAAATCATGAATGCCGTTGCCAAGTGCGCGGTCAATCGGTATTGACTCACGCGCGGAACAGCGCCCGGTTCCTCCATCAAAGCTTGGTTCAAGCCAGACTTGACCATGTACCATCCCATAAAGCCCTAATTGCAATTCCGTAGTTAGCAAATATCCCCTCCCCACATTCTACAAGCAAGTGGATCGATAAAGTCCTTCGTGGGGTTCGTTACCTGGAAACCAAGCATACATGTAATGCCAAATGTTTGCTTAGCCACGCGACGGGTCATGTAGCCACGCGACGCAAAGTACAATCCAGGCAAAATGAAGGCGGCACCAATAAACCGTCCAATCATACGATGGCTCCATTCCCAGTAAAAGATATTCTTGAACTCATCCAGCGTCATGTGTCGATTCAAGCTATTTACTTGGTTAGCTAACCCGTCATATAGTTTCATATCGTCGCATCCGCCTTTCATATAACTCGAGATATGGATCTTACATCTTGTATTCAGGGAATTGCTTGTACTTTTCAAACTCGTCACGCCATTCTTGTTCAGAACGTGGCGGCTTCATACCAGAAATCACGTTCCACTCGGTGATTGATAGACCACTTTCTGTGAGTCGAGTCAATCCTCCGACGACAACAATAGCGTACACAAGGCCCGCATTAAAGTACAGCCAATAGGCGACCACTGGCTTGGTTACAGTCGTTGTTGCTGTTGCTGTCTGGCGGCCGGTTGTCCGCGCAGCGGTTGTTTCCGCGGTTGTTATTGTTGCGCTCATGAACCGTTTAGCTGTCAACTGCTGCAAACGTCCTGCTTTTACAGCGACACGAGGACTTTGCATGGTTGTCATTAGTGTACTACGTGATAATCGCGTTCGTAGTGGTGCTGTCGATAAAGAGAAGCCTCCTCCAACTGCAGGAGGCAATCGTGCGCATAAACCACCGTTATTGGTACAGAATGCTCTGCGCAATGCGTTTCTGAGCATTTCTGGTAAATGAAAAAAGTGAGACAGAGAGAGAGAGAGAGAGAGTGGGGAGTTGTTGGTGGTTAAGTGGGTGAGACCAGCTGTAGAAATGAAAGGTAAAACAAAAAAGTGGCACCATCTGGACCCCACCTTCCCCTCTGCTTTCTCTCCGCTCAATGCTCCGGTTCTCCGCGAAGCCACCAACCACCCGGAAAAGTTAAGGTGGTCAAGGCACTACTTGCTTTACACACTTTTTGTCCAACTCTGCCTTAACATTAAATATACAATGGAGAAACCAGTGGAAAAACAACCAGAAGAGGAGAAACCTAAAGAACATACAGCAACACCACGAAAGCGATTTGTCGGTCGTGCACGCAATGCTGCAGCAAAAGCGTCAGAGGACACGCCAGCTATTGAAGACGGTGCTGTTGGTTTCGTCAGTAAGAATCGGGTTCTCATTCGCAAACAAAAAACTTCAGGGCGGGGGAGGGGGAGCCGTTCCGTTAATTACTTTCTCACACACATCACGAACGATACGCTAATGTCAATTTTGACATGTATATATAGAGTCACGACGACCAAGAACGAGTCGTGTAGCAAACCAAATTCCTGACGAAATCTTGAACGATCCGTTATTAAAAAAGGCGGTCGAGCAGGTAAAGGAAATAATTCTTAATAATATGAGAAGGCGGCTATCCTCCTAATTTTTAGTTCTCACGGGAATGTTACTACTATGCAGTTACCGTCCAACTATAATTTCGAAATCCACAAGTCAGTATGGCGGATACGAAAAGCTGAAGCAAAAAAAGGTAATCAAAATAGAGTAATGGTGTTGAAAAGAAAAGAACAGTTTGGTTTACTGGATGAGGTACTAATCACAAGCTATTGTATTGTATAGTGGCTATCCAGATGCCGGAAGGCCTAATGATGTTTGCCTGTGTGATTTCGGATATTCTCGAAGTGTAAGTTACACAGTGCAACAACGAAACACGGGTCCATCATAACAGTATTAATCTTAAATAATAATTTTTTTATATAGCTTTTGTCAAGTGGAAACGCTTATTATGGGTGATGTGACATACGGTGCATGTTGTATCGACGATTACACAGCGCGTGCATTAGGGTGCGACTTTTTGTTACACTATGGTCATAGCTGTTTAGGTAATACATATCTCTCTCGAATTTCGTACAGGAGGGGGTTATTTAGCTACTATAACCAGCATACCACTATACAGCATATACTGATTGGATTTTTCATACGCGCGACACTTGAACAATAGTTCCCGTGGACGTTACACCAATTAACACGTTGTATGTTTTTGTGGACATTGGAATTGACACGCAGCATTTTGTCGATACTGTGAAAAAGAATTTTGAAGCGGGAAAAAGGCTGGTTCTTGTCGGAACGATTCAATTTGTTGCAGCTTTACAGGTAAGATATGCAATCATGGCATGTTGTGGCATAAGGATGTGTGTGTGGTTCTAAAAGTGAATGTAAAGTTGCGCAATAGCATGCTCTGACTCATAATACTAATATATATATACAACCTAGTCTGTACGCGAAATATTACAACAGGATTATACTGTCCTCATACCCCAATCAAAACCATTATCTCCTGGTGAGATTTTGGGTTGTACATCGCCAAAATTGCCTGAAATGGATGCCATTATGTGAGTACCAAGGAGCGATAGTCGTACTAAGTTGGTTGTGTGAATTTTGCTACAACCAGTCGTATTGTTGCGGGTTATTTGATGAAGACAAAGATCATATACTGATAGTCTCCTTGCTCGATAGTTATCTAGGTGACGGCCGATTCCATTTGGAGTCCATCATGATTCATAATCCTTCTATTCCTACATTCCAGTAAGTGTGATGGGAAGAGAGTGGTCCTATGATATACTTGTGCACAAGCCAAATGGAATGCTCAAGAGGGGGATCCTGGAAAAGAGAATGAAAATATTCAACAAGGGAAAAATAGGTATAACCCATACGATAAACGCATCACAAGAGAACGATATGATCACGTGGAAATGCAGTCGCTTCGGAAACATGCCGTAACCGTGGGCAAGGATGCCAAAAAGTTCGGTTTGATCTTGGGCACCTTGGGCCGACAAGGCAAACCACAAATCATGGAGTATCTGGAAACATGTATCCACGAAGCAGGAAAAGACTCAGTGATTGTCCTGCTTTCTGAGATCTTTCCACAGAAGCTTGCCCAATTTGAAGATGTGGATGCGTAAGTGTGATTTTTTCTTTTGTTATTGTTCATGCTCTATGTTAGCATACGATACACTGACCTAGAATACAACTTTTGTGTCTCTAGATGGATTCAAATCGCATGTCCACGGTTATCCACGGACTGGGGCTATGCGTTCGCAAAGCCTTTATTAACACCCTACGAAGCATCGATTGCGTTGGGCAAGGCATCATGGCACGACATTTATCCTATGGACTTTTATGCTAATGACAGCCTGGGTCCTTGGACACCGAATCACGGGCGTAATGTGAAACGATCCACAAAACGACAACAACAATAATAAAATATTACATGCTAATAACTTTGTGGAGTTTGATCGGACTATGATATATGTGCCATGTGGCTGCGGATGCTACTGCTGCTGTTACAAAATGCATGTGTCACAAAACCAGAAGGAAAGTTTCTCTGGAGAAAAGAGTATGGGTAATCATGAATACTATAATTGATTTATGCAAGAAGGGGATTACATTTACAAAAGATTTGGGAACAGATAGACAGAAGGTGAGTGCGTTTGTGTGGATGTGTGCGTGGTGTGGACAAGATGGGAGTAAATGGACTATTAAGTAGTAGTAGTAGTAGTAGTAGTAGTAGTAGTAGTAATAGTTTGTATGTACATGTTGAATATCATCTTCTTGCTTCTGTTGGAATCATCATTATCGTTGCTGTTCTTGCTGTCACCGGCAGCGGTTTCTTAGCGATATCCAATGGCTGCGCAACGAATTGATGATTTTCCCACTATGTGCACATATCAGTTTAATGCTTTTGAAACAAGACAACATACACGCGTGGTTCTTGATTGCCAGAGCTTACTTGTGAAGTGCGCACCATTCGTAATGATCACCCCGAGACAAATCAGCACTGCAGACAGGGCAGATTTGCGATGCTTGAACGTGCATTGTGTAGGTTTGGAAAGAGGTGAGAAAGAAGAGTGCTGGTATTGGTCAAGTGAGAGGGTGTGTGTGGTTGACAAGTCTGCTTTGCTTTTTCTTGCACGTGAAAGAAAAGGGTGAACAAAGGAGAGAGAGAGAGAGAGAGGAAGCGGGAAAGAGAGAAAAGAAGGGTTTATAAGAGCAAAACCCGCAGGGCGAACAAACAAACCAAAAGCAAAGAGTTGGCTGCTCTTTTTTAAATAGCAAGGGTGCCATCGATCGAATGATTTAAGCGTTGTTATTGATTGAGGCAAAAAGCTGCACCCGCTCACGCTCTTTCTTCTCCAAATTGGCTGGTGAAACCTAATATCGAAAAACCATAGGGGTTGGTTCGTTTTTCTTCAGCATGGCATCATCATCATCTTCGTCTATACCCGTTCAGTCTCATATATCGCTTATTTCATGCTCCATTCCAAAACAACCCTCCCAATCGTACATACTTCCAAAAACACCAACACAACAACCAAGCACGCACCTGCACTATATTACATGGCACACGCTTTTCGCTTGTAATCACTCACTACCCCCTTTTGACAACAGATTACTAGATTAGGCTAAACCGCGCTTATAACGGTCACTTGACTCACTGTATAACGCTATTACAGTTCTTGTGATACCTCTTCTCAATCTTTCATTCCCTCTCCCCTCCTTCCCTTTCCTTTCAAACAATGTACCACATTGGAGTTCTTGTTGCAATATTCTCAATGTTATTTCTTGTCCAACTTCAGCAACCATCTTTCCGGGATACTCGGCACGATGCCGTGATCACGTTTTAGCGCTTGGTTAGGTACAACGAATGCACACAAGTCGGCCCCATCTACCGATGTTTGTGCCATATCAAAGCATGCATTGCTACAACAGGAATTACGTGGCGGTATCTCTGCTGTTGCTGCTGCTGCTGCTGCCATGGAGCTATTACTATTACTGCTACCACTGCTGCTCCTATCCTTTTGAATAAAGGCTAGCACACCCTCGGGTAATTGCGGCTCATTGATTTCGTAGCGGTAGTGCAGCACGCAACGTCGTATCTGCACAGCACTTAGCAAATCGAACCCTGCCGTCGTCTCTTGGAACAGTCTGAGATCGTGCAGTTGTGAGACGCATTGTAACAGCTGTAACAGCTGCGCAAGTGGCTGGAAACAGGAAACGGAATGACCCAGTGCCGTGTGACGGATCCACTCTTCAATGACTGACACGTTCATTCGCACGTGAATCGCTCTGGATCGACACAGGTATTTTTTGTTGCCAAGCAGCCGGTTGAAGCCCTGCCATGCAACAAATTGCAAACACTGCATTATCAGCTGTTCTTTAATTTCGGGATGCATGTCATAGCTGTCCATGGTTTGGGTCACGGATGCAATAATCGAGGTCAGCGTGGAGGGTGGCGTCAAGGTAGGTGCTGATGATAATAAGAAACTGTTGCGACGGGAGGTAGAGGCTAGTGCTGTTGCCTGTGTTGTGGTGGAAGTGGATGTATGGGATGCGGTGGAAGATGTTGAACTGCGTCGAAAGAACCTTTGCCAACCACTGTCTCCGACAAAGTCAATATGCTCGTCAGTAATCTCCTCATAATCGAGTAAAGCCGGTTCAATGAACTTGTCAAGTCGCTTTTGGGTGAATGAAACAAGCAATGCAAATGCTTCGGACGTGAGCTGCTGTGCGATTTGCTGCTGCTCGTCTCGCGTGACATCTGCTAAGCCTCTATCTCGCCGTAAATATAGATACAACATGTGGCTGTTGGATATCCAATAGCCGAGGCAATCAATATTTCGAGAGTTCGCCTATTTTTGGAGTAATAGGAACAATGAAATATGGCACGCATCAGAGTGATGACATGTTATGAGCCAAAAGGAGCACTAGTTAATATTAGTAGCAACAGCACGGTAATTCATGCATTTTCTGTGTCGATTATAGATGTGACTTGCCTTGATCACTTTTGCAATTTTGTTGATGGCTCGAGTGAGAAACTCCTGCAAAAAATCACGCCGTGAATGATAGTATGCGAATCGACAGCAAAGAAAAATGACATTGGCTGCGAGCCGAGTATCATCCGCCGACACAAGTGGAAGTTTGACGTCATTGATGACAGTATTTAGTATGTACGACATGTCGTCTTGACAAAATACAAACATTTGATCCGGCAAACACTTGTCCCAGTCGAATTGGTATATTGAGCGTATGCATCCTTCCCATCCTTCAAGATCTTCTTCTTCTTCTTCTTCTTCATCATAGACGTCATCATCACTATTGTTCGCACCTTCTTCGTATTCGTATTCGTCTTTTGCGTTCTTTTTACGATTACAACAACTACTGATGCTGCTGCGTTTGCTGCTGTTTGCTGTTGTTGGTGTTGTTGGGGGTATATCTGCATATCCGTACATGTCTGCTTGGTAGTAAATAAGATCGACTTGATCTAATTTTGGAACATGGGATGCACGCCTTTTCTTTTTCAAGCTGTTGATATCCATTGTTGTTGTTGCTGATGATGATGGCTGAAATATCGGTGATGTTTTTGTTTTGTTGTTAATTTGTGTACTTGATGAGGACAAAGATGATGGTGGTGTAGGAGGTGTTGGCGAGGGTATCAAGCTTATCATGGTACTGTCTTGAGGATCAACGAGTCGATGGATGCTAAATCCTGCAAACGTTTTGACATTACGCGATGCGCCACAATCAAGCAGTAACCGGACCATGTCAACATGCTTACTGTTCACAGCCCACATTAGTGCTGTCCAGCCCTCTATTAGATGCATGTACATTAGTATTAAGCTTCATGCATACACACTAAATTTTAATAATGTCAAAATAAAGATATGCTTTACTTTTATCCTGTCTGTCTATACTTGCACCTGCTTCAAGCAATGGGCGAACCACTTGAATGCGATTGAAGCATGCAGCATGAATAAGGAGAGTTACGCCGAGTTCGTCAGGTTGATTGACATTCACCCATGGGTGTTGCTGTAGCACGGATGTGATTGTTCTTGTATCACCAATGCATATGGCGCGGGCTAGTCGCTGCATCACTTTCTTGCTATTGCCATGATTACTGCAGCTGTCACTATCACCATCATATACATCTTCTTCTGCTGCGGTATTTGAAATAGAGGGTCGGTGGTCGTATTCGTCGTCTGTGCAACTGCTAATAGTGCTAGTACAACTGGTGCTACCACTGATTTGTTCGCGGAGATCATCGCTTGCCAATGAAGGAAATGTAGCGCAGGACGATGCTGTCGACGCAATGGACGGTACGAACGCTATTGATTCTGTACTTTGTCGTATTTTTCCCGAATGCTGCTGCTGCTGATTTAGTTGCTGTTGTTGTAGTAGCGGTGACAATGAGCGAGGTGTTTCTACAAGGAGATTCCGAGTAGCCAAAGGATAAGTAGCTGCTGTAGTGGGTACGACAAGTGGTGCTGGTGGTAACTTTTTGGGTTGTCGCATTCGTTGCTGTTGCTGATTTTTCTGTTGTTGTTCTTGGTGTTGTTTGGCTGCCGACATTTGCGTGAGCATGTTGGAAAATTCTTGAAAACTGTCTGCGATCCTGTGATTGAGCTCATCCCGGTTCAGTGTGGGTGTAGTAAGCGCGTTAGCGCGAGGTAGCGCTCCAGCGCTTTTGCGACGGTCGGCATAGCTGGTTTTGTTGGACGAAATCGGAAGACTGTCGTAAGAAAGGCGAGTAGTGTGCGGTAAAAAGGCCAATTGTTGGTTGCTGATACTACTGTCAATATGGCGCTGATGGTGGTGACAAGTAGTAGTCGCAGAGGTGGCCGGGGGCACTGTGGAAATAGTGATGCCCGGGTTATTGTTATTTTTTCGTGACGATGGCGATGACGTGTTTGCAGGCATTTATGTACGTATATGTGCGTTGTATGTGCGTTATGTAATTGGGTTTGTTCCTTCTACCACTTCTTTACAAGTCTATATTGTTCCTATATGTGAAAATATGAAATATATAATGATTGGGCTGCTTGGAGTGGTAAAAACAAAAAAAAATAAAGAGGAATATCGGCAAGCCTCCCCAAAAATATGCGAAGGAAGAGAGAAAGAAAGAGAAAGCCAAGAGCGTACAAAATGTGTGGAAAAAGGTTTAGGGCCATCCTCTCCACCAACGGTGCTACGATGGGATGGTGATACCCTGAGGGATGGAAGTAATATAAAGTGCATACTGGTAGGGATAGTTTATGAGCATGTCACCAACTTTAACTTGGTCCCCATCGCCATACAGCTACAATTTGTTGAAGGAGTAGACTAAGGATGCTTCTATAGGCCTATGCAGACTGCGCCCTGATACACCTATTTTTTCTTACTGTCGTTCCTGAATTGACCTCATAACTTTCGCCATGGATATCCTCAGGGGTAAACTAAAAATAAAAGGCAAAGTTAAATTGCGCATTCATCAATTGGCGAGTGCGTATGGGCCCATCTGACGGTTAAGCGTTCGGAAAAGGCACATGCAACTTCCGATGGGAAAAAAGAAGCCCTTGCGAAATATTCACGTAGGCTTAGGCTCTCCCTTCAATCCCCGCAACTTTTCGCTACATTGTTGTCATGGGTAACGGTTGCCCTTGAATACCAGCTACTACTATCAATTTCCGGAAATACATATCTACAACGTACGGTGATATGTTACAAAAAGATGAAACGATTATGCTCTAGCTTAATTTTGCTCGGATGATAACGTTCTTACTCTTTTTGCAATAGGACGTTGTCCATCCTTTCCTCATAGCACGAGGGTCGGGGGCTACCTTCATTTGTAGGTAAAAGCAATGAATTATACTATATTGTTGCTTAAATACTCTTCTATTTTGCTCGTTTTGTCCAAGAATAGTAGTCACAGTGGCAGGTATCTTTTTAAGCATATGAAAAAAGAAGCGTTGACATACACAATAATGACGAGCAATCGACTCTTTTGTTCAATTAAGATACCAACGCAACTTTCTGCAACACATTAGACTTTTTTCCATCAATGCGTCGTTTTAAAAACCCGGTGTTACACACGGTCTTTTGTGAACGTCCGATAGACAGATGCATATGTAAAAATCTACAGGAAGCATGACGATCTTCAAAGGGTGATAGTTTAATTGAAGATGTAAGCAAGTTACGGTACGTATATCAATATTTCCAGCAGTTATCGGGCTTGTGCTTCAGTTGACATTGTGCGAGCCAACTTCATGCGCAACGTGATGCAAAAACAATACGAATAGAACGGATTCTGGTGCCTGTACAGAGTTTACAACATAATGTGTTGCCATATGTGGTAACGGGGACGCTACTGTAATATATATCGAGCACGCCAGTTTCTGCTGACGGATTATGTGTTTTTTGCCTAGATTAATTGGATGTCAAATATCTTGGCAAGATACTGAGTATGTATCATCACGAGAGCTTCTCTACATTTAACACAATATAAGAAAGAGTTAGCGATTTATGCCAGAATGTTGGCATAATATTCATATTAGAAACACATTGTAGCGAATCTTCTACTAACACCCATTTGACGTGTCCTAATTGATTGAATGATCCGGATAGCAAAAAATTCTGTATTATGTTCGTTTTGTGTGTTGTAGATAAACAGTCTCTTTATTGTGGTAATGTTATTGCTCCCTTTTTCTGATTAGATAGATATTAATGACGCAGTCGTTGCTATTGTTGAACTGTATCGTAAATACTCCCAAAGTTCTTACTGGCAGCTACGATTTCGACATCACAGCCGTGTCTCAAACACGTCTATGTATAAAGAAGCCATTTCAGTCTAAAGGTGATATTTTGACGCCCTTGAGAAGAATGCATTATTACTTAAATGTAGGTGTGTAACCAGATTGCAGTTATCTATGAGAGGTTAAGTACAGTATTCTCTCTGCTTGTATCTTCATATATCTGATGATGGTCTCCGCGCCTTATTTTAAAGTTGTTTGCGATATTTAAAGTTTTTTTTTGGTCAACACAGCTTGCAAAATTTGGTGCAATCTCTCAACGCATTGTGTTCCATCACCAAAGCCAGTTGGAATCCATTTTCATTTCAGTCACTTATGGAGTTTTTGACCTATCATATTCGATCTGATACGTACTTCTATAAGATGCGGAAATGTTTCGAGCGAGGTCCATTGGTTCGCAAACTGCTTAGCGCGGCAGCCCGATTGGGTGCTTGCCAGAATTTTGAATTGATAACAAACACGCAAGCTTCTCACGGTGGTATTGTTTTGACTAGCAAAAATGTATGCGTGGGCTTGCGATTTTTGAATACAGCATACCAAAGTTCGCATCTTAATCATTAATTATATGGATGGATAAATAAGAACATGTTGGTGCAATTATTGTCAGTATCTCATTGCACCCAGTAGCTCAACAAAAATACCGTCGTCTAATGTATCATATCTCTTTTACTATGATTGCTTGTCGGGTCCAAGATCTGCTAAACATAATAAATAAGTTAGCATTTTTGTCTTCTATGCGGAATTAAAGTGTTGAATACAGGTCATAAGAAAAGCTCACCCGATCTTTACTCTTTACTTTAAACGCTGGCGTGGTTTGCTGCGCGTCATGTGTTTCTTTTCGCTCTTCTGGTACGATACTGAAACAAATATCAGCATAAGAAAACCATTGTATGTAGTTTTCTCGAGATGGTTTGGCGCCGATACTCACTTACGATTTCACGTGCAACAACCTGAACTTGTTGCAACTCACTAAATGCACCAGTCTGTCTGGGTGTGATTGCTAAGAAGATTATACTAAAAATTTGGCACTCACTAATGGACGTCGTGGATCTTCGAACCGATGTGAATGTTCCCCTTATACATTAGCCTTCTTTAAGATACTTTATCAAAGAATAGTATATGTACATATATCCTTTTTGACGATTCCACTGGTCAGTTGCTTGTGCATGCTAGGGGGAGTGTTAAGCTAGCTATTTATTCTGAGTTGCCTGTCTATAGTATGTTGTCAAGAACAATACTGATAGAAGAGAAACAAGCGTTCCACTTTTGACAAGATTTTGGTTAACATAGTGTTTAACAGGGTGCAGTGCATGATATCTTAAGGAAAGCGCTCTATGTGAACTGCCAGCAAACTTTAAGCTCAGGATTCTCGCTGTATACAATTGCTTGAATATGCTGTTTTTGCGTCGCGAAAGTAATATTTGATTAGATGAACGTCATGAGGCAATATCTGAATTACTCAGTAGCACTCTCTTTTGTAGCGTTTGTGATTCTCTCAAGCACGATGTGGAGTAAGAGTAACACTCCTGCGTAAAAGCAAGACATAGTACACCAGACTTCTCTTAAATAACATAAACGTATATATCCTCCTACGGCATCAACTTTACAATATTATTCACCTCCTCCTCCACCTCCTCCTCCTCCACCGCTATCACCACCGCCTCCTCCACTGCTATCACCACCACCTCCTCCACTGCTATCACCTCCTCCTCCTCCACCGCCTCCGCAACTGGATGAGCCGCCACCGCCGCTATCAGCTGAGAATCCTGGGTTGCTACAGCCATAGAAACTTTCCAAGGCACTTTTTATGAAAAGAGCGCGAGCTTCGCTTTCGCTTCTGCTTCCGTCGGTTCGAGAACGATGAGAGTATCCACTGTACGCTTTATAATTAAGGTACATGTCTTCCGGGTAAAACAGAGCTCCTTCGAATTTTCCAGGTGGATTTGGAATGAACTCGCACTCCTCCTCCGAGTACCAGTCCACTCCATCAGTCGTCCATCCCCATTTTTGACGCCGTTTGGAATATTTACGACGCATGACTCCATACGTGTTGTATCGTGCGATCCACCATTCATGATTTTTGTCTTCGGGCTTTAGATACTTCATAAATTCTACATCTTCAGAACTGAAGCATCTCTTGCCGATAAATCTAATCGGGTTTTTGTTGCGAGCCACTACAATTTGACTACGATATGGTATTCGTCCGAAGCATCTCTTGTCTGTTGGGAAATGTGGAGCCCTTGGTGGGTAAGTTACTGTTTCTATATTTCATAATAAAGAGCGTCAGTAATCGTTCATTTCGGTCTCGGTCATAAGAGTATACAATTTATCTTAAGAGACATCCATGAATCCCTTACCAATGCTATTATAAAGCATCCTCATAGTGGTTAGTCGGACTGTATTCGCTACAAGCGAGCTACACGTAAAAGAGGAACTCGCATTGCTTACCGTCTAACAACTTCCTTTGCAGGAGAAATGTCATCAAGAAAAGATCTATTGGAAGATTGCAGTTTTTTTTTGGCAAGGTTTGTTAATACATCATAAAATTCCATAGATAATATTGCCCTTTTCTCTTTGTCATTCGCTTACCCAATATATCCGTATCCAGTGTGTGCGACAGTATCAAAAATCAGCTCGCGCACAGTATTACTATTGCTGACAGATTCTGATCGACATTCTTTCCGGTGATAGCTCACATCAGCTAGTCTATAGTGGTTTTAAACAACGAAGAAGATATACGTCGTTACTACTATTGAATCTAGATATTTTCCGTAGTACTTGAAAGGAAAAAAATACAAAATCAAGAAAAGAAAAGCGTCTCCTTACGTTATGCTTTTGTTGATGTTTGATTTCTCGAATAATTTACTTTTAAGCACAGGGTACTTCCGAACCTTGTGAGCCGCTTTTTTGGAAAACGTATGCGCAATACCACCCTTTAAACCAGTGAGGCTAATGGAAAGCCGCGGTACCAGTGATGACGGTACTTCTGACCATGCTGTTTCTGTTGCAAGGACATGCTCTTTCAGTTGAGAAGGGGCAATGGTATCGTCGTGGTTGGGAACTCGACTGAACCTTTGATTCTGCATGAACCTGAAATACCGGGCGGGATGCAGCATATGTATATGCCAGGCCAAATCTATAGTAAGATTAACACACAAATGATTAATAATAATGCTACAAAAAAAAAACGAGTGCACATTATAGCTCTCTTTCTTTGATTGGTGCACAGGACTTACCGATCATCCACGTGGGAAGAAGAAGTTGCTCAGTCTTTTGGTTCTTTATAAGAAGCAAAAAATCATGATAGTCCTTTATGGCCTGTGGAAATTCGATGCGTGCAGGATCTTTCCATTTTGGTGATATTTTAGTTACCATGGTGGCGACGAATTCTCGTTGTTGATGCATGGCCTGGATTAGATCCAGCGAAAATGATGTTGGATTGTTCTTATATGTGCTTCGGATAACGTTGATGAAACCTGTAAGCTCATTAGTATAAAGACAACTATAATTGCTACTACTAGATGCTGTCTCGTAGTGTGGTTCTTTACCTTCGGCATCTGAGGTAACAATCGCCTCGTTCTCTTTTACATATTGAAGTTGTTCATTTCCTCCTTGTTCATGACTAGAATCAAAGCCAGACACACCATTGCTGCCGTTGATCTTGTACTTGGCGTCACCATGGTGATTAATCAAGTCCAAGACCATCTCTATGTTTTTGCTGCCTCGAAACTTATCCTTTTGTAATAGAATCTCCTGACATAATTTCTTGTGGACGGCTTTCGCGTTCGAGTTATGCGATCCTTTGCTATTCAACTGCAAACCCCTATAGATTGTCATGGTATGTAAGCACCGAATAAGTCACTTTTTCATCTAAGAGTTTCTTGCCAGCTAGAGAAAACGCACTTGATGTTGTAAGGTACTGATTCAAGTATATTTGCAACTGCGAGTGACTCGATCGTGTTATCTGGATACTGGCAAGTGAGAGCTGGGCATTTCAGAGCAACACTGGGATTCATTCGAAAGGCTGCATAATCCTCCCTGTTATATGTAATACTAGTGAGATGAAAGGGGTATTATCCACGATGCCTCACTTGGCTCCCTGTCGGTATCCTCACGCCAATAAACTTCTGTACTACTTACCAGCTTTGAACATATATCTTTGTGCTACATGATGCGCAACGAATATAAAGAGCTTGTCGCGCATGTGATATCTCGTCAGCTCCTCTGATATCAGTGCTTGAGGAATAATAATTTTGTGCCTTGATTCGATCGACACGTGTTTGTTTTAGATAAGTTCTGTCCAGGTTCCGAGGATATACAAAGAAGTCATCCAACGGTGTTCTATAATTATACAGTTTGCTCTTCTTGGCTTCGTACTATATGAAGCAATGAAAAGGTGAATAGCGAACGTATTAGATGGTAACGATGATGGATTTTTAGTATAGAAATTAGAATGGTAACAGTGCCATTTATACTCTAGCTTATAGCTGCTTCTTCTGCATGTGGCACAGTATCGATTGTACATACCATTGCTTTTAGTGGGAAGTTGTGTTCCCATTTAAGATCCTTGAAGACATGATTGCTATAATTACGGTACTCAATATCATCACGGTATCGGTAAGGAGAGAGTAAGTGTGCATGCCATGCATAAGCAATGTCTGATCAGTGTTAAAGACCAAAATATAAATTATCGATATTATATTGTTAGTACTTTCCAAAAATTTACTGAATTCTGTATACAAAAGTATAGACGAACCCAATGGAATAGGTTGATCCCTTATAAATACACGAGTTGTGTCCATTTGACGTTGACGGATAAACTCCAAATATCGTCTCTCGGCCGCCACAACATATAATTTGAAAATTTCGGGTTCGAGTGATTGTTCTACTTCGTAGAAACTTTGCAGTAGAGACATGTAGTAGAGACAGTTTTCCACTGATACTACTTTGTCCAATTCAGGACCGCAGTTTCTGTAATCGATAACGCGTGCATTATCAAGCCTTCGACCGTCCAATACTATCTCCTTGTATTCGATACCGCGTGCGCTGTGAAATTTTTGACCATCCATTGTTGTCGTTATAAAGCTTGCTGGGAAAAGAATTGGGTGTTGTGGGAAGAAAAGAGGAACGAAGAGGAGTTGGAAGACAGCAGTTTGAAATATATTACTGCTGAGTAAACTATGGTTGTGGATCGGAGATGGCGCAGCATATAGTGATCCATCTGTTGCGCGTGTAGTTCTCATTATGGCTACGCTTTTATATGGCTTTATTTGGACATATACACCAACTTCGTAGATGCGCTTTCTTATATCAGTCATCGGGTAACAAAATGCTCAGCAAAAACTGAGGTTTCCATGGTTGTTTCGTGTCGCTGTCAATTTCAGTAGTAACGAAAAAAGGTGTAGTAAAATCATATTTCCTGACAGGATTCTGTGGTGTATGGAGGCCGAATACATAACAAGCATGTCTTCACTTGTTCAAATTTTTATGGCCACGAATGTTAAATTAGAATGTCGAAACTAGAATACTCTATAGATAACGAGCCAGATTAAAGAGAAACCAATTGATGTCTCCACACTCTTCGTTTAAGAGCTCAGAAAAATATACTATTCGGGATACCCTACAACCGGCTACACCGTGATTGTCATTCCTGCGCAACCAAACTATGAAAAATATGTATTACACATCTACCTATCAGAAACATTATTTGTTCAGTTTCAGAAGTTAATGTTATATGACTACAGAGTAAGCTCGATGGGCATTGTAGATGAAAAATATGTCATCTTCTCTAGGTGCAAAAATGCAGCAACAGTAACGAGCGCATAGAGCAATATTTACGAGACACTAGTAACATAAATACTCCTGGGATAATATGTAAATTTTAGAGAATCTATATATATAACGCGACTACGCTAAGGGAAGGAAAGGTGCCGTTATGTAGGCAATATGTTTAGATAAAAAAAAATACAGGAGATGGAGTTCAAGAAGTAGTGAATACAGCAACAACAACCAATTTTTTTGTAAGAAATATGCTACATAGAAAGAGGACGGGTCCGACCACTGTAAATATGAACGCGTTCTATGTGAGTGCAAAGATTAATAGCGGTGCTGATGCATGTTTGGTGTATCCGACGAATACGAATGACGTTCATAGTATTCGTATGAATGGTTATGCTCCCGAGCGCTTCTTCTAGCAAAACAGCTTGCGATGAAAAAGCCAAACGCGATTACTTGACAACCACATGCAGCACCAACAATATAGATAGCGGGACCGTAGTAGTACATGATGCCATCGACAGATCGTGCCAACTCTTCGAAGACAGTCCGGTAAAGCACAACACCAATTCCAACAGCTACACCGCCACACACAGCGCCAGCAAGACTAGCCAATGCGCCAATTGTTGGCAGAACATTGTTTTTTCGCATTCTTCGCATCATCATACCAACTATAGTAGTAATATACAGTAGCATTAAAGCAACCATACATTCGGCATGAAAAGTGATTACATACATACTTAGTAATGCTGCGAGCGTGGAAAAGAGAAGAGGAGAAAGAGAGAGAGAATAAAGTATTTTCACTTAATCCTTACCAACCATGCCAGTAAAAGATAGAATTGCTGAAGGAAGAATCATAACCATGATTTTTTGTACCTTCAGTGTTCCGCCTGCGTAATCTTCCACTACTTGTTTGATTTTAGCATTCACGCTTAGATCTATATTGTTGACCGCGGCAAGCTGATCGATATCTAAAGATACAGTAAATGAACGGACGGCGGTGAAAAGGTCGGTTTCGATAAAAGAAATTGTTAGAGCAATCAGAGTCTCTTCTTTCTTATCGTAACGTATGATGCGTGATAGGGTGTTGGACTAATTGTATACGTCTCTTGCTGTGATAGATCCACAACCGTACCCAATATCGAGTAATATATTGGATTTTACAACAGTTACGATATGTTGCATACTCCACCGAAAGAGAGTCTCAGAAAAAAACATACCAAGGGTATACATCATTGTCTTTGGCGTGCAGGAATCGACAGTAGAATCGTTTTTGAAGATGCATGAGCTATAGAATCCGTATCGTATAGATTGATCTGTCTTAGTCTGGCTCCCTTGGGCAATGTAGACTTTTTGTAAGATCGGCGAATTGTCCACCGTGATGCCCAGGTTTGCAAAGATCAATAGGACCAGGGCGAACATTGAGAAGAATAACGCAATGAAATGCGACCGTTTATGCGCCATGACGAGACTGTTGCTGCTAAGATTCTGATGCTGAAGTGATTATAATGAAAGGAATGGTGGCCGTAACAAAATCTATATGTTGGGGCTGGAGATTTGCAGAGGATGGTGAAGAGAGGAAGGGTGGAAAAGGATAGAGAAGGAGAATATCTGGGCTGTACACAAACAGAAAAGGTAGAAAAAGTTAAGTGAGAGGAGGAGTGGGATCAAAATTGCAAATTAACGTCTGTGTGACATTTGCGCAACCTTCTTTTAGATGATCGTCTTTACAACAATACCGCCTTGGCTCTTTTAGACTCACGATCTAACTGTTTTCTGCATTGTGGAAAACAGGAACACCGCGCTTTTGCTCCCTATATTTATACTAGACGATGATGATGCGTATGCAAAAATAAGCTTAGTGTGAGTTTCATACACACTGACAAAATGGAAAGGGTAAATGCCTTTCTGCTTTTACTTTGCATCGGTGTACACAAGTATATCTATCTGAAGAGCGAGCCGAGCGGAAACATTAACGCGCAATAAAAAGTCGATTTATGACGATGCATCAAAAACTGAGATCGCCGGCGCGCACAGTATCTTATTTGTACAGCCAATAAACAGGGTAAAAGAACATCATTACTTCCAGCTGTTACACTCATCAAACGGGTGTGCAATATCCGTTCGTTGGGATGCATTATCATGAAGGAAACGATCATTCCTACTAATGCGTAGCCAGCTGGCACAGTGCGTCATCATACACTACTCCGTTTATAAATGTCGGGTAAGGCATGTCTTGTCATACAAGCAAATCAGAAGGTGTTGTTCTTGCTTCCATCTAAAGCTTGAACTATACCAGTTCACCATACAAAATGTTCTCCGCTTTCCATAATAGCAGTTTGCTATACATACTAATCCTATGCTTTTCTCTTCTTCATTATGCAATATGTACAAGTTTGTGTATGTGTAAATCTGAATTACAGCTCTCCTTCTTCAGCACTTCCCTCTGCCTCCTGAGATCGATCCAGCGTTTCCAGTTGCTTAGTCAATTTGGCAATCTTATTTGCGTCAACGGATTGTTTGACCTTCGCACGAGAGTTCTCCATCTCCAGGTTTCGCTTCTCCTCGGTACACTTCTTCAGTTCTTCTGTTGATATTGACAAGTCCTCAGTTGTCTTTTGTAAATCCTTTCGCAGTTTTTCAAGTTCCTCTTGTGATTTTTTGCTTTCTTCTGCAAGTGTGGCCTATAACATAACCAAAGGGATGCTATTAGTTCATCCATCCAGCGCACGTCTAATTATATAGATAACAGTCTCTCTTTTATAAAAATAAACAAATTACCTTGTCAGAAATTATGGATCGAGTCTTGGCGAGAAGATCCTTGTGTTTTCTCTGCAGGAATTATATTGGTTGGTCAATGCAATCTTTGTATAAAATTAATGGAATCAGGCGGTTCTCTGCTGATACTGATTACTTACTTGGAGTGCTTCATGAGCATTGGCCTTTTGTCGCAGTTGACTTTCTTTTTCTTCGACTAGTTTTTGTAGTTCCTTTTCACGGTTAGATGAATCATGCTGGTGGATAAAACACCAAAGTTAGTATTATAAATATACACACGGGACAGAAAGCTTATTGATATATCATACACGTACGGATGCAGTTTGACCTTTCAGCTTGTTTTCCGCTTCGGTCCATCGTCGCTTAAGAGTTGCAGCGATATTTTGCATTTTGGTAACCTATCGTAGATAGATACAAATATATTAGTAGAAACGAAATAAAAAGAAGTCTCATTACCAAAAAGACCTACATTTTGTTTCGTAGTTTCCAATTCATGATTGAGGCTCTTTAATTTCTGATCAAGCTCGGCTTTAGTTGCGTCAGATGCCTGCACCTGCTTTTTAAGAGCTTCACATTCGTCTTTGAAACGCTGGTGTTCAGTAGGATCGATGCGCTAAATAAGAGATTGATAATTAATCAAGTAGTAAGCATTATTAGGTCGGCTGTTATGGTAAATTTTACTTTCGCATGCTTGCTTTGTACCAGTCTCTAGTGACACTTACGTTGCTCTTTGATAACACTTGATTTGTCCATGTGCTCCATTGCTTCCGTGTTTCTTCTACCACCTTCATTGTATCTTCATAATTCTTGGCCTTGGATTCAAGCTCTCGAACTCGTGCTACGTGAAGGTGGATCAGTGTTTTGAATGAAATCGAGGAAGACGAGTAGCAACAGCCAACTATCTCTTCAAAAACAATATGTGTAATGAATTGATTACCTTGCAGAGGTCCTACTGCTGTGTCCTTTTGTGCCAAGTCCTCACGAAGTGTTGCCACCACCTTTTCAAATTCTGCAACCTTTTGTTGCAAACGCTCATTGCTTTCTTTGTAGGTCGCTGCTTGGTGTTTAGCATCCGTACTAGAACGCGAGTATTCTTCTCCCATGCGCAGATTCTCGGAGCGTATTTTCTCGAGCTCTGTTCTCGTGGATTCCAGCTGCTTGCGCACAAGTTCCAAATGCAGCATTGCCCGATCACTTTCTTCACGAGCTTCGTTAAACTGACTATGCAGGATATCGTTCTCGTGTCGAAGAGAAGCGTTCACCTCGCGCAACGTCACCACAGTACGATCAGATAGATCCGCAATGAGTTTGGCATGTTCGGCTGGTGATAAGGTTGATTTTTGTGTCTCGGCAACTGTGTTAAGAAGTTCACCATGTGTCTTGGACAGACTGGCAAGTTGCGTTCGTACTTCCTCAAGCCTAGCAAAACGAAATAAATAGCAAAAGAGGAAAGATGCTTATGTCAGACAGTCCAATCTTTCAAGATTATGTATTCAATAGCACACTTACTGAGCACGCAATGCGTTTTCTTCCGTTTGAGACTCCTCCTTTGCCGTAATTGCTGTAAGTTGTGCAGCCTTGAGTTCTGTCGTTATGCTATACAGCTCAGCTTCACTCTTGGCCAACTTGGCAGCAAGAGCCGATCGTTCGGAGCGTAACTCCTGGATGGTGCAGGTAGTCTGCGTGCGTGTCTCGTTCGCGGAATACAGTTTGGTTTCCATCTCGCTGATGCGCTGTGTGTTCGCAGACAACTTGTCGTGGAGCTGCTCGATCTCTTGCTCCCGTGTCTTTTGTTCCTCTTCAAGCTGCTGCGTACGGTTCTTTTCACTTTGGAGTTGCTCTTCCAAATCCGATTTTTCTTTCTTGAGGGTATCATTCTCCTCGACGGCAGTTTCCATCTCCTTAATGCGAACGTTGCGTTCTTGCAAAGCTGTATGCACCTTTGTCAACTTGCCACGGGCCTCATTGACATAATCATCATGCTCTTGTTGTAGTGCTGTTGCTTGCTGGTTGATGACATCCAGGCGTCCCTTGTAGAGCGTCACTTGCTTGTTGAGTTCATTGATCTCGTCGTGCGCTGCGGATAGCTTCATACGGAAATTCTCGGGATCACCATCGCCCATGGTCATATTTGCTTCCCTAAGCTCACGTTCCGTGGCTGTCAGTTTGTTTTCGAGTACAAGACGCTGCTCATTGGCTGTTGACACGTCCTTCTCAAGTTGTATGCGCTCGGCTCGTACGTGGTTAAGTTCTTTTTTGAGATCAGCAACCATAGGCTTCCAGTGTTCTTGCTCGCGCTGCGTGTAGTCTTGTAGCTCCTTTTGTGTGGTATCGACCTTGTCGCGCAACAGTCGCAGCTCCTTTTCTCTCACTTTGAGCCGGCTGCTGAGGATCTCGTTGATCTTCTCGCTGCTGCTGGCTTCACCACCGATACCGGCCGCAGTTACTTCTTGTAGCATTGCATTGACTTGCTGATGATCCTGTTCAAGCTTCTTATTCACTTCAATCAACTGTTGCACTTTTTCGTTGCTGAATTGGAGCTCATTCTGGATCATTTGTTGTTCTCGCTGTAAGGTTTCAGCAGTATTTTGAACATTGATAAGCTCTGTGCGCTTTTGTTCAAGCATAGCATCGCGTGCCTCCAAGCGTTCCACAAGTTCCTTGTTCGTAGCGCCTAGCTCTTCCTCACGGTTCGAATGTAACTTGAGAGCTTGAACAAGTCGTGCATGTTCTGTTTTGACGTGCGACAGCTCGGTCTCGATTTTCTTCCGCTCCTCGTTTGCATTTGCTGCGTTGGTGACTGCACTTTCAAATTCACATCGAAGGCGTGCCAAGTCCTGTTGCATCCCTTGGTAGAATTCGTCCTTGCTCGATTCGAGTTGCTCAATACGTTGCTGATACTGTTTAACCTTTTGTAGTAGTTCTGTGTTGATAAACGGTGATGTACGCTTGATGTTCTCCTGTAGTGCCTTTTCGCTTAAGCGTATTTTTTCTGTAGCCTCAGAGAGACTATTAAAAGACGAGGTTGTGTTAGTAAATGACTTCATCCGTTTTGATACTGTTTCAGCGAAACATACAGCGAAAAGATAACGCTCAAGGTTACCTTGTTCGTAAAGAGCTGGATGTACTTTGAAGATCACTGATTTCCGCCTCAGCAGTACTGATCTTTTCACTGTAATTGCGTTGCATATCTTGCAATTGCTTGTTAGATCTGTTGATTTGGTCCGTCTTGTTTCGGATATGCTGGTTGCTCAGTTCAAGTTCACATTGTAAGCTTTGGTTTTTCTTGATGAGTTCTCCGACATTCTTGAAGACAAGTTGTTCATGGGGTGCATTCGGCGAGATATCGGAAAGCGAGTCGAGATCTACGGATTGATCCACAAAAGGAGCAAGAATCTCGCTGCTCTGGACTTCGCGTAATAAGTACTGCAGCTGGTATGTCGTGTTTCCGAGCTGTGTGCTAAGCTTGTCGTTCTCTGCCCGCAGATTTGCAGCCTCTTCTTTCAGTTGCGTAAACTATACGAAGAAATTACCGGTATTGATGTAAATACAAAGGTTGCAAATACGCTGTATGCACAAACACACGCGCGTAGATGAATGTATGAGCTACCTCTTGGCCGGTGGGTATTTCGCGGGACAAAGCATCGACATTGGAGCGCAGCTCCTGATTTTCTTGTGCGAGTTGACTGTATTGTGTATCCTTCGCTGTCCAATCTGCCCGCAATCTGGTACACAGGGCTTCATAGCTATCCCGTTGAGCAATCAAATCTTTTTGATCCTTGTTGTATTGGCTAATGTCAATGCTACTGCTGTCGGGGCCACTAAATTCCAGTGCATCCAGTCGACTTTGCAGTTGATCGTTTTCTGTCTGTAATCGCTGCTCGACCTCTAGGTGCGCCTCCCGATTTGCTTCGATGGTAGACCGCATTCGTTCATGCTCGGCCTTGGATTCGCTCAGTCTTTGTTCGTATATATCGACCAAGAGCCGATGATCGTTCCTGATGTGCGCATGGTTCTCTGTGAGTGCTGCATATTTCTGTGTAAGTGACTCTACTTGAGCAGCTGCTGATTCCGATTTGTTTTGAGACTGAAGCAGCTCGAGTCGCAGTTCCTGATTAGCGCTTTGCAATGCAACATGAGCGCGTTCCAGTTCGAAGCGTTCCGCTTCATACGCTCGCGTTTCATCTCTCTAATAAATGCGAGAAAATAGCCTAGGTTACTATCCACTTTTTCCTTCCTATCGTGCCTATTTACCCTTGAAGTCCAGACATCGCGAAGGCTTTTTTGGGTTTCTCTTAATTCCTGTTGGGCTTTGGTTTTTTCAGAAACGAGGGTATCGACCCGCCTCTCAAGATAGTCCAGTCGCGACTGCATAAAAGGTACAGGCTCTTGGTGTCAGCATATCTCTCATGACACACTAAAACACTAGATATAACTGCTATGCAGAAAGACAAACTTCAAAGACAAACCCGATTCTTTTGATTCGTGGCATCAACATCGTTTTTTTCAAACTTGAGCGTGGTGTATTGCTTTTTCAACTCGCTGTTTTTTTGAACAAGCTCTTTATTGCTTTCTAAATAACAAAGAAATACGTATACATTAGCGATTCCGCGACCCTTATACGCCCTACATATAAAGCTTCCACTACCATTCAGAACACGTTAACCTTTTTTACCTTTAACCAAAGTAAAACTCGAAGTTAAATTTGCAAGTAATTCGCTCAGCTTGCGTTCGTTTGAGCTGCTTTTGTCATGTTGAAGCGTAACGTTTTGTTTTTGCACTTCAAGTTCGGATGCTCGCGCCTGAGCAGCTTGTAATTCGAATCGGATCCGCTGCAACTCATTGCCTGCAGAATGGATTTATAGAGAGAATAATTAATCACCTTGTTTTGTTTCGCCTGTTTCGAGCGCGTTGGCTAAAATAAAGAATTGCACACGTACGTAAAGTCTCTTGGTTGTGTTCAGAATTCTCGTGTAGCCGTTGTAAATCGTTGTACTTGACCGTCAACGCATCGTAGTTCAAGCCTGTAAATGTATACATAGTGTCAAAAACTCCTTAACTTGTTTTGAGGCAATTCTTATTTGATAATGATACCTTCGTCAAGCGCCAAAGCAGCGGTTAACGTGGACATGTGGAACGATCAAGAACGGGAGGAGAAAGAACTGGTCGGCGTATGTCAAATCACTGTGCTGCCTCAAAGAATAGCAGCACTTTTAACGTCAGCCAATCATAAAGCATGAAGAGTTCAATAGACAGTAAGATGGATATCGTAAATCATGCTTCTTTAATATCTTCTACTAGTTCCTCCATTTTCTCTTTCGCTTTTGTTTTTAACCCTATTGAGGAGGCGTCGTCTTGGGTTCTATTACTATTATTACTAGGATCGTTATTTTTATTACTGTTCGTCTTGCCTTCCTGCTCCTCCTGCTGTTGTTGCTGCTGTGTCTTTTTATCCCGTTCTTCCCACATTTTCGGCACCTTGACCTTGACAAACATTGGATACACCAATTTATCAATATAAACATTCCGTAGTTTGGTAGTGATCAAATCTGTCAGCTTTGGAAGGTCTTCGAGCTTTGTCCGTGAACCGATCAAGGAGCGTACATTAAAGTCGAGTACAAAGTCGGAATAGGAAGAAATGGCGATATAGCGTTCGAGCGGTCGTTCTGGTTTTGTGGTAGTTTCAGGCGGATTGATCAGTTCAATGGTCAGCTGCGTAGTAAAATGCAAATGATGAATTAGTTTGGCAACGCCACTAAGTATCACATGTGTTCCCCCTATTTAATTGTCTTACCGTTCCAGAGAACCGAACAACGGACAAGAGGAGCGACACGGGTAATGCGGCAAAAGCTTGCTTGGGCCAGTTGAGGATAAGTTGTGTTTCCATCCCCAGTGTGATTTGATCATTATACTCAAAATCGATTTCAGCTCTCTACACATGTGCACATCCTTTCAGTATTAGAAAGCGAATAATACAAGTACCGTTTCTATAGGATGATATACCATGGAACCAATGTCATCGGATGGTCGTATACGAGCGCTGCTGAAAATCGGAAATTCTTCACCCAACTTGAGTTCAGTGACATGAATAGGTCCCTGTATACCCACATTATTATTAAGTTCCTTTTTGTTGTCACGAATGTAAAAAGAAATTACCGTGGTAACCACACGGTTCGAAAAATTAAATTTCTTACGACGAAATTAGGCCGAACGCCACCATTTAACACTTCATCCACAGCTAATATCAGTCTGTTGTTAATAGTTGCGTCGTCTCGATATGCCATCAGAGCTTGTGCCAAAAGTACGTTAAGCCAGTCTGTGCTTTCTGGTGGGTGGTGAATGACATCGTAGTACGTTTTTGAGGTAATGTATGCTGCCGGTAATTGGCCTGCCGCGGCAGCATTCGCCCGAGAAGGTGGGGATGTCGATAACCGTGAAGGGATATATCTCTAAAACAATGTGTTGTGCAACCGGCATTGTTAATCATAGCTGCCCTAATGAAGTGTCATTTCTTATGCAGCTATGCGAGAGCATGTGACAACAGAATACCTTTTTGACGCGCTTGACATCTTCCATTAATAAATAGCGTAACGCCAGTACAATCACGACAATGACTGAGAGTTGACCAAGCATAAAGCCCTTCATGAAAGACAATGTGCTACTTCGCATGCATGTTTGTACTGATAATTCTTCTCGAAAGTAATCCAGCACTTCTGGCGCTGCCGTTATAGGCGTTGGCTGCATATCCCACTACTGTATGCTGACGGTCCTTATATGAAAATAACAATAAAAATCGTTGGAAGCTCCTCAGAAAAAAGAGCGGAGTAGTTAGAACCGAGCTTCCATATTTATTCATTTTTGATGCAAGTCAACAGTTTGGTGTATCCATTCAGGTGAAGTATTTGATTTATTGCTATTACATTGGTGAATTCTTTATACGAGCAACCAGACAAGTGCTCCAGTAAGGGTAAACAACGCTGCTGGGTTAAGTACATGATTAGTGACCAACGCATCAGAAGCTGCCGTGGATGTTCCGCTGGCACGTGTTGCACTAGCACTCTTAGAGTGTGCCAAAGATCCGCTGGCAGCTTTGGCAACCTGTGATGATGATCCAGCATTGGCACTGCTGGCACTAATTGAAGCACCACTGTTGCCATTTGATGTGTGGGTACCGGCTGGAGGGGGAGCTGTTGCTGCCCTGACCATAGTGTTCTCTTCTTCATCTTCTTCGCTTGAATGGGAACTTTGGGAAAGGGTATGCATCGAATGGACGTCTTTGTCTTCATCTGTGTCCTTTTCTTCCTCCGTTTGTTTGATATCTTTCTCCGTGTCATGCTGATGATTGTTCGATTTGCTGTCCCGCTCGTGAGCGCTCATTTTCTTGCTCTTGCTTTCATTATCGTCCTCATCGATGAATTTTTCGGGTACATCGTCTTTCAAATCTGAAGGTCTGCTCCAAAAACCGCCGACTTGCTGTTTGTTTCGACCTTCATGCTCATCGTCGTCCTCTTCTTCATCTTCTTCTCCTTCATGTTCTTCATTCATGAGTTGATTCCGGCCTTGAGGTTCTGGGAAATCACTTAATTCGTCCAGACTATCTTCATCATCATCTTCTTCTTCTTCTTCCAAGCTTTCGAATTCGTCTTGTTGAGGTCCGTGGCTCCCGCCGACATCGCTGTCGCCACTCTCAATAGCGATATAACTAGCTACTGAAACCTCTTCTGTATCTCTTTGGTTTTTTTCGTCCATGGCAGCAATACCAGGAGCTTGCGGGGCTTCATGTACCTCAGAAATATCCTGCTTAGCTTCGCCATCTGTACCTTAGTCGTAGAGCAGTTAGCATTTAGAGGAGATCCATGGATTTCTCAAGATACAAACTACTTACTAGTAACGGAAGCAGAGGAGGCACAAATCAAGGCACTGGCAAGGATAACAGTGGTTCCGAGAAGCTTCATTTTTCAGAAAAGTTGAGTGAAAAGGGGGAAAAGAAAAACAATGCAGCTCCTTTTAGTATTACATATGTTCTTCACTGGTACATTAGATCGGAAAATATACATAGCTACGATTAACGTGTACATTCTTTATGTGGTGCTACCATTGATTACAATAATTGTAATCGGACCTTGACATATAGCTCTACCAGAGAATCAGATCAGAATGGGTATGCGCTACATAGTGTTTCACACTGTACCGACAATATGACAGCCGCATATAAATGTCAAATACACCGTTCACTCTATTGTGTAATATGCTTCTGTCTTGACAGAATAATAATAATCGTTATCATTGCCTTTGGAAAAAGAAGATAGCTTCGACGAACAGGCCGCACTAATTAAAAGCATTGTTATCAATAGCACGCTTGCAGCAGTGTTGTCTGCAGCATACATTGTATGATTGGCTCGTTTAAATTTGGACTACTCTTAAGTACGTCTGCTATTCAGTAGCACATTTAAAATTTAATTATCGCCGCATAAAGGCGATGAAAACCGCAGCGTCTGTTTGCAATCGACAAAACATCTGGTATCCTTCATTTCTAGAAAGTTCCTCTATCACAGATAACTAGTGTATAGCCATCTTTAACTGCATTACGCCAACTATCAAGCCAGAAATGTTTCGATTTATCAACAATTCGATGTTGCTCACCTACATACACAGTGACAGAAGAAACTTTCAGCGACAAGTACAGTAGGGTATATGAATTATATGATAAATTGGGATTTCCCTTGTTGGCTGGTAAACAGCCTCTTTACGCGAATGCTTTTATTATATATCACTACTGTAATTGACTAGGACGAAAATTGATGGCAAACTAACATTAGTCGAGGCTTGATCATAAAATCAGATTTTATCACCCATATATGTATAATGTGATGGCTTTTTAAATCTCCTTCATTGTACATGTACAGTACGTGTCACGTTTTGTATCATTGAGGACTAACGATGAAGATGTAGGATCAATTTAGCATTTTGTGGCCTCATAACTATTTATCAGGTTTTAAGCGATCTAGTACATATGGAGCAAGATAGCATAAAAAAGGCGTTATTATCAAACTACGATACGGCCTCGCGTTTTCTTTCGTGCTTTTTCTTTACTACCAAAATTTCTTTGTTACGAAACAAAGATATTTGAGGTCTACAGGACTAATCAACCTTAAAAAACATTAGCAGGTAGAAGTATGCTGATCAAACTCCTCCATGTATGATTTCGTTTGTTAAAGTTTCCGTTGATTTCTGTATTACTTTATGTGATCTTTTAGAGGAATTTGATTCTATATCTAATAAAGTTGTTTCAAACACTGTGCGAGCTTGCACAACAGATATAAATCATTTCTTTCAGCAGTCGAACGATTTGATATGAAAACCTCTACGAAACTCGAATTACTGCAGCATTAGTTTCCGAGAACCACATTGGATCGCTATACGATCATCTTGACCACCATTTTAATGCCGACGAGTTAGACGTCAGCAGCAATAACTGTTAACACTTCGTGCGGGCCCTGAAGTGCTTGAGCCATCATTACTTGATCAAACGCAAGTCGACTCTTGCAAAAAAAACATTTCAACTACGCCAACAAATTTTACCTATTGCTATGTCCCTCTTGTATCAAGCTCTCCTCCTTCCCCTGCTAATAAGCCGGTCAATGGTCGAGAGCCAACTGCAATTCCAAGAGTACAGCCGCGATTACGACCAGGATATGCGGAAATATTTGTTATGACGACCAATACCGGACTCATGCTCGTTGTTGGATGATGGTATTCAAACGCTACAGCGCCGGTAGTAAAGCCATTTCTTGCACTAGCTGTAGTCCCAGCCTCGTTGCTCTCCTTTTAAAATTCACATACAACATAGGTGTTCGAATAGTCAGTGCCTTGTATGAGCAAGTCATTAGCAATTTCTTTACCTGTACCATGCATACATCTGTGATACGGTCATCAAATTTTAAAAATGAACATTAAAAATTGCTTGAAAAACTTACATGCTTAACTGACATGACGAAGTTAACAAGCTTATGCTCCCTTGTTGATCCGTATATGTAGGTAATAGAACAGGGTAGACAAAGTTTAAATACTGGCATTAAGACGAGTACCCTGTTGATTTAGGTCGTTTATAGACACTACTGTAGTACTGTGCACTAAATATCTATATTGCGACTATTCTTTGTGCTCCTCATCAGGCATACATTATCCTGAAGTAATGTGGCATACACTTCAGCTGTTAACATAAGAAGCATAGTATATTTATATTTAAACTTTGTAAGATATATAGCGCTGTTGATTGAGAAGAAAGTATCCGGTTGCTTACATGCCGCCACCGCCGCCACCATCGCCACCGCCACCGCCGCCACCACCTCCTCCTCCTCCTCCTCCTCCTCCTCCTCCATCACCTCCTCCGCCACTTGATCCGCCTCCGCCTCCACTGTCGAACCCTACGCAATTAAATTTGAAGGACAAAAAGCATATATTAGCAATATGAACGTGTTCGTAATATTTGGTTCTTAAAAGAGCCTACCTGCCGCGGAGAATCCACCACTAAAACCGCCATCGCCAGTACTGAAGCCACCACTTAATAAAGTGAGGTAATCTGTTCCAGAGGGGTCACCACCTGTCGTTGTACATGCATACCCACTGTATGCCTTACAATAGCGATAGGTTTCACAGGGATAAAACAATGCGCCTTTAAAATTGCCAAAAGGTGTTGTCTTGAATTTACAGTCGGCTTCAGAGTACCAATCGAGACCATCCGTTGTCCAACCCCATGCTCGATGCTTATTCGAATATTTGCGATGCATGGCACCGAATGTGCTGTGCTGCGGAATCCACCATTCGTAGTATATATGTTTTTTTCCGTTTTTGCCGTTAAGATAATCTAAGAACCCATATCTCGTACTCAAATCATTCTTGCCGATGAAGTACTCTGGGTTCTTTGGGTGAGCCACCACAATACTGCTGCCACTTGGTATACGACCAAACCATCGTTTACTCTTATATGAAGTCGCTCTGTTCGGGATCATCTTCGGTGGGTACGTTTTAGTTTCTATGCGTACATATATAAGATAAAGTTAGTAATGCAGCATGACCGCTACGCCTATATTGTCGCTGCGTTACAACTATTTTCTGTAGTTTCGTATCAACGACAATGCTAAAAGCCTTACCATGTCTAGTTCAAGATCAATGTGATGATGGTGAGCAATGTGGTCGATGAAGTTGTTAAATTAATATTGACGTTAAGATATTCTTTGCTGTCGGTAGGTCGGAACAAGTCGCTTTAGAAAGTGATATTTACCGAAAACGTATATTTTCTGTGTGAACGACGTGATCCAAAATCATTCTAAAAGATAGAAGACAACAAGAACGAATGAGAACCGGAAATATTAATGATTCGAGCGTGGCTTTACTCCATCTTCAAGTATCCCTATTGTTACCATTATACTTTTGCTACACTACATACCCTATGTAACCGTGTCCAGTATGTGATACGTCCTTTAATATTTGATTACGAGTTTCATTTACAGTATCAGCAGAAACGAGACGTTCCGATGATGCTGTTGCATAGAGGAAACCCCGATTGCTGCCTTTCATAGCAGTCTGTGGCAGGGTAGCATAGCGAAGAACATAGCCACTATGGATAGGAATGTTGTGTTGTAACCCGTCATCGCTATTGTGAAAACTAAAGTCTTCAAGCCTAATAATATAGTAACATGATGAGTGTATGATGCAACCTAGCTAGCACCAATTTCCGTGTATAAAAATGAATATCACTACAAGTTGCTTTGATACTGTACGTTTTAAAAGATATCCTTTTTTTCACGTTTGTGTTGATAAGGGTATCTTTCAGCTGCTTATATACTCGAGGATTCAGCGCAGCTTCATTTCTGGGTTTGGAAAATGTCTGTCGCGCAAGTCCTTTCATCATGGTCACGTCTAAGTTCCGCTGTATAAATGATGATGGAGGAGGGAAATTTGTCCAAGACTCTTCCGTTGCAGTAAGATGCTCTTTCACTTTGGAAGGGTCTAGAGTATTATCATGATTTATGACTCGGCCTAACTCATTGTTCATAAAACTGAAATAGCGCCAAGGATGCATCATGTGTACATGCCAGACAAAATCTGCGTTGCAATGAACAAATTATATTCCTATTAGTGTTCATCATTATAAGAGTGCTTCAATTTATAGTCAATGCTTTTTAATGATTATACGTTACCGACAGCCCACGTAGGAAGAGGTACTTTGCCATTCTTTTGCTTCTTCATGAGCAGCAAAAAGTCGTGATAATCGTTTATCGCACTAGGGATTTCAACGCGTGCATGATCCTTCCATTTTGGCGATATTTTTGTAACCATTGTTGATATAAACTCTCGCTGCTGTAGCATGGCTTGGATCAGATCGGTTGAAAATGGTGTTGGATTATTTGTGTAGGTGCTTCGTAGAGTAGCTACAACATCTGAATTTACATGTTTAACGGTACAGTCAAGAAAATTCATCAATAGATAATCAATTCTCCCTTTTACACTCTATTAATACAGTAATTTACCTTTTGCAACACGTAAGTCGTAACCATAAGTTTCTTCGAATCCAGAAAAGGAAGCGTTCCTGGAATCGTTTGCTTTGTCAAGGTAGTATATTTGCTGTTGTCGCTGCTGCTCTTCGTTGATAGTATCTAAAATTCTGTCGACGCTCTTGCATTTTTCTGGATCTGTCTTCCTTAGAGACTCGACACGATTCTCTAAATTTCTGAGAACCGTGGTTTCGGCAAGAGGAATATTTCTTGTTTTGCCATTGTTGTCCAATTGCCGACCCCTTATTAATAAATAGCTGACGGTGAGTATGTATAGTAGAGACAGATTATTAATTACTTACTTTATGTTTTTATCATATTGCAATCCTAGCAATAGTTCATTAACTGCAAGCGTGTCAACAGTGGTATCCTTTCCACAATCGAGCCTTGCGCATTTCAAGGCGACATTCGGATCTGTTCGAAAGTCCATGTAGCTCTCCCTGTAGAGTAGAAAATGATAGCAAAAAGAGGAGAAGTAGTAACGGCGTGTTACATAGTCATTAAAACAGCTGTTGTAAGCAAATATAATGAAGGCTCTATATAATTGTATTACTTTACCAGTTTTGGATATAAATTCTGTCATTGCAAAAACCACAGTGAATATACAGTGCACTTCTCCTGTGAACTTGTTCCTCGAAGGTTTCCGTAAGATTATCAATTCTTACAATTTCTGTTTTTGGGTTATGGTCAATGAACGTTCTCCGTTCCAGATGGGCTTTGGTGAGATACCAAGGATATACGAAAAACTTGGCAGTTGAGTACCAGCGAGCACTGTGACGTTTGCCTGTTCTCTGATCGTGCTAAATTCTCATAATGAAAACAGTTATTATTCGCTCATCTCATTATCTTCATAATCTCCATCTAATTATTACCGTATCACAATTGCGTCTTAAAAGTCAGCAGGACTAAATTATAGAAATCGTTACAAGATACATACCATTGCTTTTAAAGGAAAATACTGCTTCCAGGATAGATTGGAAAGGAAAATGACGGGTTTGTCATTCTTCCTTCGATGGATACCTTCCTTTTTGCAGCAAATATCTTCCATATATCGATATGGAGAAAGCAAATGCGCATGCCACGCATAAGCGATATCTTTATTTTTCAAGTAAACGAGTAATTGTAAATAATTAATGCTCTATTCTTTTTGACTCTCCTTCTTCGTACTTACCCAAAGGCACGGGTTGTTCCTGATCCCATTTTTGCAAAGTATTGTTTCCACAATTACGGACAAATTCTAGGTATCGTCTTTCTGCCGCTACAATGTAGAGCTTGAAAAGCTCAGCTCCCATCGACTGCTCTACTTCATAAAAGCTCTCAAGGAGGGACATGTAATAGAAACAGTTCTCCACGGATACGACTCCGTCCAGGAAAGGGCTGCGGTTTTTTCGATAGATGGGATCGCCCTCGAACTTTCGATATTTGACGGTGTTTACCATTTTTTTCTGATGATGATGAAGTAAAAGAGAAAAAAGAGCAGGAAAAAGATGGAAGAGCTCGAGTGTGCTATTTAAAGCGTTGGGTGTAAATTATGCAGCCACAAGTAGCTTTTAAAGCTGAGTAGCAAAAGAAAGATAGTGATCTCTGTGGAATCTTTGGAAAGTCGATTCGGTTATCAGCATGCGGCTCAGCCTACCACTTGTCTGGCTTATTTGGGGTTTTTCCTAATGGATGGCGCTTGCTTCTTTTAGAATTAGCATTGGGGATCGAATTCTCACCTTGGCTGATGAAGGTGCTTTTACTTGGCGCCAGGCATTTTTATTTATTTCGGTGCGTGTGGGTTTGATGTATGGCGCTTTGAACATTTTCACTTTGGCGTGATCATCATATTTATGCGAGGTTTTCCTTTTTGGGAGGATTTATCACCCTAGGTTCTCCTCACGACTTGCTGCAACTTTTATTCAATCAAATATCCAGTTTGATGCTGGCATTCACACTTTGGTTTGACAATACAGCAATAACACCAGAGGCAAATTCACCAATGCGCTCACCATTTGCTTTGGTGGCATCGATTCTAATTACTGTTGTTCCATTTGTCACGCTCGATACTGGACTTTGCTGTGTCACAGTTTGAGTTTGAGTTAGAATTTGACCCGGGCTGTATCAGCCATTGCAAAGGCCTATGCATCCGAAATGTTGCCCTACATTTCTTCTTCGTCTGTTTATGAATCACTTAAATTGAGTTGTCATGCATTTACGAAAGAAGGTTGTTTGTTTATTGCGAAAGTAGACTGACTGTAAGATTCTTGGGTGTTCATAGTGAAAACGCGTACGATAAACCAGTTATCCCACTTACTCCGCGCGTGTGGCATTTATCACGCTGGGGGCACTCGTGACATACGTCACTCGTGCGGCGTGATAAATGCCATATCACGGCGGAGCCGTGCTATAACTAACATATTTCAACCTTGGCATCCCATAATTTTCGCAGTGGTTCAAGTACCATATCAACACAGTGTGAATGACTTATCTGCACGATAAAGGACATGCATTATAATATAATGATTATGGCATGGATGCCAAAAGATGCTTGTTGAAGGATATGCTTACCATTAAAGGGTTGTACATTAAACATCGTGCATAAATAATTGCCTTCATGTTGCTTCGAATAAATGCTATCCACGAAAATGCTTAGCACGTATACGACTCAATTGCGTCTATCGTTAGCTCCGAACAGCTGAATACTATTGAGCGCTTCATATAGACAGTCAGTTCAATTATCTTTACTGACATGGTTTGGGATACGCGACCTATCAAGCAACATACTTGGCCCCGCCCTGAGAAATGAGACCGGATTTACAATATAATCGCGTTTCCACCCAATTTTTGACACGGAATACCACGTATCTACTGGTGATGTTGAATGTTTTCGTCCTTTAAAATGGCATCACAGGCAACAGTAGAAGCTCGAACCCGTTGTTGTTGTTGGGTGATTGACTGGCTTCTTGTATAAAGGAGCAGAAAGTTAGCGACTCAGGCCCTACAATCTCTCATCTCATGAACATGTTGCTTGTGGACAAATAGAGCGCTGCTTTTAACAGATAGCTAAGCATGGATGAAAGTAAAAAAAGCGGGGTGGAAAAAGAAAAGAAATAAGCGTGTGCATGATATTTGCAGGCCGTGAACCTCTTCCCCATACACTTGCTTTTGACAATGGATATGGATTACGAGGTTGGCGAACCAAGCGCCAAACGAATGCGCGTCGAGCATAAAGAACCAGATAGTCGACCATTCAGCTCCTTCCTCTCCAGTTCTTCTTTTCGAAGATCGAAAAAGCATCCCGTATTATCCGACAAAAAACTCATAGTTTACAATCTCAAAGGTTACAAATCCGATCAACAACAAACATGAGAAGGATTTTTCTCGTTTAACGATCTTTCTTTCTTTCATGCTACGAGAATAACTGAGCAGAATGTTCTTCATATTTTAGTGGAACGACCGCCACTTCCTGACCAATTCGAGGAAGATGCCTGGACTAAGCTGAAGCAAGCCATTCATGCGATCCAGAGTCATACAAAACCTACGGAAAGTCTTGAAGTGCTTTATCAGGTACATACATGCTCATATGGTTTCTTTTGCTCGTGCAGCTCTTTCTTAGCTACTGCTTCATATATGCATTTTTTATCTTTTGCCCAGCTATGTGAGAACCTATGTCAGTACAACCTTGGGGAAAAGCTATGCGATCAGTTTTATGCAGAGTGTAGCAGTTATGTCAAACAAGAGTTCGCAAAACTAGAAAAGTAAGTTCTTTTCCTCGCTTACGGGTTCACCAGGATAATAAGTGTATGACGCTCTTATACTGATCAAATCGGTGGAATGTATATTCAGCGATACTACCGAGGATGGAAGGACTTACTTAAAGTCTGTAGATGTATGGTGGAGAACTTACTGCGATCAATTGGTATGGCGTTATCTCATACATAACAGTGCTGCTGTAATAATGGATATATTTGACTCTTTGATCTAACTTTCACCTTTACAGTCGCAAATTCGTGCTATATTCCTGTACTTGGATCGTACCACTGCTGCCTCTTTATATGGCTCACTATGGTAATATACTTTACTTTTATCCTTTGCTTTGCGGCATTATATAACTTACGCGTTAAGTGACCCGTGGAGTCCTCATCGTTGTTCTACGTCAATAGGAACTTGGGTATGATAATGTTTGGAGAAGTATATCAGGATTGTCAGAAAGTACGACAGCGAGTGATTGAGAACGCTCTTGATCTTGTCCGATGCGAAAGGTATGCCCAAAAATTAATAGCAAGAGTAGTTGCGGATGGATGAACACGATCACCATATAAGAAAAAGGAAAAGAAGCTGATACTGCTAGTTTTTATCTTGTAATCAGAGATGGCAAGGATGCAGACTCACCATTGCTGCAATCGGTGCTACACATGTTAATCGATCTCAAACGGTACCACAGAGATTTCGAGCCTCGCCTGCTGGAAGAGTCCAAAAATTACTATGACGCAGAAGGCAATCGACTTGTGCAGGAAATGGATATGTCCATGTACTTGGAACACGTTGCCTATCGTATCCATCAAGAAGTTCAGCATGTCAATACCAAGAAGCTGTTTGATAAATCCACCAAAGTCCCACTTAATTCGATCGTTGAACATGAACTTTTGACGAAACGTAGTAAATGTATTTTGGACAAATGTAAGTGATGCTCTCTATTACTGTTGGGTACTCCTAAACGTTCAATATTATGGGAATTTCCCTCATGAATTCTTTTCTTTAGGCTTCACTTCATTCATGCAAAATAACAGTGAGGAAGATTTGTCATTGCTGTATCGACTACTACGGAAAGTAAACTCCTTAGATACCTGCGTCAAGTTTTTTGGTGACTACGTTAAAGTAATGTTAATAAATTGGTTTTCATATCTAATTTTGCACAAGACAAACCATTATAGCGGACTAACGATAGTATACTTGGAATACCAAACATGGATGAAAACAGAAAGAAGGTGTATCAATGCTTAAGAAGCGAGGGGTTTCTGATAAGGAGGTGGTTCCTTTGATCTCGGCATTTAAACGCAAAACCGACATTATCATGCGTCACAGCTTTGAAGGTGATGAACGGTTCTTTGACGCTCGTAAAGAAGGATTCCGTTACTTTATCAATTTACGCGAACACCGTACTGCACGGTTGCTGTCAGCATACACAGATCACGTAATGCGAAACTCAGATAAGGTACGAATTTATGAATAGCGTGTGGATCAAGTATTGCTAGCATACATTGTATTCAAGTTTAATCCTGGATGGGTTTATCCGTTAGACGGAGGACAAGCTAGAGAAAGGCCTTGAACAAGCCATGGCAATTTTCAGGTACGTCTTTTTTTTGTAGAGGAGCCGTGACAGTGAGATACATTCTATAAAAATTCTGGTTACTAAACTTATTCTCTAAAATATACAGGCTTTTGCACGGTAAGACAGCAAATTACATCCAATAATAGTAATGGGCTTATGGATGCTAAACTATATGTAAAATCAAAAAGGCAAGGATTATTTCCAAGCGCTTTACCGACGAGATCTTTCCAAACGGTTGCTCCTTGAAGTCAAGAGTCGCAATGCAGAGAAAAGCATGTTAACAAAACTGCGAAAAGGTATATACAGAATAGTCTCTATCATGTGATAAGTCAGGCTTATATTAGGCATTTTAGAATGTGGGTTGGCATACACTAGTAAACTTGAAGGCATGCTACGAGACATCAAATATTCGCATGATATGCTCAATGAATTTAAGGTAAAGAAAATGAAAGTGATATATAAGGGTGATCAGTACTAGCTATGATAATACCTGACCTTGGCTAACCAAAATTTATCTACGTGTATCTTGTCTAGGCAACTCCTGCATACAGTCAAACCGATATATCCTTTACTTTCAAAGTAAACATACTAACATATGGTTTCTGGCCATCATACACACCTATCCATATCAATTTGCCTGAAGAGGTAAGAAAATAAATGGAATCTTTTTTGTATTCTAATGTGTTTGCTGTTTTACGCATTCTATTAAACTTTTTTCACTTATCTAGTTTGATAAAATTCAAACAAAATACCAAGAGTTCTATAATGCAAAGTATTCAGGACGACGCCTTACATGGCAGAACTCACTCGGTGTATGCGACGTCACCGCCAATTATCCGCTGGTATGGGAATAGTCAACATGGCTGAGAGAGTATGACTACCAAGTTCTAAACAAGCAAATTTTAACAGGGTGTGCAAGAGCTGACACTGACGTTACTCCAAACAGTCGTGTTACTCATTTTTAATGATGATTCTAAAACGTCTTTGTCCTTCTCTGAAATTTTGCAAGCTACAAATCTTGGTATGAAGAAACTTATCTTTTCCCCTCTTGAGATATTGCCCCACCTAAAGTGCAGATATATACTGACAAATTGTTTTAATTAGATGAGCTGGAACTGCGACGAACATTAAAATCTCTGGCTTGTGGGGAACATAAGCTGATAGTCAAGTTCCCAGACGGAGAAAATGTGGATGATACGGATACGTTCACATATAATGAAGGATATGCAAGCTCATTACAGCGTGTACGGATGAACACTGATAAGCTCAAGGAAGTCATTGAAAGCAACACAACCATGCCACGAACAGTGCTAATATCGCGAGATCAACAGGTAGTTTATATCCATCGATTGGATCGGACAGGCTATCTGATCACGTTGCTTTCTTTGTTCATTTAGACGGATGCTGCCATTGTAAGAATTATGAAAGCAAAACGACAACTTAGTCACGGGGCGTTATTGGGAGAAGTAGTGCGACAAATCCAATTTCCAGCAACGGTAAGGATTCAAGGGGAGAAATTGAAAGGGCTTCTAGCACTTGAAAATAAAAATCTTCTACGTATACTGACAATGCGAATATAAATAGGCTCAGGATGTAAAGAAGCGAATCGAATCGCTAATCGAAAAGTAAGGATGAGGTTTTTTTTGTTGTGAAAAAACAACGGCAGCGGGCGCTTTGTAACTCACGCTACTGTTGGTCGCTGTTTCTAGAGATTATTTGATGCGAACAGAAGACGACGGATACCAATATCTTGAGTGATAGCAATAGTGGTTCTATGTTTTCTGCTGGAATAAAGCAATAACATATATTTCATCAGTAATATATACAGGTTGATGCGTGCAAAATTATCATGATAATTAGGTACCTTTCCAAGTGACAATACCTGCATTTATAAACGCTGTCAATGTAGGCAAAGGACCATACACAGGCTGAGTCAAACACTGCCATTGCGAAGCTATCGAGTTGTCAAACCCAGGGACTCCATGACCTCATTCGCACACATGGTCAACAGAAAACCCGACTTGGCTGTGAAAGTATACAATCAAGGTCTCTTGTCTGCACAAAAGGATCATTTTGAATATAGTCAATTGTCCGAGATAAAATAAAGGCTATCCGTCAAACCGAGACGTTCGTGAACATTATCGGTGACCTGCTACGCCAACCAGTGGACAAAGCCCTAGACTTTTTGGACCCGGGATGCAAACGGATCTGTTTAAAAGTGTCCAAGAAATGATGCGATTGAGTGTCACAGTGTCGTATTATGTTGTGAAAGTCAGTAGTAGTCAAACAAACGGGTGCCATTGATGGAGCAAGCTGTGTATGAAAGAACTCCTAGGGTCAAATTTATATCCATCGTTTGAAAATTACAAATCAATGCATAACGCCTTGAATGCTTGTAAGTATCCCGAATACATCAAGGAACTCACCTTAAAAAGGCACGCCTGCACTGTTTTCTTTGGCTTAACGGTTTGATGGAAGAAGAAGGAAAGAGTTAGAAAATGCGGAAATATGAGTATGAGGCAAAACATAGCTGTAACTAACTTGATCCAATGGCGATTGATTAACTGTCAATTGCTCTCTGGCAAATGCGACACACGCTGAAAACGCTTATAATCGATTTCGGATCACCGTTTACTACGACGACACTACGACGACAACTACCAAGGCAGTATCACTTTTACTTACTGTGCTTACTGTGTGTCCAGGCATCAAAAAGCTCTCGTACATGTCCAAGGATGACTTCATCTTAATGACAGTAGCAAAAGTATCAGCTATCGCAAGACGTGTCAAATCTAAAGCTTACCCATGGCAACGCCACCTCTTCTGCACTCTATTCGCACCTTTCACTTTGTCCAAATCTTCAGAAGCTGACTGTTCAAACGACAAGTGACAAGCCATTTGAAAGCAGTAACAGACCGATAACCGAAGTGTGCCCCAAGATAAAAATCCTCAGCCTCAACGAATCCATTTCGACGGGTTCATTGTCTTTTGCGTCAGACAACTCAGCTATTTATCAACAACATAAGACTATCGATAGCAGCGGTAGCAGCAACGGTATACAATATATGACCATTCTATTCGACGAGCATTTCGGTGATAAAGCGCCCTGCATCGAATCTTAAGCTCATTCACTACAGGAGCTTAACATCACATACGCGCAGAAGGGCAACCCTGCCCGAACCGCATTCCTCATCAGCTTATTATAAAAAACTTAAAACAGATTAGCTAAGCTTCATCTGACGTATGCACAGAAAAAGCATGCGTCCTTGTTTGCCACACCCGCACCAGTTTTAGTAGGCAAAGATCATCACACATAGTCCGCAGCTAAAAGATGTTGCGCTACGCAACACCTGTACCGCAAAATGCATACGCCGCTGCAGTCAATGATGAGTGTACTGACATTCCACGATAGACTACGTAGTCTCGACACATTGACACTCGACAAGGTTTGCTTCAGTAACGAAGTATCTAAGCACCACCCATCATTAGCCTCTATAATATATATATATATATATATATCATCTTTCCATGTACTTTAAAATTTGACCATCGAGCGATTTGACTTTATTCTGCTGATGCGTTTCTCTCGTTAGTCAGGTCTACGTCAATCCAATGCCTTGATATCATTGGTTGTCTGACAATGCTTAGATAAAGCACTTGATACAAGTTGCGTCTTCAACGTTGAGGGAGCAGAAACAACAACATCGACTTGACCAGATTAGGCTGCAAAACTTATCTGAAGCCTTGGCTGATGACACGCTCTCGTATTTTACCAAAGTGGATGGCCTCCAGACGATCTGTATCCAACAGTGTGCTAGCTTTAGCGCTAGGGTGTTAAAGAGCTTTCCAAGCACGCCAAAATTCTTCAGTTAAGCATACCAAGATACGACAGTGTCTCTCGGCTCTTCTTGTGGTCGATGATAGCGGTTTGGGAGGATACAAACATCCGGACTTACTAGAAGCGTCTCACCTGTAACCGTCAAAACTTTTATTCTGTTTCACCTTTATTTTTTCAGGCACTAAACCATATATGGTAATTTGTAACCCTCAAAAACACTGCTGAAATGTATAGATATATCATAACCATAGAAAAACAGCGTATACCCTAAAACTGAACAGCTAACCCTGTAAACCCACGCGCCGGTGGGGATTTATATCTCTTGGATTGTTTCTTAACAATCCTGGAAGCTTCATGAGTGGGAACCTTCGTCGACAGCGCCTGTCGTGGTATTGATGCGGGCATTTGGTGCATGCGTTGATTCCCTTTGGGCAGAGATTCTTCCATCTGCACCGTGCGTCCTTTTCCGGGTAGCCTTTTGCTTACGTCTTGGTGGTGGCATCTTATAAATGCAAGATAGAAAGAAAAGGTGTAGTAAACATATAGACGAGTATATATATAAAGATATATAACAAACAATTTTTTTTTAAGCTTAGCTGCTTTTCGGGGAAGTTAAAGAGATTAAAGCTGAGGTAAAAATATTGACGGTTATATGATAGGTGAAACGCACCATTTGTGGACTTAAAATAAAATCTATCTAGTTGCTGACAAGTGTAGTATAGACAAGCAAAAGAGTTCGTATAGTCATACTATTTCTATTTACTATCCGTTGTATGCTAACATCTCGAGGATCAATGATCAGTTTGGGTATGTGCGGGGGTTAAAATGACTCAAGTAACGATGGAAAGCTTTGGGGGTCTTTTATTCATCAAGAAAAATTAGAAATAAGAAGCGGAGAATAAATGCAACAGAAAGAAGGAAAGAAATGTATTAAAGCGTATGCATGAAAAGAAACAAAAGTTAGACAGCTGTTACAAAAGTAAAGAAACGAGTATGGAATAAGATACTTACCTCCCCCCAGTTTGTATCTCGTTGGAGTGGCCCTCCACTCACTCCATGACAGGCGCCAAGGCCTGCTCTTCTTCTCCTTCTTCTTCGTTTTCCTCCTCCTCTTCAAACTCGTCGTCGTGGGCATCGTCTAATACATTTTCTCCAGCGGGACGACGCATCGACGGTGGTCGCGATCTCAAATTACCAGTTTGGACGTATTGCATGAAGATACGACCAATGTTTCGGGCAGCATTATTATCACGGTCCCACAACTATATGTATAGATAATGTGAGCTTATGCGCAAGTCGCATGATGTATTATCAAGGCACTGATGTAATAAAACAATCAAATACTAGCTACTTACAGTAGGTACAGGACAATGATCGCAGAACTTCAATGGATACACGGATAATTGGGAACCAGCTGGAAATAAGTTTTGGTATATTATTACAACCATTAATATTAGCTATTGAAGCTCTCACACTGTTTTACAAACTTCTTGTATACACGATAGAAAGTAACAAAGCCTATATTACGTACCAGCGTTTTGACGGTCGTTGCAAGTCGATGTTGGCCAAAGGTTATGGCCGTCGTCATCCACACACCAGAGCTGCCGTCGGGCATTGTTCCTGTGTCCATCGTCTTCAGCACGTTCGCGGATCCGACGAATTCTCCGCTTTGTGTGCTCGCGACACACTTGAACACTTCCTGGACGGTCTCGAAATTGACGCGTGTTCGCATCGCAAGCACTGCACACAACACTGGTTCGATACTCATCGATGAGCATGACCATTACACGTCTTGCTAGAACCGCCCGGAACGTCTACAAAGTTATTTATAATATAGGCGTCAATTCATAGCAAGGACACTCGCTTCATTCGTCACTAATTAACGTTCCACCACGTCTGCCAGATAAATTTTCTTATTTACCTCAACAGGAATAGGTTCAAATCCTTTGAAGGAGGGCTTAAACCTTCCATCACCATATGCTACAATACAATTGTCTTCCACTCTGAATCCTGCATGTGCGCGGCGCGGTCGGCGAAACCGGCGGCGGTGAGCTTTGCGTTCGCGTTTGGAGGCCTTATTGAAGAAAGGGAGAGGTACCTTGAAGCAACCATATTAGCTTTTGCGACTTATCAAAGAAGTACTCATACACAGAAAGATACTTACATCTTCACGGTGATCCAACCCTATCAATCTGTTGGCAAGATTCTCCAATGCGCTTTTGCGCGCAGAAAAAAGAGTGAGTAGCGTTTCCCGGTGAAAGAAATGTTTGTTAAATTGTTCATGGATGCTATTTTTTTTTCAAAAAAAAAAAAAAAAACTAGAGTGAATACTCATGCCAAAATGATGATCACGGTGTTCCAGTATATATCGACATAGCTGAGTAACTTACTGTCTGTGCACGCCACTCAACATTCTGATGTAATTTCGGAAACCTTCCGAGGTAGGCGCTGAAGCCGGATGTCCTCTCAACATATCATACACCTCCTGTATCTCCGGGATATCTTGATGCGGATGAGCCTGTCGCTCGACATGAGCATAGCGTGCTCGATTTTTGTTTTCCTTTTGGAGCGCCCACTTGAACATGGACTGGAACCTGAAAAAGGGTTATGTACAAAATCAAACATGTTGGCATCAGATGTAAAAAGCGCGGACACACGCTCATACTTGCTAAAAGTAAATATACTGCACGCAGTACTCACTGGTATGTTCTGTTATTTAGCTGATATACGTGCTCTGCTCTCGCTTCAGGTGTTTCGAGCGGCTCAAGAGTGTCTACAGCAGTGACCAGAGACCGGATGCCTAAAGTAATATACAAAATATCTACTTAGATAACGTTACATATTTTGAGAATGATTAGATATATACCTGGGTCTATGAACACTGTTCGAAAATTATGAAGCCGCTCTGCATCAAGACCATCTGGCTCTTTGGAAAGATGATACATTCCTCTTCTCCACTGTGTGACGTCAATTTCACGAGGAAAGCGTTGAACTTGTTTGGAGCTAGAAGGCATATACTCTAACAATAGATTTATGAGATCTCGTCATGACCAAATACATAATTTTAATATTGCATGCTATGAGGGTACTACCAACCTCCACGCCGCGTTGTCACAGGCCTGCGAAAATGGAACACAATGGCGACACCATCCGTTTCGAATGTGTTATTGAAGAGTTTGAGCTCGCGGTCTTCTGGGGGCACAACACCTTGACCTGGGCACATCATATTTATAAATGTATATGAGATAGATGAGTTTAGATATAACTATCAAAAGATACCACTTTGTGACTATTCAAAATGTATACGGAATCTACCTTCGACTGCGTATCGGCAACGTCGCGGCTCTACGTGACCGATATTAAATAGCGACTCCCAGAAGCCTTCAAGCAGCTCAGGATCTTGCTGTCTGAAAACACGATATGACAAGCAACGTCCACGACCAGGAACGTTATTTGGTCTCTAGATTTATGCATCGATGGAAACAAGCCAGTAAATAAACAAATAACATCTTTTAATAACTGGAAACACAAAGAGAGTAAAAACGCATATCATTACCACAATATTATCCGGCACTTGTGCAGGATCTCGCTCGTCCACTTCGCGTACGATGTAATACATAGTTTCAAGGTCGACCGGCATGAATCCAATGCGGTGACTGGCAAGTGGTAGTGGAGTCCACTTGGGACAGAATTGGAAAGGCTGGGCTTCAAGTGACAGCCAGATATAAAAGGATAGCGAATTCACTAGCATTGCAGGGCCAGATATGGACGGTCGCTGTACTATGCGTGCGATATTCACGCCGGCATATGCTTGTTCGAATCGTGCAGTGTGTTGGCTAAAAAAGTTGAAATTAGGTACACCGTCTTAGTTATAACTGTGTGTTTATCTATGTGTTGTATCTATATAATCATCATAACAAATTAAAAAGAAATTATGTGTAATTTCTTACTTGAAATATTGAAGCACCTCAGTAAAGATTGCTGCTGGAATTCGTTCAATTAAACGCTGAGTCAAATGAGTTCTGTGCGTTGTGATCAAATTACAGATTTCTTTTGCTATAAGCAGATCACCATAAAAAATAGCGGTGAGATATTTTTCAACACTCCAGTATTACCAATTTAAGTAGAAAAGAAAATCATTCTTTTGTTTACCCATGTTAGAGATGCTGATTCGAAAGGTAAGGTTATGTTCATGGCGCAGATGACTCAGATATGCGACCCATAAACGCTTGAGAAAAACAGGAATGTTGGCGCATAGGTGGTTCATGGCATCTACAAATATTATATCCTCAGTTAATAAGTATTTCTATGGTTTAACAGATATATATAGAGCATGTAAGTAATTGCGTGTACACTACACTTACTGGTTTTAGCCTTTACTGCAAACAGCTCTGCTAATCGAGCCAACAAGGACATTGATAAGTCTTGACGAAGAACAGGAAGATCGTATAACGCTGTTAAGAAAGTCAGTATCAAACATCTATCATTGTTTTACATTTACCCAGTTTCAAAGCGTCATATCGGTATATCTAATACCTTCTCCTGTTTCCGCATTCCGGCGTTGTGGCTGATAATGATTATTGAAGATATCGCGTAGAACGGCGTAGCGGTTTGGAGTCTATTGAAGTCAATAATGTAAAAAGCTTGTCAGTGTTGCATGCTCCGCGACATACAGTACATATTATGCACAATTCATCCCAAGCAACAGAAATTATTCTCACGCGAGCCGGTATAGGTGCCTCTTGCGTTGGATTGGTGATCACCATCCGAAATGCCGTAGCCCAATACGTTTGATTGTCTAATTCTGGCATGGGTATCTCACCGTTGCTTTCGTATGCAAGCAGAGCATGCAGATTAATCAAGTTCAAGGCGTCTCTGCGAAGTACTTGGTACCACTCAGCTAACGAACGAAGGTAAGCCTTTAAAGCGGTAATATAAGATTGTTTTAGCTTTTCTGTCCAGATAATCATAGATAATCTTGGTGTCGGCTTTATAAATGGTGTACGAACCCTGTACAGCTCACGATTTCATTTAATGCTACCCTCAACTTGCATTTGCGACTGGCTAATCGCCATGTATATGCACGGCCGTAAAACGTGTCGCGAATGAAGTCTGGCTCCGGTTCTATGTAGGAAATAATATAAAGGTACAACCATAGTGAGTCTACTATATACATGCTCATAAAAATCATATACAGAAGACAAGTGGAAAGACAATATTAACAGTACCTGCTGCTCCTTCTTGCTCCATGTACGCTATTTCATCATAGGAGTACTCATTCTCGGCAAATGATGTAATGTCCGAGCTAGTGTCGTTGTCCAGGTCGTCATAGTAGTCATTAACGTTGTCAAAACCAATATTTTCGTCGTCTACATCCATCATAGCCGCACCATCGCTCGCTTCCGAAAAAGCATCAGTGGTTGGGTCATTATCGACGAGCATATTGTCGGTATCAAACGAGTCGATTGGTGACATAGTCATATCAGTGTCGCTGTCGTCCACGACACTGATAGACACCATTTTTAGTATTGAGTATAAAGGTGCAAGGCTTTATGAATATAAAACAATAGTGATAAGATAGAAAGAGAGTTATTGGAGAGAAAGTTGTAAGAAGGAGAAAAGAAAACCTTGTTTGAGAGAAGGAGTGCTGTGTGAACGTGGGTTGTGAATAGATAATAAGAGAAAAGAGATTGAATAAAAGACAATATGAAATACTGTGAGAGTCAAATATGAGATGATTTTTTTTGAATGAATTAACAACCCTTTATATACTCTTGGATATGCTGTCAAGACTTCCGTTTGGATGAACTAATGAATGGATCGCGGACATGCTAGGTTTCGGATGTTTCAAAGATGAAGAAGGATGGTAAGGTTGAGTTTGGCGGTCATGACAATGAACGCTGCCTTCCGATTGTAAAGAGTCATCTTTGTCTTGATCAGTGTGCTCCTTGTTTGGCGAATTTCACCTTTGTCTGTGCTGGAATTGGTATCTGCTCTTTGACATTGAACGTGTGACCAACCAATAAAATTTCAGCCTCCACCTGGCTCATTCAAAAAAAAAAGCTCTTTGACAGGTACACTTCGCTCAACTCATATAAGCTAGATTCAAAGGAAGTGCTGACTAACTCGAGAATAGGACAATGTGTATACAATGGTTGGTTCTGAGTTATTCTCGATTGTGATCCATGTTTGAGAGATCATTGATATGGCGCTAATTATATGATCATTCGTGTGTGTGGTGTTCTCTCTACTGCTTTCTAATGGTTACAAAGACGGCGGAGTGGGATGAGTTGTCCGGATCAATCTCAAAGTAGTGTGGTTTACCACAAGTGCACTATGACTTTGAAAAGGCACCTTTTATAAAGAAAATTCTTGTAAATAATTGATGCTAATACTCACAGGTGACTATTAACAAGAAGATATATCTTTTATGCAAATGATTAACCCATGTGTATATCACCTTTTGAGCATGTGAAAGAAAGATAGTCGTGCTAGGATTAAACCAGCGCCTCTTGGGTCCAATGCTTGTTGCGCCGATCACCTACGATGGGACCCCATCGAATAGGATGCAACTAAAAAAAGATATTAAGTTATCCAGCTTTTTATTTATTAATCACCTTCTATTATATAGTCAGTGTAAGATTGGACGATGATTACTTACATCCATTTTAAGCTGTATTTGCTCTGCTCTTTTAATTTCCCCTTCCACAACTCCTCTGGCATAAACGATTTCTCTATGGTTTATCTGGTGACGATAAACCTCCTCACATTCTTCTGGCGGATGATCCACCCGCGAAGTTATTTCGTTCCATGATAAAGGGGGTTTGGATGCGCGCAGCTTTGCAAGGTAATATCGCTGAGTTGGAGTCCAATGAGAAGGTAACGGTGGCTAGAAATATGCAACATATTATGATAAATTTATAATACACGATACCGCAATAGCTCTTTCTGTTTTTCAAATATCATACTCACCTTGTATTGACGATATCGTGCCTTGCAGGCTGAAGGTGTGTGGCGGTTGCCAATTATTCGCGCAATATATTCCCAAGACGCATGCGGATATTGCTGCTTTTGTTGTATCAAAATCGCGATATCTTGGGCTTCCCATAACGGCATGGTTGATAATGTTTAAATTGACGACGAAGGATCAAGAGGTTAAAGCTATTGTATCAGCATAGACACAAAAACTTAATATATCTGTTTATCTTTTTTGAAGACTCTGATATACTACCTGTCTAATTCTTGTTTCTCAATACGCTTCTTTCCCTGTTTAGTGCTTCTTGGTTGATGTGTATTACTATTGCTAATGATGACACATGATCCATGCACACTTATGGCTTTGCCTTTGTTGATAATTTAGATAGCGGCGCTATCATTGATCAGTTCACAAATCCCATGTCCCATATTGCAAGTCCAACAGCTTTATCCGAACAAATATATACCAAGTCCAACCAAGAGTATTAGAAAACAAAATATATGTAATAAGTATCTCTGCTAAATATTTATTTTATTCTTCATTGTTGACGAGAGGGACATGCATTTGGATTGATGATTTTTTCTACGACTGTGTATAGCCTTTTCTGTAGAACAATCAATTCTCTAGTTGTGTTGTAGATATGTTTGATTTGTTTCTTGCAAATAGATTATCAAGTTGATTTGTCGAGCGTTCATATTCAGCGAGCAGATCGTTTCTATGTTGCCGCTGCTGGTGCTGTGAGGATGGTGCTAGTTGCATAGATGCTGTTAATGTTGTTGACTAAAGATGATGCTGGTAATGACGATGATGCTGTTGTTGATTGGCGAGGGAAACTTTGGTTTATGATTACTAGAATGGTGGTGTTATATGCGCTAAGATATATATGCTTGCATGGTTGGTTACGCTTTTAAAATCTTCACAACTACAAGAACCAATAACGCCATTGCTATCAGTTTCTTCAAGCTTTAAAGTATACAATGCAGAACTAGCAAAAGATTGATAGGTAACCTATTGCCACAGTACGATCAGCAATTGTAAAAGTAAACGCACACATACAGAAGTGGTACATACATGATCATCATGGATAGTTATCATCCGGTCAGCTTCATCTGGTGATTTTTTGCAGGCTTCTCTTTCGTTTGTTAAGCTTCTCTAGTCGCTGTTGTTTCTTCGACACCAGCCAAAATACGTAGGACTTGAGCACGGTAATCATTTTCAAAAACTGCGTCAACATATAGATTACACGATCAGCACGATGATTGCGACTGTATGGAAGATATTTGCGTTTAAGTTTGGAATGCCAGCTTTCGATCAGATTATTTGTATGGAAGGACGCATTCTAAAGAATATACAACCGTGCATTATGTTGAAGCGCAAAATAAAGCTAAAACGAGCCTAAAACGTACCTCTCTCCAAGCCTTGCTCCAAAGATGATGCTTAGGATGCCCAATAGTCCAACACACAGCCATAAAATGCTCATATGTATCCCGCCAATTGTTAACCAAGCCTGCACAAATTCAACGACGGTTTTGCAATTCATCAAAGAACCAAGGGCAGAACGAGCTTCATCTCTTCTTTTCTTCGTATCCGCTGTTGACAGAGTAGTTTTGATCTAGAACCCAACATATAGAAAAAAGAAGGTTATATTGAATATACGATAATGTGGCTAACTAAATGGTACCTTGGACGTGATGTGCTTTTCCCATGCTCTTTTGATGTGCCAATGACACAGAAGAACTTGAACTTGATGACCATAAACTGCTCTGATGCTGTTAATTTCAACTGGACTGCAATCGATCATGATCCTTGTTGGTGTGTATTCAATTCTGTCTCGGAGCCATCGAAACCATACTTGCAAATTTTCACTATCTTCTTTATCTGTGATCATAAACGCAAGAGGGTAACCTTGTCCAGTAACTGTATGCTTGGCAACGATAGAAAACAGATACGCATCAGCCCGACCACTGATGATAGATTTGCAAGTCTTGTGTGTGGCATCAATACAGATCTCATTTGATTTCTTGAGCAGCTATAAAGCACATATGCATCTTAATATACGAACATTGCATTATATTTAAGTATATATCTTTTCTTACCAAAGCTTGTCGTGATGATATCCATGCAACAACAAAAGTAGAATCCGTGATATATTCCAACGTTTGATAACCTTGATCTTTTAAAAAGAGAAGCCACTTGACTACACTTTCTTTATCGATTAAATCTTTTCTTGCTAATCTTGACTGTTGGTTGGCGATGATATTCATGACATGATGCTGCTTCACACGTAAGGCTTCCGGGAACGGTCCTTCGCCTTCCTCGAGCTGATACCACAGGTTAGCATCTCTACAAGTTATCATCATAGTTTTGCTTTACATGTATAGATGATACTTACATCTTAAGTTGTTTATCAGTCAAACGCAGATGTTCCTGAATTTGATCCCACTCCAACTTGTTATTGACAAGTTCTTCGATCCATTTACGTGTTTCAGCGGGGAGTTGTGAGCGAGTAGCATTGGTTATCTCGGTAGGGTCATGGTGTTGATGTTGCCAGTGATATACAAGTTTGATTTTGCCTGAGAATAAGTATTGAATACGGTATCGAGCACGACAATTTACTTTAATAGATGGTTTTGCAAGTCGACGTTTTTTGATGGGAGCAGGTTCAGTTGAGTCTATGGGCAGAGCAGGGACAGCTGGTACCGATGTTTCTCTTGAGTGATCACAGAAAAAAGTGATGCTACGTTCAACTTTCCGAGGACGGCCGGTATTGTTTCGGCGTGCATCTGAAGCCTTGGGTACGGAGATGTACTTGTTGTTGGTGATG